GTTGCTTCTTATGTATGAACAACAAGCATGATGTACTACTACTATATATATGTATTGCCGTTGTAGTACTATTATGTTATATGGTCGTGGATTGTTGTTTGTGTTGCCTCTGTCGCTTCACATGAAACAACATTAGTCATTATGTTGCATTACACACTTATAGTACTGCTGTTGCTCCTGCAACTGTGCGTGTTTGTGTTGCTTTACATCCGACTATTATCATGCACGTTGCTCATGTATGCATTTTTGTTGCAACAACAGCGAGCTGTTCTGAGCATCTTTGATGTTGTATTTGTTGTTATGCTTTTCTTTTGACTCACTTTTTTGTGTGAGTGTTTCTTTTCTGCATACATACTACTATACGTCTATAGTACAGTAGTATGTTCTGTTCTTTCATTTCTTTCTTCTATTATGTTTCTTTGAAGCATACCTTTTTTACGTTGTGCGGATGTGCCTATCCCTGAAGCTCAACATGACTCTATCCGAGACTCGGAGGTGGATAGGCTGCCTCCAATTGGTTATCACTACTTACTTTAGTGATGATTGAGGGTCTCAATGCCAGAATTTAAAGCTAGGTGGTGTAAGTAAGGCATGCTCTAGCACCTGGGGGAAGTTTGATGATAGCATCTGCTATATTGTTATTATAGCGGCGCTTAAAATTTTGCCTCACATCAAAACAAGGGGAAACCCTCGCAAAATTTTTTTTAGGTCAGCGGAGTTTTCAAGCAATCTGATTGGCTCGGAGGTTGAAGCAACGAAGGATTCCAGCTAGTTGCTCTTCTATTGATCTGTCATTTAACATTATATTGTTTTTGTAATAAAAGGGTATCTAAACAGTTACAATTTAAGTTCTTTTATATATGTTAAGCACAAAGAATAAAAGGACTATTATTTGTAGCTGTGGAATTTGAGGCTTTATAGACTAAAATTCACCGAAAAAAAGAATAAAAAAAACAGTAAAGTCAACTTAATAAAGGTATGTTTTATTATCAAACTGACAGGTGTAAAGTAAACTGAAGCCTCTCAACTGGCCAGGTAGATGATCCTTCCTATATACTATAACAATGGATAAAAGTTCTATTAATTAGATTGGCAAATAAGTCAACTCAAATCAACTAATGTCTAATCATGCTAAAAGACAACTCCAGCGAGCTAATCATGATTTAGCTCTGTCTAGATGAATAATTAGACTCTCATCCGAAGTACCCTGATCTATCCTTTCTATAAGGATAATTAATATCGATCTAGTAGCATGTATCCGATAGGTACAGTCTTCTTAGTCTATATTAATAGTACATATCTGAGTGTATATCGCTAAGCATACTGTGGAATACATCCACTATGATCTGCATTCCGACAGTTCATCCAGTTACCAGATTTAGATATAAACTGTATGTACACTGGATTAGATGTACGATATCGATTTATACTATGATCATGAGAAGATATGGACTTCAGATACGCTAGTACTATAAGATTCATACTATATAAGATATAGGCTATAGATGGCACCACGGACATGGATGGCACTATAGACTTATGCTTGTATTCCGACATTGACTACGGATGTTTACCATATCTGGATAGGCACCAAGATTAATGCAATATGAGCTTGTTGCTTCAGATGTGCACTTCATGATCCACGCTATAAGACACATGCTTATATCCGTGATACTAGCTACAGATACTTTATGTACTACAGACTTGTACTATATATGAGACATGCTATAGACATGCATACGATATGCTATAGACATGCCATATATCCAGATACATGCTAAAGATGTATGCTTAGCGATATACACTCAGATATGTACTATAAATATAGACTAAGAAGACTGTACCTATCGGATACATGTTACTAGATCGATATTAATTATCCTTATGGAAAGGATAGATCAGGGTACTTCGGATGAGAGTCTAATTATTCATCCAGACAGAGCTAAATCATGATTAGCTTGCTGGAGTTGTCTTTTAGCATGATTAGACATTAGTTGATCTGAGTTGACTTATTTGTCAATCTAATTAATAGAACTTTTATCCATTGTTATAGTATATAAGAAGGATCATCTACCTGGCCAGTAGAGAGACTTCAGTTTACTTTACACCTGTCAGTTTGATAATAAAACATACCTTTATCAAGTTGACATAACTGTTTTTTATTCTTTTTTTTCCGTGAATTTTAGTCTGTAAAGCCTCAAATTCCACAGCATGTCTCATGATGTATAGTACAAGTCTGTAGTACATAAAGTATCTGTAGCTAGTATCACGGATATAAGCATGTGTCTTGTAGCGTAGATCATAAAGTGCATATCTGAAGCAACAAGCTCATATTGCATTAATCTTGATGCTTATCCAGATATGGTAAACATCCGTAGTCAATATTGGAATACAAGTATAAGTCTATAGCGCCATCCATGTCCGTGATGCCATCTATAGCCTATATCTTATATAGTATGAATCTTATAGTACTAGCGTATCTAAAGCTCATATCTTCTTATTATATATACTGTAGTATAAATCGGTATTGCACATCTAATCCAGTGCACACATAGTTTATATCTAAATCTGGTAGCTGGATGAACTGTCGGAATGCAGATCATAGTGGATGTATTCCACACATAGTGTAATGAAATAGCCACCCAAACGCAACTTAATTGAAAACCGAAATTCACCAAATAGCACTCATTCAAATTCATGCTATTTGGATCTATTAGTAAAAGCGCTCAAATGTACATCAACAACCATTTAAACATACTAAAGTAAAGATACACGCTTATATCGCACATCGTGTGAATGAATCACTCCTGATCACAGTGTATTCAATCACACCCATGATGGTCGTAATAAGAGATATTATCTTTATCCAAATAAAATCAAATTAATAACAAGCATATTCAAATATGACAACTATGCCCTGCTGCCATAGTTGCACAATATCCCAGATAAAGGATTCCATACTTCAATAACAAACATTCCACTTTAAACCATCAAGGTTACATTAAATCATGCTATGACGATAGCTCACCCAAGCCCATCAAGGTTACTCAAAACGACCCTTATGGCCAGTGCTCTTGCATTGATTATCACTTTAAATCAAACATCAACAACATTTGCCAGATATCGCAATAGCAGAACCTATTGCTCTCTATCATCACTAATTCTACTGACAAGCTAGTTGCAAACGTATAAATACTCTTCTTTTTTTTTTTACTCAATTCCAGGATCTTCAGTTCATTTTACGCACAAATAAAATACAGTGGACTTCTATTGTATTTTACCTTTGCTTTATTTTTTTTGTGAAATCCATTGAACCCGATTTCACTGCACATAGATCATCTCTGAGAGGCAAATGTATTATGCGTTGTATAATACAGGACAAGTCTTGAGCACGCTTACTTCTAGAGTTAATCGACAACAGAGATGCTATTTTTAAGCGGGGAAATATACATACTTTAAATTGGAAGACTTGCTATAATAGAACAAAGCAAGCTAAAACTCTCTAAACTTAAAAGCAAGATTCTTCATCATGTCAAGTATCTATTGATAACTTAAAACCAGCAAGCTAATATGGCCCTTTTCGTACGCTCCAATTTTTAAAATGCTTTGTCAAATGCATACTTGTGTCGCTTACACATGCGGAAGCTCAACGGAGCTTCAATTTCTAATATCCTGAATGATAATCCATGAGATTTCGAAATCAATCGACCTTAAAATTACGCGTTTCTTGGTAGTAACCACCCCTTCCAACTTATATGAAACTTGTGAAGAATTGCAAGAAAAATACAATGGCATCTATATCAAGTGTCTGGTATATATTGTTCAACTGATATATGATACGATAATTTTTGCAATTTTTTGACTGTTTTCTAAAGATTAATCAGTATCTGTCATCAGAACATTTTGTTAAGCATTACTAAACATTGTAGACCAAAAGATTTTCCATCGAATGAGCTAGTGCTTGAAGCTCTGGCATGATTTTATCATGAAATATTGAAAATATTGTCCTGACCAAAAAAAGGTCACCCAATTTTTTCGCTTGCTATTGTGGAATACATCTACTATGATCTGCATTCCGACAGTTCATCCAGCTACCAGATTTAGATATAAACTACAAGAAGTTGCTTTATAAATCTCGCACAATATAGTTATGTAATCATTGCGATAACTGGGAGAGGCTATATCGTAGTAGTCAAAACGTCTAGATATATTTGAAGGTTCTGGTTCGATCCCATGTAAGGTTGACCTTTTTTCTGGTATAGCATGAGGTGCTAGTAGATGCCTGCTATCCGGGATCATTTTTTTACGGCTTTAATTTGAAAATACCTCAAATCATTTTGAAAAAACGGCATATACCATTGTCTTTTATTCATTAAAGTACGACATCCATCCTTTCATTAACATGTTTCTGACCAGATGCGCTATCATGGGGTACATGGATAGAATGGCAGATCAAGCAACGACTCTAGGGCTACTAACTCATTGGATACCTGTGTTTTTTATTTGCATCTTGGACATTGAGAAAAAATGACATAGGTGCAGACTTCAACGAGAATAACAATCCAAGATGCGGAAATTAAGGATCACACACCACATCATTACTGTTCGTCAACTGACAGAATGGGAATAATTATCAGTTGTAATACTTGCCCAATGCGCTCTTTTGACATCATCAAACACAAGGATTGTACCGTTTAAAAATACAGGTAGTTCCCAAGTCAATCACTAGGTCTACTGATTTGGAAACTGGCAGAAATGTTATTTTGATGTAAAGGAGATGTACAAAAGACAAGCACATTGCGGATAAAATGGCTTTCATCCACTTTCGTTATCACATGATTTTCCATCGACATCTCTTTATTCAATAAACAATTGTACTAAATCGACGTCATGTTATATGGGAGATGATTGTTTTGTTGTTCTTTCAAATATAGTAGTTTTCTGATGATAAAAAAAAACTTTTTCTTCTTTTCCTTTCCTTCTTCATCCCATTACAATCGATGTTGAAAAAGATTTTTAACCCTAAAAGAAAACGTCAGGAACCAGGGCGTCATAACACCAACAAAATCACACTGGATCCAGCTTCTGCAGCAATTCTTTCTCGCCATTTCTCTCCATTGTCCTCTAGAGCAAAGTCTCCCTCTGATTTGCTTGATATCGTTGGCTATCCTCTTGCGACCAACGCTACAAACTATCACAAGTTTAGTCAATCTTCACCAGATTTATCAACTCCGTTGAACGAACAGGATGAAAATAGTATAACAATAACTTCGCCCAATGTTTCCACTGCAGCTAGAGTCGCAGGAGGAGATACTAAGGCACCCATATGTAATGAACCTATATATCGCCTTACTATACGAAACATGACTACACCACTGTCAACATCAACATCTTCCCCTGATTTGACCAGAGATCAATTATTATTGGAGACGAGTCGGGAGGATAAAACGTTGGTTGAAAAGGAAGCTCTAGATCATACCTTGGAAGTCTACCGCCTACAACAAAAGCTGTTAGAATTTGAAAATGAAAGGGAAGCATGGCATCAGAAACTGAGAGGCTACATTGAGCGTGAAGAGCAAATGAGGAAAATTATAAAAGAAAGTCAATTACAAATCAATCAATTAAAGTATGGGTATTACTCTTCAACTACCACACCGTCACGACATGATTCATATCGTACCATATCCACTCATTCTTCTTCTTGGCCAACAGAGACGGAAGAGGAAGAATTAGAGGAGGAGGAAGATCCAGAAGAAGAAGAAAATTTAGAAGAGGAAAGAATGCATTACGATGTTTATCAGCATCACCATCAACGTCCTTTATACCAATTGAATGATCAACATTTATACCAGTATTACGATAAAAGAAGATATTACGACTATCATTATTATCCCCAACAACATCAGCGTCAACAGCGACATCAAGCATGGTCTTCTCAGCAACAGCATTATCAACCACAAGATTTCTTCTATTACGAATGAACAATCAAAATCAAATCAAACCCAATTAATGCTGCTACTATGGCAATTCAGGCACGCATTTACCTTTTTAGGCTCCAGATCAAAAAAATAAAATTTGTTGCCATGATGACCAATACAATGTTGTGCGTTTTTGTCTTCTTTTTGATCGCCCTGAAATGTTCGTTCATCATTAGATTAGAATAAAAAAAAAATGTTAAATCGTGTACTATCATAGCCCGATTTCTGGGTTTCGGAGGAGAGGTAACAGATACAGAAAGGCAGAAGCAATTTATGACAAATCTGGATGTTCTGATAAGCTACCTCGAGTAATTTGGGGAAGTAAGAATATACAAATACATATATTTATCTTAAACGTGTGAAAAACAATGGACACAACGGTCTGTAATATCTACGGGAGAGCTTTAAATGTTTTTTTTTTTGGGTAGAATGGGGGAGGAAAATGATTGACAGTGAAATTAATACAGTGCTATTATGCGGATCGTTTTCCCAGTTTGGAAGCCTGACCGCGGCCATAGTGGTGGATACGGTCACATCAGGCATGAATACGAAAGCCTATATATATAGCGTTATGATGCTCTCACCTTGACTTTTACTCTCTTTTTTTTTTATCTTTTCTTGATTATAAAATGGCTCCTATTGATAGCACACCCGTTGATCCCAACGCTCCTTTAAAGAAGAAGCCCATCTCATACAAAAACTTGTTATTGGGTGCATGTAAGTAAATGTTACTTATAAAGCGGGATTTCATTGATTAATCTCGAGAACAATAGCTCTCAACTTGTTCGAAGTATCCACGCTTGGACAACCTTTCGAGGTCATTAAAACACAGCTTGCTGCTAATCGAGGACAATCATTGAAGACTGCACTCTCCAACATCTACAGCAGAGGCGGTGTCTTGGGCTTTTATCAAGGCTTGATTCCATGGGCATGGATTGAAGCTTCGACCAAAGGCGCTGTTTTGCTTTTTACTGCCTCCGAGTTCGAGTACCATGCTAGAGCTGCTGGTGCATCTCCATTTGTCGTAAGTTATTTTAGCGCAATCTTCATGTTGCAAGCAATCCAGATCTAATCATGTGTTTCGTATGATGTTCATCAGGGAGGTATCGTTGGTGGTATGGGTGGAGGTATTGCTCAAGCTTACACAACTATGGGCTTTTGTACCTTTATGAAGACTGTTGAGGTCACGCGCCATAAATCAGGTAATTTCTCGATAATTAGGGAGTCGATACACAAGTAGATCTAACAACAAACAACACACATGTATAGCTACCAAGGAATCTACGTTCAAGATTGCTGGTGATATATTCAAGAAGGAGGGTATTGCTGGTATCAATAAGGGTGTGAATGCTGTTGCACTTCGTCAATGCACCAATTGGGCATCTAGATTCGGTATTACACGTTTCGCACAAGAGTCCATTATAAAGAGTCGTTACGGAGATGCACCTGATGCTCATCTTCGTGCAACTGCCCTCGATAAGGCTCTTGCGTCGATCATTGGTGGTGCATTATCATGTTGGAATCAACCCATCGAAGTGATCCGTGTGGAGATGCAGAGTCAAGTCAAAGCAACTGGTCGTCCTGAAAATATGACTATCGCTACAGCAACCAAATACATCTATCAGCAAAATGGCATGAAGGGATTCTATCGTGGTGCTTTACCCCGTATTGGTTTGGGTATGTGGCAAACACTTTGTATGGTTGCACTTGGTAAGTTTTGATTTCGGGCCCCTTGAACGACGAATAACAACAAACACTAACATTTCATGTATAGGCGATTACTTCCGTGCTTTCTTTGGCACCAACTAAAAAACGATTATAATAGACTAGATGTACGTACCTCTTTTCCATCCCCATTATTACACATCCCCCCCCCAACAATCTATAGTTTTTTTTCCCGTTTAAAAATCCAAACCCAACAACCCGCATTTTCACGATTAGTAGTAGTAGTAGTAGTAGTAGTAGCTTTCTATGATACCAATTTATAATTCTGTTTCATGATTTCTCATTTATAATATACAAATAAAAAAGATATAAACACCATTTTATTGCGGCTACATAATGGAGCAATCCGTCATGTCTTTCTGAACGACCTTCTTGATGACCGGCCAATCACTTCTGCATGCTGCAAATTCAAACAAATCTTCCACCCTCATTAATCCGTGGTATCGCTCTAAATCATGAATCAATGATTTAATATCAGTTGCAGATTCAATGATGTAAAGATTAGCGAGCGATTTCAGTGCCAAAAAATAAGGTGTAATCGTCTTTTGTCGAAGCGATAGTATGAAATCATAGTAGGCATTCATATCACTAAATACAGTATGAGTTGAAATATTCACACAGCTTTCATTTTTAAGACTTTCATGCCATGTGTACCTGATATATCGGAATCCTCCCATTTCATTTACAGTTTGTAATTTCAAATGCTTGCACAGAATTCTGGATTTAGAAATCAAGAGGGTCAGCGCGCCTGTTGGATGGGTGTCTGATCCATACTCACTCGAAGAATCTTCGTCCAATTTCACTAAAGAACAAGTCCATTGTGCTCTTTTCTGCTGCACCAATCAACATGGATGTGTTTGTCTTTAAGCATTGGATTGTATCTCGACATGCCTTGGTCGGTTTGAGATCTGGCATAGAGTCTGTTGGCGGATTATAGTCTTCTTTTCTTTGTTCATGCGACAAAATAAACTCGACTTGCGATAAAAGCACTTGAATACCACGGTCCATTCCCTGCGCAACACAATCATCCAGCAATCTCTCAAATGATTTCTTTTCCTTGTTGACTTCGTTCATGAAATCCAGTTTGTCCACGTTTTTCGTCTAGTAATAAAGATGAGTCATCTGATCTGATACTGTGGCTGCCCTCTTTTTCTTACAATTTCCTCGTCGTAATACAGTTGGATCATTTGCTGAATGACATCAGCTACATGGACAAGCTCGAAAAACTCTGTCAATGGCGGCACATCATCATTGGAGGCGTCTGCATTTGGTTTGTAAGATGATAATCGACTTGCTGCACTGTCAAATCCAGGCTGAATATGGGTGTGTCCCAGTGTTTTTAGTAGCTGAATAAAGATTTGCTCGTATGTGTGATGTAGATCGGCTTTCATGCGGCCGGGAAATCCAATGTCAATGAATTGCTGCACACGGCGCTCGGACTCCTTGTTGATATGAATCAACTGCAGTGATGTCTCTAATGAAAGATAATTCTGTAACATGTCCAACTCTTGTCTAGCGAATTCTAATTGTCCAGTGACATCTTTGCCGTAAGTAGTGGGTGACCGAGGTGGCTGGTCCATCAAGGAAGATGAGGAGGACCGAGCCATTTGTGTGGATACTTTGGGCGTAGAGGGCGGTGTGGACTGAGGTGTTGCTATAGAATCTGTCGACATGGCGGATGCTCTTTTATTGGTGGCGCCTGAAATTGTGCTGGCTCGCTGGAATGGCGATGCAATTGTGGTGGCAGCTGTTGAAACAAGGTCGACAGGCAGTGTCAACACTTTTTTAAATGCAGCAAGGTAATTTCTAAAGTTATGCGTTAGGAGTCAAGCAGAACAATACCAACATCATGCTATCTTGCCTTTTGAATGTTTCACGAGACTGGTTGGTAAGACGAGCAGAAACGTCTGTGTGGGCAGCCGAGCGATTATTCTACATAACATGATAAATACAGTGTAGATGCGATTGCTGGACTCTAGATTACCCATTCTTCTATATATTGTTTGGTGATATTTTCGGCATAGGTGCTCTCCTCATACAGATAATCGTCCAGGAATGGCAAGAACAGTTTGAACAATAAATTGATACCCCGATCCTTTTCAATGCTTTTTGGCAGTTCATCACTCGTGAGCACATTGATGACCTTCTTGGTTGAAGTTAGAACTACAGACATGGTGCGCAGATAAAGATGCGTGCTGATCGACATGGCTCTTCCGAGTAGCTGAGCGACAAACTCTGCAATCTATCGAGAGCTCTGGTATCAATATACATCCTCCCTTCCTACATCTCCGCTGTAATATATTACCACATCCTCAAATACTCGATCTGCAAACATATAGAACGCATCCATTTTCTCGGGAAATACGTCAATTACTAGCGAAGATTGCTGCTTGAGTTCGTCAATGACAAGTGACATGAGCTTCTTGAAAGGTGCCAAATCGTCATGTGTTGTCCTATAGAGAGACGTTAGTTCTTCTTCATCTGCCTGTCAGTCCTAACTTTACACAAAATTGTCCTCTGGCTTGAACGGATTATCGTAAAATATAGGGTGCTTCTGAACATAAGTCTGCATACATGTTGAACCACCATTCAATGCAATCAGCGCATTTGCATATGACTAGATGCACAAAAAGGTAAACAATGCGTCCCCTCCCGGTATCCAGCAAACCTACCTTCATCTCAGTGGTGTTGTGTACATCGTAAGCTACTTCAAATTCATGAAGAGATGCACTCTCAAAGTACTGAGACAGCGCATTTACACCTTCGTTGATCTGGACGCAAACAATGCCATTGTATCAATAGCATGCAACACCCACATGTGCCAAATATCTACCTGCTTCCAATCATCCACAATATGGCACTGTCCAATACCCAGTAACAAGTTGATCACTTTACCACACTCTTCTGGACTATTGCCAAAATCACGAAGCACCTTTGTCGTCTCCTTGTTTCCGTCTCTCAAATCCACATAATAAGGCAGCAATTGTGTGTAAAGTTGTTTGAAATATTCTTTGGATTGTCCTGTAGATTTCGCTCTTGCTCGGGCACTGTACGGATCTGTCGACATGCCGGGTATCAAAGTATTAAGAGGCTTGCTGTTGATATAGATCGTATTTTCCGCGTCTATCAGAGACCCTTTGGAATTGTCTCCATCTAAACGAGGCATAAGCAGACGGAAATACCAACAGGCCAAGACAGCTATCTCTTACCAAGCATGGCAGCGAGTGCGCCAGTGTCATTTTCCAACATGATACGCAATTTCTCATCCCAAATTTCATCATCATAAGCCAGCACTTTGAATCGTCTCGAGGCCAACGCCACATTCGCTAGTGATGGCACAGGTAGATACTGGAAAATGCGAATCAGCACACTAGGTGGAATGGGCCGTCCCGACTTGCTTCTTGCTGCCTCTGTCAAAGAAACAGGTCTAATAGGTTCTTTTAAGGGTATATCGTTATGAATATCGTCGTCATCTATCAAGCTCATTTGAATGGAAATGTGTGTGTGTGTGTGGGAGAAAAAAAAAACAACAACAAAAAGCAAAAAAAAAAAAAAAAAAAAAAAAAAAATTGAACTTGAGTAAGGGAGAGTATCATATACAGAGGGCGGCTGGGATAACCTTAAACATGTAACCCTATTTTTGGGCTATATTGAAGGATCGGATAAAGATTACAACCTTGATGATTGGGTAATGGGTTTAATAAAAAAAAAGGATTTGGGTCAAACTTGAACATTTCAACATGACAAGGGAGTTTCCTTGTTGAGTTCGATTTACATGATAGAATGGCATTGCAATGCCACTTTCAATCATTGGTATATTTATATATAAAAAAAAAAAAGACAGTTGTATCCCAACAATGTCTCAAACATGATTGGGCAAAACAGAGATGGCTAGTGATGGCCAACAGGTTTCAATGGACTACATTTAATTGAATTTTTTTCAGCAAGCCCATATATCCCCTTGTTCCTTAACTTGTTCTTCTTTTCTCTCTCTTTTTCTTAATATAACATGGTTAGCAAATCGTTGCTCTCGCGGCAACCTCCCCCTTCTCCTTCTTCTGCTTCATCACCGAAATTTGATCTGGCAAACTTTCCAGTGACAGAAACCATCAGCATGCTGACCTGTTTGTTAAAGAAAATCACAACGGCTAATGACTCCATCCAACAAAAGCAAACCAACTATACATGCTTCCACGCTCGCTCCCTACCAAGCATCGATATCAATGCCTATCTCTTGAGGATTCTGAAATACTGTCCCTGTGCTAATGAGTGCTTTCTCAGTTTGCTGGTCTACTTTGATCGCATGTCTCAAAACAAACTGGATCCATTACGTATTGACTCATACAACATCCACAGGTTGGTCATCGCAGGTATCATGGTGTCTAGCAAATTCTTTTCGGACATATTCTACACCAATACAAGATATGCCAAAGTGAGTTGTAGTGATGGTTGTAAATCAATGTCTGTATATTGACTCTATTTCGCCAAGGTTGGTGGATTGCCTGTAAAAGAACTGAACGTTTTAGAGCTTGAGTTCCTTCGCATCAACAATTACAGCATCTTTATTCCTTTGGAGGAGCTGCAACAGTATGGAGATCAGCTATTGATGCATGCTATCAGAGAAAAAGACGCTCAATTAATGCAAGAACAGCATTTGATGCTGGAAAAGTACCATCAGCAACAGCAATCTTGTATCACTGACTATCCTTTCATGTATCACATTGGATAAATTAATTTAAATTTTTGTAACATACATTCTGTACATAGCTATTAACACATTCATATACATAATATCAATAAAAAAAATCGCTTCAAGTGTTTAACTACTCGGTGTTTGCTCTTATCTGAAAGACTCGTGTCATTGTTCAAGATCACTGTATATGTCACTGTTCCATATTGCTAACGTTGCCATGTTGGTACTGTCTATTCCACCTTGAGGTGGTGAGTGATGATGACAGGCTCTCGTAAATATATCTTGAGCCTAGTTGCTTACTGTGTAGTTCAGTAGCAATCATAGCTGTATCAATAGATATTCAATCCCAAGCAATAATAGATCCACACTCTACTGTCTGTCTGTCTGTCTCGACTTCAAATTATCACTTACGGGTGCTTGTATAGTAGCATTAAGGGTAGCTGGTAGGTAGCTAACAGATTGCTAAATATGCTGCTCAAAACAATGAGGTGCATGGGTAATTGTCCCTGAGAAATGAGCCAATTGATATGACAAGAAAGACGCGCAAGTGTATGATAAAGACAGGCAGCAAAGTCTTGAGTTGGCCAGCTGGACTCAATATGATGTGTATTCATACAATCCAAGAGTACCCTTGTGTGCCTAACGCTGTTCAGTGCTAAAATAGCTTATAAATGAACTGTTACTGTACTGATATCAAGCAGATTTGAGTGGTTTGCCTTCTGTCGCCAATTGACTCATATAGTACAATTGACATGCACATGGTAAGCTTGGCAGCCGTCCGCTTCTATCCAGCATAGAAGGCGAATTCGAAGATATTGTATCATTCTGTACTTCAGGCAAACTTTCAAACAACCATCTTTACCATCATGAATTCAACCAAGGAAGGTCCAGAGCCAATTTCTGAGTGCTCTGATGAATTCATGTAATTGCGTGATCACATTAGAGTATGCAACTCTTAAAAGTATGCACTTGAGTAAAGATGAATACCTCAAAAAGAAACAAACATCAATCATTTTTGAAGGCCAAGCCTACAAACAAGATGGCTGAATGTGCACAGACCGCCTCGAAAATGGACAAGATAGAATGGGGAAGCCTTGAAGGAGGGGTCTGGTCTACGAGCAGAACACAGATGAGCGCACTGTATCACAAATATAAAGACGATAGGAACAGAATATCTAAAGATGTTCAGAAATGTCCTCAAGAGATGGTGCAAGATGGTCAAATCTTCAGCCTTCTTGCTTGGTGAAACCCTGGTTACTTGGTTCTATTGCAACACATCTCGTTTCTCTTTGATTTGCCCCCCATCCCTCCCCACGTGCATTCAGCTTAGTGTAGACGGATATGTGTATATCTCAAGTCCAGACCCTCCCAAAGATCTGCCCCTCACTCTACATTGATGAGAAATAGGTCCTGTGCGTTCTTTCCACAAGCTTGTAAATTACTTACCTCTCGAGCGTGAAGATATCATGACTCGGAAGCCATTCGGATTATACAGCGTCTCGAACATGTGTCAATACCGATTGTTCGACATATGATTGCGTCAATAGTATAAAGTTTTCCTTTTGTACTGATAAAAGCTACCAAGCGCTAGTCGTGAGTAACATGTCCAGTGGTACAAAATCTTACTAACGTACTCTAAAGTGCAGGGTATTTAGGCCCAGAAGTCCATGTATGCACGCTTGCACACACACAGGCCCCCGATACAAATGCGAGCGAGAAGATGTTCTATTGATAGTTACACTTTGCGAAGAGACCATGTTCTTGATTTAGTAATGCACATCAAACCCTATATATAAAGGGCCCACGAATTGGTTCATGAGAGTGAGGGTATTCTTCTTTTCCACTATTCTCTCTCTCAATTGCGTTCTTGATATATACATATACAATGAATAGAATCAAGTCATTTGAGAAGCATATGGACCCTCATGTTTGCCATGACATTTACTACTCGACACCTGCCACCGTCAATGAGACATCATCCAACTACTCACAGCAGCGTTCAAAGAGAGGGGATAATAGCAGCATCAGTAGTAGTAGTGTAGAGAACAAGATCTACCCTTTGACATTGGAGAATCTGTCAAAAGTTGAATTAGCCGAGCCATCAAGCATGCCGCTCGCCCGTTACTGCAGCGAAATAAGGTCTGCCTCCTCTTACATCTCTGCCTATTCAGAATCCAACATATCTTCACAAAGAAGAAGCCCGCAGCGCCGAGTCCAGCAACAAGACAAAGTGATAGAATCGCCGAGATTACTGCCTTTCCCATATCACAATGATTCGCATTTCTTGCCTACAGCAGAGCATGATTATCCCGGAGGCTGCTCTACCACAGATGCTTCCTCTTCCTTGGTGAGCCTGTCTGTACACACAGTGGCTTCTCGTCAACATTTGGCAAGCCCGCCTAGCCTCACATTTCCTAACCGTGTGTACCATCGTCAATTAATCACCTCTCCTCGCGGGCAACACGAAAACTACTATAACGCACTTAGTTACAATGATGATGATATGACGAGTTCCATCAGTCAGAAACGTAGAGCAACCAGTGTTACACCATCATCGCCTTCAACATTGCGCGAGGATGTCATGGTGCCACAAAAGAAGCGCCGTAGCAATAATAGGTTTGCATCAAAGTTTAAGAAGAATTTGCTTCGTTTCAAGTCAAATAGCAGCACTATCATCGAGACCGCCAGCTGCCAAAATAGCTACTACTCTCCCTCCACTTCAGCTGTCTGGACAGCAACACTGAATGATCATCAGCAAACACAGCAACATCAAACAGCAACCAGCAATACCTCTTGGTTTGAAAAACTTTGGAAGTTCTTTCGACCTTCATCTGTCTCTTTTGTAAAAAAATCTCGTCAAAATGCCTCATCTGCTTCTTCAGCAACTGGTGAGCCTGTCTGGTACAGTCAATTTAGATGCAATCCACCTCCTCCTTCCGGTATCACTCTTTTGTCTTGAACATCCTTCTGTACATCCCTTCTCTAGCCCGCGGTTTCTTCGTAATCTGTTTATAATACTTCACCATCTACATAATCATCCCTTTAAAATTATGCACAGAAACTGTACATGATTTGTTTAAATACCTTGCCTTACATACAAATATGCCAATATGAAAATGTAAAATATCTATATCTTATTCCTGCTATCTATATTATATCCCTTCTATAAACTATACCTTAACTCATTCATTGTGTGTCTGATCAAATGCCGATGGTGTATTGCATGTGCTACATTTGCTAAAAAAATCTACTTTGATTGCTAATATTTTCCATTGATCTATTATACCATCTGCTTGTGTGATAAGAACTCATATTCAGGTCCATGGTTGAAGCACTTTGAAAGCACAATTGGAATCCAAACGTAGCATTTCAGGTTTGCATGTTGTATTTCTCTGATTATCCTTGCTTTCAATTAGCTTTCACCTGGTCATCTAAATAATCATATACATCCCTTTGATAGCTCTGTCATTTAAAATCAACAGGTATAGTTAATTTGTGTTCCATTCAGTGACTAAACATCTCGGACCGATATGATCAATTCAAGAGATACAAAGTGACAGTTGGGAGCTCCTGCTTTAGGCAACTCGAAACGTGGTAAATTGCATGATCTAGAACTCAATTGCCACCTTTAGCTTTATGTAAAAGCCACATTGTTGGCATACACAAATTGATGGCAACAGCAGTGCCTTGTTCCTACCAACAATGTTATGATATCATCTGTCAAACAGGCTTAAAGTTGACTGTATGAATTGACGCATGCATACAAGCTGCAACGCATGGAGCAAACCTCATGTGCGACACCGCGTTTTCAGTGTATATAAGGTTATGCGCTATCGCTTAGAGTTTCATGTCGTGTTACCGGCAAGTTTGTTTCAAGCAGGGACCACTTGCGTTTGTTACACATATCGATCCTTTTACTTCGTTTGTCTATTTGAGCCGATTTGTTTAATTGACCAGGCCTTATTATGAGTTCAAAAAACTAGAATGGGCATTCCGGTAGTATACGCATTGTGAGTCAGAGATATTAGAAGATGATTCAATGTAGGAGCGCGCTAGCCTTTAAAATTTATCCAAATATTCAGATGAAAAAAGTCTGATATGGTAGTCCTCCATGTCAAGGGAAATCCGGCCAAATCTCATATAGTTGTTTACATTCAATTTTTAATAGGAATAGAATTACACGTTGAAGCTACCATCCAGTTGAATGAAAGACATTGCATTGTATAAATCATTATATGCTAACGTTTAAAAAATGCTGTATACCACCATTAGCCGATCCATCTCACTACGCTCGATGCCGGCGTCGCCCTGTGAGCTCTCGCTAAGGACATTTTGAATCAGATACAATAAAGCTTTGGTATATCAAGTAGATTTTAAACAATTTATTATTAGTAAAAGAAAGGTTGTATTAGAGCCTGGAGAAGAAGGAGAGGGGGTATCTCCCTCAGCGCCCTTTTTGCTTACATTGATATCAAAAGAAAACTATTATTGAGACGATGTGAAAGAAAAGTCAAGTTTTACGCAGCATTTGTACACTACAATCTCCATCTTCTAATAGTAGAATTGTCATTATCATCCACTGCTGCTGATGCTCTTAAGATGGCGACATAAAGCTGGTCATGCGCAAATACAGGATTTGCGTAAGGTCTATAGCGACTTTTTTGAGTTATTGCCATTACAAAAGACACCTTTATGAGGCAAAACTCACCCAAAAAAAAGTATTTGCGCTAAGCAATTGTCCTTTCAATCCCATGATCTCCATTTAATCAGAATCGCCATCATCATTGTCATCAACAGAAAGGCATTTAGGCCAAAATCAATTGAAACTCAGTTTATTTTTTTCTGTTCAAGATTGGACAAAGTTTGTCTTTCTTCGACTTCTTTAATCTATTCTATGATCTTCGACTATATAGATTGTGATGATCACCCTACGCTTCCTAATACATTCTTAAAGTACTTTTCAAGGCGCTTTCAATGGTATTAACTGTAATACGTATTTTGACTGAAATTGTTGAGCAATTTAATAACATTTGAAATGAGGTTTTTAGCGAAAATTGCCATATTTTGCATATGAAAGTTTCATAAAAGTAGTTTCAGAGGTTGCTTTGGATCGAGAGAACCATTTTGATTCAATACATACCATAGTAAAAATGTTCATTTTCAAGGTGGAAAATGCGATCGTTTGATTTTCAATAAAAAGCATGAGGGGTACCTCATGGTTTTTGGTTGATTTTTGGCCATGTTTTTTGTGTCTTCAAAAAGTTGAGCAAAGGTGTCTGGAAGTTACTGCTACTCAAGTACAGTTATTTGGTGTCATTCCGGCGACTCAGAAAAGTGTACATGTCAAAATATGAAGGCTTGAAAGCTGTCAAATTTGGTTAGGTATTGCTTTATGGAGTTTATTTACACGGCATAAATCACATCTTTGGTAGCTGCAATTTACTGGAAAGATAGATCTGCAACCTGTGCAACTCCTATTTTGAATAGAAAACATATCGATTCTGATAAAGCTAATTCATGCAAATTTTGGTATGTTATGCTGTTGGTAAGTTCATTAATAAAGGAAAAAAACCGAATACTATGCTGCTTGAATACTATGATTTTGCACCTTCGCTTCGCTACCGTAAAACTGCCTCATAGGTCAATGTTACCAAATGTTGAATTAGATGCGTTATGTTCTTGGTGGATGGGCTTAGCACCACCTCCAAACCCCTTCCCCGGTCCCGGCTTCGCCAGTGGTATATTCACCTTGTACGGCACACAATTCTACAAAATTTTGAAATGATATGATTTGTTTGTCTACTTTTTTTCAATGTTTTGCAGTACGTATATTAGATACTACCATACCTGTTTCTTTTCAAGTAATCATAGATGAGATTAATATTATCGATTGCATCGAACCCGGTCTTCAGTCAACAGACATCGAATGGGTCCTCTTTGTAGTGTGATAGACTGAAATTCATGCAAGCTATTCTGTGTTTGAATAGAAAACCATCAATATCCTCAGGTCAAAAAGGATCAAGCATTGATTCTGTCACAACAGACTAATGCTTCCTTGCGACAATGCTGACAAGTAACGCCTAAGCCTATTTGGACACAAAAAGAACAGCTAAACTGTTGCCATAAACGCTTGAAAGCCACATTTGTTTTTCAATGTTTTTATTGATATTATTTGAATTTGAGTGTGAGAAAAGAGAGTGTATATGTATATAAAGAGAGAAAAACAACTTAATTCCACATGAGATACTACAAGAAACGTTAATACAGGCACGATTAGCAAACTCACTAGTATCACTAACCTTGGGAGTACTGGAGAACTTTTGGTAGCCCTTGATAACCTTATTGACAGATTCCAAGAAATCTTTCTCGGTAGCAACCTTTCTTCTAGCACGAATAGCAAACATACCAGCTTCAGTACACACACTTCTCAATTCAGCACCAGTTGCATTGGGACACAATCTAGCAATCAACTCATAACGAATATCACGCTCTACGCTCATACTCTTTGCATGGATTCTCATGATATGAGCACGACCCTCTAAATCAGGCAAGCCAAATTCGACACGACGATCCAAACGACCAGGTCTCAAAAGAGCAGGATCCAAAGTATCGGGTCTGTTTGTAGCCATCAGCACCTTGATATTACCTCTGGGGTCAAAACCGTCCAATTGATTGATCAGTTCCAACATGGTACGTTGTACTTCGTTATCTCCACCAGCACCATCGTCGAATCTGGCGCCACCAATGGCATCTACTTCATCAAAAAAGATAATACAAGCCTTCTTTGTACGAGCCATTTCAAACAATTCACGGACCATACGAGCACCTTCACCAACGTACTTTTGAACGAGTTCAGAACCAATGACACGGATAAAAGTAGCGTCGGTTCTGTTGGCTACTGCACGAGCACAAAGAGTCTTACCAGTACCAGGAGGACCATATAATAAGACACCCTTGGGAGGATCAATACCAAGATTAACGAATCTCTCTGGTTGAAGAAGTGGTAATTCAACAACTTCACAAAGACGTTCGATCTGCTCTTTACAACCACCAATATCGCTGTAAGTGACATCAGGCTTCTCCTCTACTTGCATCATGGTAACCGAAGGATCAATCTTGGGTGGTAAGGGGATTTGAATTTGATACTTTGTACGATCGACACTGTCGACAGATGTGTTAGCAGGACATGTACCAAATCCTTCCACTTGCTCATTACTTACCCCACACGCATGCCTTCTTCAATATCTGTAGGAGAAACATGTCTAACTAATTCGACAACAAACTTTGCAATTTGCTTGACATTGATGACATATTTTGGATCTTCGTTGTTCTCTCCTTGAATGATCTTTGTACAACGGGCAACTTGCAAAGGCTGCTCTTCTGACATTCTTTGTTTATCAGCAGGAATATCCCACAAATTGGGTGCAGCAAGACCTGTATCAGATTCCTTGACGCCTACATGAATCCACAAAGTACTGTAAGTTTTCATGCCGTTGATGCGTAATCCAATTCCACTGCTATTTTTTTTTTACCAATATGTTCATTGACACGCTTCTGAATATCCTTCAAGTCTTGCTCTAAAGATTTCAACTCTTTGGTATATGGACCTTGACCCTATACATTGTAGTCAAATATGTCGAATGAGTAAAAATGGATGATATGCTTTGATGTCATGTTGCGTTTATAGTTACATAGGTGGTCAGTAATTTAATATCTCCTTCGTCCAAAGCTATCGTGAATATTTAGTACAAGCAAAGAAGAGACAATGAGCTTGAGTTCTCAAGACATTACCAACAATCTTCTCTTCCTCCTTATCCTCGACGTTCTTTTCGTCTATTTTCATGTAACTGAATGTGAGTTCAGGTCCTTCTCTCTCAAATCATGTCAACTTACATTTTTCCCAATCGGCTTTAGGTGGCATATTTAATATTATTTGTAATTAACAGTGAGTCTATTGACAAGTTTGGTTAAGAAAGAAAAAAAAAGAAGAGAAATATCAGGCAGACCATTGTATATGTACACTGCAAAGTAACTTACGTGTCGCGAGGGCAAGTCCGCATCCTTCTTTTCAGTGCATCTTACGTCACGTTCAAGCGACTGGTTTTAATAAGCATCTTGTAGTAGACTCATTGGCAATGCTGCTTCATTGTAAAGCACATTCAATTATATAAGAGCTCTTGAAATGAGGGAATGGATCTTACATCTGTTTGCCAGGCTATGAAAGGCTACATCAGGCAAGTTGAAGCACTATCTCTCATCAAAAATGCGATACATCTACCCAATGTATTTTACCAATGCGTTGCACATGGAGATTAGATTGCTGTGTAGCGATTTTTGCATAGTTTCTTGCTCGCAAGTTTCTATCGGTGAGTACCTCAAACGCATCTATATGCTGTCAGCTATTTGGCAACCCAATGTCATTTGAAAGAGGAACATATGTGAGAGATGTTGCTTATTTGCGCAACATTGGACATTTCGACGTCGATTAGAGCTTCAAACTTGGACAGTGGATACACATTTCTGGCTAAGATGGCAACCCCTGGTGGTGCAGAAACTCTATCATGCTTTGTTACCTTTAGGTATGGAATACTACGAGCAACATCGCAACAGTAGGGCAATGATATGCCTTGACACTGCTATATCTACCGACTCAGATACGAAAAAATTGCCATTAAAGTAAATTTCTTGCATGACACAAGGTTTATACGGTTCTTAACATTAAAATCAATCAATACAATGCGCTTTCACTTACATCAAATAGTGGCACACCCTCTTGCTCCTCCATTATATACCAAAACACAGCAAAAGTTGGCTATTTTCAGGCGCTGATTTCTCATTGTACAAGCGTTTTTGGATGTTCAGAATGTCACCAAACACTTTCTCTTAATTAGCAGTTACTTCCCGATACTTTGTCTCATTTTTTTTTGGGGTCAAGAAAAATCGATGAGATTTGTCGATTTTGGACGAGGGATAGCAAGGCCTTTTTTTAAAATTCAATCAATGGCGTTTTTCGACCCAAAAATGAAAGTTGTGTATGTGGTGTTCTTAATATCAAAATGCTTCTGTCGGTCCAACGCATCATCCCAAATTGTTTGTGCAAAGTTTTCGTATGCAAAACCTCGACCTTTTTGCCAAAAGCCTCAATTCAAATTATTAAGAATTGCTCGAGACTTTTAGTGAAAAAATATGATAAAAATGGTACCATGAGATGCGCCTTCAAAGCATCGTCTAGATAGCTTACTGCAACAAGGTGCCTCAACTATGACTCATGTAGTCGAATTTCACAAAAGTGCTCAAACGATGTCATTTAAGTCGATTTTTGAACAGGAAAAATCATCGGAGGTTAAAGTAATAACGCGCTCCTATGATTGGATGGAGTACACCCCTTTATCTAGAAGCGCATTTTCCTTTCATTACGCACGTTTAGCTCTATCTTTTTTGTAGCAATAACCGTTTATTACCTATTATCAGAACGGATTTGTCTATTGTTTACGTATGACAGCAAACACAATAGAACCAAAAGCAACAGTAACCTGGTGGTTACCAAAGACAATCATGCAAATTCTATTTGTGAATTCTGGCTTGTTTTTCCAATCTACCTGCTGTGTATTAGGACAACTATTCTCTCTTTTCATATACCCGTTTTCGTTCAAGCTGTACAGACAGTATATTGCTTTTATGATGCAAACATGGTCCCAGAACCTGGTCGCTCTCATTCAATGGTTTGCACCCGCTGATTTTATCTTGACATTTGATGAGAATTGTGGTCCGATGCAAGATATTGTTCAAAGGGACATCAAGACTGGTGATGTGCACGGCCTCGTCTTTCCAAAGAGGATTATTGTCACTTCAAATCATCAGGTAAATATAAACAGGCTATACCTTACCGTCCGCTAGCACGCTGATCCATAAAATATATTTTCGCTATCAGATTTATGCAGATTGGGTCTACATTTGGTGTATAGCTTATCTTGGCAAGGCACATGGTGTATTAAAAATCTTACTCAAGTCGAGTTTAAAGAATCTACCAGTTTATGGGCAGTAAGTCGGTATCATGCACGGGTATATCCACGTAAATTTATGCGATAATATAGGGTAATAACAAGAGAAATAATCTATGACACTTTGGAATAACCATAAAGCGTCGGCAGGGCATGCGGCTTTTCGATTTCATATTTTTGCAGCGCAAACTAGCTATGGATAAGGACAACATTGTTTCAAATCTAGAAAGATCAAAGAAAGGAGATCAATCATTATGGCTAGTGTTGTTTCCCGAAGGAACAGGTAAATGTTGGCTGCTATCAATTGTTTGTTAGATAACAAGCAAACTGTATTTTTTTTTTTTTAGTTGTATCACCCAGCACTCGCAAGAGATCAAAGGATTTTGCTGAATTGAATAATATGGTAAAGCATGCTTGAAGAAAAGCCGAACGATAAACTGATATGAAGTCTTGTGAAGCATGATAACAGATACACATTATTACCAAGATCCACAGGTTTACGGCTTTGTACAACAACTCTTGCTGATAGCATTGACTACATTTACGATTTCACCATTGGATATTCTGGCATCAAGCCCAATGATATCCCTGAACAAGTGTATACTATCCAGAGCGTCTTTTTCTTCAACTTTTATCCAAAGCAAGTGCATGTTTACGTTCGTCGCTTCAAAGTCGATGCTATCCCTACTTCCGACGAAGCCGATTTCAATCAGTGGAACCTGGAGAGATGGAAGGAAAAGGACGAATTGATGGACCATTTTTATAAGCACGGCGTGTTTCCAAGCAATCCAGTAGTTGCTAGCACGGAGGAAAGTCGAGTCGTTGATGTGCCTATCCGATTGAATAGCTCTATATTTGATTTAGCTCGAATTTGGGTCTTTATTGTGCCTTATCTCTTGGTGCTGAAGAAACTATTATTATCCAGCAGTGGCACTGTCTAATTAAATTTTCTATCAATGTAGCTTGTTGCAAGTGATTACAGATATATTTAAATTGCCTAATCTGGATAACAAACAATCGATAAAGCATGCTACATATCTCACTGATAAGCTCATTTCCTTGGGTACAGTATAGACCACATCTCCTTCGATGCAGAAGCTCAGTTATACTCATTTTTAAGATGGCTCCCGAGATTAACTGGATCAAGGTTTCAGGGCCCTGGTCTAAATCAACTAAATGTTGACGATGAGTAACTGATTCTCGTCTTTCAAAGAGCCCTCCCGCTGCTGAAAGTGTACAATGAATGTTTCATACATCATTGAATCTCGGAACACAGGAAATCGATTATTTCCTAATTGGTTTAACAAACAAATCATTCCATTTTGATATCATGATAAGAAACGCTTCAGCGAGACATACTAGAGTCGAGATTAGAGAAGCTGACGAAATCACAAGCAATGCAAATAAGCTTTCATGTATACTCCATAGTCCAATAAAAATGTGATCCAGATGGATTACCAACATCAAGATGAATTGCTCATCTGGGCACGCCATAGATAAACGCCATGAGCAACCAATCATACGCAACTCGAGTGATTGGATGACAAAGTCGCCTCATCGCCTGTTAATTTGATTTGCGCATTTGTATAAAAAGGAACTGAGTTTCCGCTTGTATAATTCCTTATATAATCCATCAAACCTCAAGTCTTTTTTTTTTCTACCAGTTGCATTACCCCCCCCCCCTTTTCTTTTCATTGCATTCAATCAACCCCTACTCTGACTCCAATGTCTATCCAACCAAGGGTCCCTATACCTCAAGGAGGTGCATCGCTCATGCTGGCATTTCAAAGCAAGCAGAAGAGTGTCATTGTTATTGGTGACAGCGCTGTTGCTGCCAGTAGAGTTTTATCATGCCTCGAAGCAGATGCCATTGTATATCTCGTTGCCAATCCAAAGTTCATGTGCTCAGAATTGCAGTACAGAGTAGAACACCAGCAAGTTGAATTGCTCGCCCACGAATACAATATTAGCCTTTTGGACACACATCGCTTTGATTTGGGTTTCATTTGCAACATACCGTCTGATACAACAGCTGAATCCATTGTACAGCAATTCCGTCAACACCGCGTTCCAATCAACATTACAGATCATAGCGATCTCTGCGATTTCTTCATGACCTCCAACTACCGAGATCAATCACTTCAAATTGCAGTGTCGACCAACGGACAAGCATCCAAATTATCCAGCCGTATTCGTCGTCATATCACATCAAGCCTGCCTCCTCAATTGGGAGATGCTATCAACCGAGTAGGTGTATTGCGCAAAAAGGTCCGTGCTTCTGATCCTAGTTCTGCTGCTAGCATCAGACGTATGAAGTGGTTGGCTCAAATTTGTGAATATTGGAGTATGGATCGTCTAGCTCAGCTGTCAGATCAGGATATGGAAGAACTGTTGGATTCATACCACAACGATGAAGGATACGAAAGCTTGGAGGCCAATTCAGCGACAAACTCACCCGCGGCTTCATTAGACAATTTTGGCCTTGTCAAGCCCTCTGTCCCTACAGGAAGCATTGTGTTGGTTGGATCTGGTACGGGTGACCCTGAATTACTGACGTTGGCTGCTCATAAGGCCATCGAAGAGGCTGATCTTGTGCTGGCTGATAAGATTGTGCCTGCTGAAGTGGTCGCTTTGGTCAAGTGTGATTTGAAGATTGCTCGCAAATTCCCTGGAAACGCTGATGCTGCTCAAGAAGAATTCAACGAAATGGCCTTGAAGGCAATCAAACAAGGTAAAAAAGTGGTTCGTCTCAAACAGGGCGATCCTTATCTGTTTGGCCGTGGTGGTGAAGAGGTGTTGTTCTTCCGTAAGCACAGTATCGTGCCTCGCGTCATTCCTGGTATATCTTCCACAGTCGCTGCTGCTTTGTTGGCTGGTATTCCTCTCACACATCGTTCTGTTGCCTCCCAATTCTTGGTGACGACTGGCACTGGTGCTCGTAACTCGTCTGCTCCCTTGCCTACATTTGATAAGCACCGCACAGATGTATTCTTGATGGCTATTCATCGCTTGGAAGCTTTGGTTCAAGACTTGATGACACATCAGCAATATCCAGCCGATATTCCCTGTGCTATTGTAGAGAGAGCAAGCTGCAAAGATCAGCGTGTGATTTGGGGTCAACTTTCCAACATTGTGCAAGTCTTGGAGAGCTGTGGTGGCAGTCGTCCTCCTGGACTATTGATCGTTGGTCACGCTATCAATGTCCTGAAGCATGAAAATAAGGGTTTAGAAGGTGTTGCTGCCAATTTGATGACTGCATCTGGTTTAGCTTCTGATGTTGTCTATGGTGAAAAGATAACTCCTAGCCAAGATGTTGAAAAGAATGCCAATCTCTTGGGTCTGCATGATCCAGAAAGCGTGTATTAATCGCTTGATCCCTTCCACTCACATATACCACCGTTCTTAATAATTTGTACATATTATACACACATTATCTCGTTTAGCTTGATATCCACTTGCATCTTTATTCAATAAAAAAGTAAAATGACGCTCTACACCTAATTGATCTACTGAGCACTTTCCTTAATGCGCTTTGCGACTTTGTTGTTTGCTTCTTTTAAACGAGGTGCTAATCTCTCTGCGATATCAACGAGTACTCTTTCCAGATCCTGATTGCTAGAGAGTTTATTTTGCTGCTGGTCATCACTGTTCAGGTTTAAGGTTTTCTTGTAGCAGTCTTGTATATGTGTGAACTTGGAGCAGCAGCGAGCTAATTTGTAGGCACTCGTACATTCATTCACAAAAGGTTCGCAGGCTTGGGCCGTTTTCCTTTCTTACCAGTTAAGGATAACCGCATTGTGGATACCTCACCGCTTGTCTAAGCTGTTTTCTCCTCGTTGTCATCGACATCTCGTGCTTGCCAGTATCGTCTTTCCACTAAATCATACCGAAAACTTTGCTCGCAGCCATCAAAGCCTCCTCCTTTCAACCCATCCATTCGCCCATCCTGGTCAACCTTTTAGTCTTTGCCGTTATCACACTCATGCCGCAATGTTTGGTGCCGTTTTCTTCATCACCGGACTCCTCATCGTATTCGCTTGCATGAATGGGAACGGGCCCCTTCACCCTCTTGTGCCATTTGTCAACATCCGGCTGAATCGATTGAACATTTCATGCTCTCATGTCTTGCCAAACTGACTGTCTGGCAGCAGGTTCACAACAAATATTTGGGCGCAGAAACTTCCATCATTCCCCTAGGCCTTCACCATCTTCTTGCCACCGTTCGATCTCCTTATGTTCGTACGACGTCCGATCTTCGTATCATTGCTACCACATTGGAATCCATTTCGTTATCACATTGGTCCTTTATCTTCAATGATATGCCGTTTACCACTGACACTGTCTTCGCCCTGGTCGCTCAAAAGATGTGTCAACACAAACAAGAGTCATTCATGGCGACTGGCATTCCGCACTTACCTCCTCCTTTCTTCTTTGTAGATCCCATTTAAGGTTGGGTTGATCTCTCCTCTCCATTTGTCGTTCTGCTTCTACTGCAACATTTCGACCACTCAACCTCCAAAATAAACCAATCGGCAAGTTAAAATCCAAAAAAAAAAATCTGTAGGTACTAAGGAGTATGAAGTTTGAGCACACTTGCTTCAATTGAGCGTACTTGTCATGAACATTGACATGATCCCTTTTATCGATGAGTAGCTCGCTGACTTTGTTGAGCGAAGCACTTGGCAAGAATAATCGAGTTGCTTCAGTTGGATGAAAGTTAATCGTTGATGGCCCCAATTCAGGATCAGAGTGCTTGTCTAACCTGAGGCTTGATGTTACCAATGCTGTCATAGCGTGCGTACCAATAACCGGTTTATGAGGGCTGTCGTTAGCCATGCTGTGAGTTTTAAATGTGTGATAGAGCTCTTGTCCAGTAGGTAAACTATTGCTTCGTGGATTGTGTCGTTCTGAATGTGCATTTAGGTGTCTAGAACGGTTGTATGTCTCTATACAATTCACAAGGAGAACTTGTTCTTTTTCACTAGTATACATTCAGCTAAAATTTGCATACACGCAACGGCTCCGTCCTTGGCCTGGATTGAAAATGGTTGCATACCTATGCTACTCAATATGCCTTCAATCATTGTATGCTTGCTGTCATCTGGCCGTGCTTCATCTCCATACATTCGGGCAATAGCTTCTTTTGCTGTCTTGGCTCTCTTGGCTATCATTTGCTCAGCCGTGCCAACGCTGTCTGTAAAAGGCGCAATATCAGTTCGAATGGTTGGACGACTAGCCTGGAAGTACACTTGTAAATCTTGGGGTTTTGAACAGTCTGTATGAGTACAACTTACGATTAAGTCATAATCATCCACAGAGTGGATAGCACAAACAAAACAGCCATTGTATGTCTTTACGGCTACTCCCTGCTTCTCGTAATTCGCGACTTCTGAAGCTTTGGCAAGAACAATACCAAAAAAATATGAGAGATAACATTGTGAATAACATCATAGTCTGCCATTTCTCGATGCTACCCACCTGCAGCCATTTGTTGCTCACCTCACAACTGACGACAGCCTTGCAATGACTTCAACTGGATGTAAATCCAGCCTGTTTCAGTAGGCATGCTCTTCTGCTTCCGTTGTTTCTCAGCATTTGGCTGCCATAGCATCTTCTCAATAGTCCTTTTCTGGTCAATTTCCTTGACCATGATCTAAAGAAGTTTCGTCTAAAGATCACTGTTGCCTGGATGCTGCGTAAAGAATCTCATTCTTTCAAACTATTCTACAGCATTAGCCATCAAATCGATGGACTCTCGATCATCAAAATAGCTTGTTCCCAAACATGATATTTTACCAGCAATAATGATTATTACGGTATAATAACAAATGGATTGTGGAAAACATCCACTCTGATCTGCATTCCGATAGTTCATGCAGTTACCAGATTTTGATATGTACTATGTGTGCACTGGATTAGATGTACGATACAGATTTATAATATAAGAAGGGCATGAGCTTCAGATACGCTACTACTACTATCTTCACTGCAAAACCATAGTATACAACAAGCAGCAAATTCGGCTTTTCATTTCCATTATTAATAAGCTTACCAACAACATAACGCATCAACATTTGCATGAATTAACCTTACCAAAATCAATATGCCTTCTATTCAAATTAGAAATTGCGCAGGCTGCAGAACTACCCCTCCAGAATATTTCAGCTACCAACGATGTGATACATGCCGTGTAGATAAAAGCTATAAAGCAAAAAGGTAACCAAATTTGACAGCTTTCAAGCCTTCATATTTTGACATGTACACTTTTCTGAGTCGCCGGAATGACGCCAAATAACTGTACTTGAGTAGCAGTAACTTCCAGACACCTTTGCTCAACTTTTTGAAGACACAAAAAACATGGCCAAAAATCAACCAAAAACCATGAGGGGTACCTCATGCTTTTTATCGAAAATCAAACGATCGCATCTTTCACCTTGATAATGAAGACTTTTACTATGGTATATATCAAATCAAAACGGTTCTCTCGATCCAAAGCAACCTCTGAAACTACTTTTATGAAACTTTCATATGCAAAATATGGCAATTTTCGCTAAAAACCTCATTTCAAATGTTATTAAATTGCTCAACAATTTCAGTCAAAATACGTATTACAGTTAATACCATTGAAAGCGCCTTGAAAAGTACTTTAAGAATGTATTAGGAAGCGTAGGGTGATCATCACAATTTATATAGTCGAAGATCATAGAATAGATTAAAGAAGTCGAAGAAAGACAAAATTTGTCCAATCTTGAACAGAAAAAAAAATAAACTGAGCTTCAATTGATTTTGGCGGCGGCATTGCTGCTGGCTGACCTAAATGCCTTTCTGTTGATGACAATGATGATTGTGATGCTGATTAAATGGGAACCTTAGAACTGGAAACTTGCAGTGTACCATTGACAGGCTGATTACAAACAAGAATAAGAAGCGTAGGTTTAAACCTAGAGCGCCAGCTACCAGGAACATTAAACAGCGATTAATCTGGATGGCTTACAACATTACGCAAACTATATTGGATAAAATTAACATCCAAGTCTAATATCAATAAAGACTTTTTTTTATTCATTCAACTAAAGCCATAACATTTTCCTGCACACTCTCTATATCTACATCCATGTATATCTCGATCAGCAGTGCAGTGCAGACAGCAGGCAGCAGATCTCAGATGGCATATACTATTCTTACGTATAAGTATCTGACATGTCCTGATACCCTGCGGTGCTGGTTTTATGAAATGTGCAGCGAAATGGGTGGAAGTCCTTGCAGTAATTGTTGATCCCAAGACAAAAAAAAATAATTAAAGCTGTTTAAGTTGCTGATGTGTTGCAATAATCTTGATGTAGACAGTATTTCAGCGATAGAAGGTATATATGAATTTATGTTCCCAAAGATTTAAACGTAAGAACGTTCAACTTATTTCCAATGTGTTGTATAGATCAAAATATATAAAAATGTAATAGTAACCAGTTTGAACACCAGTTCAGGAACAGCATTCTGATAGGCTTCAAGTTTAAATACCGCTTATTGAAATTTATACAACAAAATTTTTTTAAAATCGCAACAGCCCGACAAAGGTTGCGTGATGTAATTGGTTAGCATGTAAGACTCTGAATCTTGACATCCGAGTTCGAGTCTCGGCGCGACCTTCTATTTTTTAAGTTCCTGATCCACGACCCTTATCCAACATTGCTGGTCTTAATGTCATTTTTGATACATATTGGTGTTACGAATCGTAATATCCACTTTCTTTTTTTTTGTCACTATTGTCGTTAATAGAGATATGGTTATTGAGTAGGCCTTGGCAAATGTATATAAAATAATAGAATTAAGATAAAAGATGTTCTTTATTATTTTATATACATTAGTCTAAGTCTACTCAAAAACTATATCTCTATTCACGACAACCCAATCTGCTCCTCTCCATTATACAAATAAAATATACCACATTTGGTATCGTTTAAATTACGCTCTGTCCACAACTCAATCTCAACTCAAAATGTCGCATATCAAGCGGACATGAATGCAAGCCCCAGATCAACGCTGCAATGCCTTCCGTATCTTGTATCCAAAAGGACAATTATATATAAAACCTTACATCTTGAATTCATGAAATACAATTAAATAAGCATATCATATGAAACTATAGACTTTGATCCTTGTAAATTAAGTTATCCCTCGTTCATTGAAGGATATTAGTACAGAAATAGTATCAAATCTCAATTCAATCCTCTGTTAATCAGGACATTATCACAGATATAAAGAATAGGAAAAAAAAATATAAAAAGCATAAGCTCAAAATCAATTAATAAAATTATCTTATGCTTTACCAATATCTCAATGCATATCTTTTATGAAGCTCATTAGCTGTTATACTACTTCTTATCCTATACTAAACATCTGTTATCTGTAAAATCCCTTGAATTCCTTATATTTCCCATGTTATAATCGATTCATTGTAAACTCTTTTATATACATTTCTGTATTGCTTTCTATTTTCTACCTTTTCTTCTGTTTATTTGTTTATTCTAGTTGGACAACTATAAACCTGATGCTCATTTGATAGTTAGATCTGCTTTGGCTAATTTAATATCTCTTTTCAAACTCTTTTATCGAAACTCAATTGCTTGCCTGTGAAAGCCTCTGATGGTCCTCCATCTTATTGGCCTACTTCGCTTGCTCTACTACATGCCATTAATAGTTTAGTGCATCCGTTGGCTGTCATTCCTGCTGATCTTGATCCAGGATCGCTATGGTTCTCTGCTAGACAGTCTCCCCATTGATGAACGTTTGCTGTTTTGTTTTCTCAGTGCGATACCACAGTGGTAAGTAATTATCAAAGTCCCCAACCGTTGGCCATTCCTCCAGATCAAATCACCAATACCAGTATTCATGCTGCTCCTATGCCACTACCATACGTTCCTTTTCCCTTTTTCATTTTGTTAGTGTCCTGTAAAGAGTTTTTGTACCTCTCTCTTGTTGACTCTGGGATTCTATGCTAATGCTCATACCGAATGCCCATTGAATCCATGTATATACAATAAAACTATCCTTAAACTGACCTATTTGTCCACTCTCATTAGTAGAACTTTTATCCATTATTAAAGTATATAAGGAGGATTATCTACCTGGCCAGTAGGGATTCTTCAGTTTATTTTACACCTGTCAGTTTGATAATAAAAATACCTTTATTAAGTTGACTTTTATTGATTTTTTATTCTTTTTTTCCGTGAATTTTAGACTTAACAAGCCTCAAATTCCATATGGATCATGAATTATGCCTTTCTTAAGGACCCTAGCCAATTCATTTTTCAAGTGCACTTCTGAAATGTTGAATAATGTCCTCGAGACTAGCATTGAAAATCTCATTTTCGCCACAAAGGCATTATCTGCCAACTGCCGAGTCTTCATCAATTACACATTAGGCAGATTATTTCCCCTGCCTGTAATTTCAGGCATTGTTGGCTTGGGGAAATATAATTTCAAGCAGTGTGACATGGGAACTATAGACTTGAGAAATATACCAAGTACTGTGAGCTTGCGATAATATAGTTGTTTGATAATACTACGGACCCCTCAAGGATAGAATAGTAGGGGCACCTCATGTTCTCCAAAACGCTGGACACCTCAATTCAACCAATAGTCCAATCCCCTACAGTACCAGAAAAATATAATGTTTCTGCTTATCAGGATTGGAAATAGGGCGAAATGGAGACCCTGTAATAAAGAGATCATGCCCATAGCCATTAAAAAACGAACGACTGCCTTCATTACGTTTAAAACCACTGGGGTAGCTTTCATGATGCAGCATTAGAGGGAGCTCTCCTGATTTGATTCGATTTCATGATTCCTTGATTCAAGTTTATTTACAAAAACAGCACACATATCAAGATGTCGCTAATAGTATCTTTTGTGATGCTTCATACAATGCCTGATCCGCCTTCTTTTTCAAACACTCGACGCTCAACTCTATCACTGTTTGGATATCTTCATGCAGGTCTTCAGGCTCACTGATGAGCTTATCCAGCTTGGCCAGCGGTTCATAGAATAAAGGGATTTCGACAAGCTCTCTTTGGATATCTTGCTTGATGCTAAGACAGCTATTGTTAGAATCGACAGTGGAGAACGTTGATGAATCATTTAGCAATCGCAGCAAAAAGTTAAACACTCTTTGGACCAGTGTGGTAAGCGCCTTGATGGCATTGTTGATCTTGGATGTGTTGTCGCTCAATTCCTGAAAGTACTTTTCCAGTTCTTCTTCATGCTTCTTCATGGTAGCACCTAATTTGAGTCGACTCATATGCTGTTTCTTGTTATATTTCTTGTTTCGCTTCTTGTAGATTTTTTTGGGATTGGGCCGTGGTGGCGGTAAATTGCTTGCAGATGCTAACACCAGCATTTCTACTTCCAGCTCCTCTGCTAATTCCACCAAAATGTGGATGATGGTCCAGTTGATGTCTCCAAAAGTGCGGCTTCCTTCTTGGCTGTAATACACATTCAACACAAGTTCAAACAAGCTATCTGGCTCTGGTGTATCGGATAGCAGGATCAGGTCCATCACGCGCTCTAAAAACGTTCTCCCTGGTGCCGTTGGCAGGATGCTCTGCCCTTGATCTGCTGCTGCTGCTGCTGCTGCGAGTGTACTCTGATGAATACCAATAGTCAGGAATTTCTTGATCATTTGCTTGACGAGCACCGGTGCTTGGTCGTAGAGCCCTGCGCACTGCAACACCCAGCTCACTGGCACTGTAAACTTGTAATCGTTGTTGGTTCTGGGCAATGTCCATAAATCAGACCAGACTTTGATCAAACGCTCCTTTTTTGCACCATCACCAAGACGCACCATTTCTTGCAACAAGGCTGCTAATCCCGTATGTTTAATGGCATATACATCGTGCGTGCTGCACAAATCCAGCGTGCTGAATGTCATTTGCTGTGTGGAGACCAGTGGTGTGGCGAAATACCACTCGAAATCACTACGCGTCTTGAGCAACTGTCGAAACACACCCGAAGCCACAGTCTTTCCCTTGGTATCTTCTCCCACCAGTAGTAGTAGGTTACTCAAAAAGTGGTTTCTAAACCATGATCTCGATCTCGGTAGTTTGGGATCCGTGCCTGACATGTGCTGTCTTAGGTAAGCAAGAAGTTGATCCATGTAGACCTTGCTCTTGGATGTGAATAGCGTACGCACCACAATATCTTTGGAGACTTGAGGACCATCGTCAAAGTAATGCAGTAGAATTGTTGCAAATGAAGTGTTCTTTTTCAGCAGCCATTCCAGCCCATGATCTGAAAATGTGTGCAGTAAGGTGGGCACCACATGCGCTGATTGAGATACACACGTCTTGAGCAGCACCTTCGTATACTGAGTAAATCTGAATGGCGTTTGTTTTGTAATCAGCTCCTTTTCTAGTCCTTGAGCAAGCCATTCAGCATATCGCTTTACAATGTCTGCACTGGCTGATTGCAGGCAGTCTGCCACCCAGTCTTCCACACTGCTGCTATTTCCACTCAGTGTCAGTTTTTGCAGTATTGAACAACATCCATCCATTAGCACCACGTCTGAGCAATTGCTGAATTCAGAGAGATCAATGTAGGCACCTGATTTCGTCTGGTACGAAGTGCTGCTGTCATTCAACGAGATATCTGATGTTTGCTGCTGCTGTTGCTGTTGATGGTCGTCAGGTATATTGAACAGCTGAACAAAGGCATAGTAAGGTGATGTGCGGCGATTGTATCGAGATTTCTGTAATTGTGCTATAATGACATCCATCACAAACCCCAAATGCCGGTGAAATCTATCTCTTGCAGTCCAGTCTGCTAGGGCAAGATCGAGAATTGTCTTTCTGTCTGTTGGGTAATGCGATTGAATGGCTTCTTTCAGGTGCAAATCGAATTCATGTGGATAGAGAGCGCCCATTTTCTGGAGCCAAAACAACGTAGCTTTTCTGATGGCTTCTGTCTGTAGATATTTATCGGCGGGTGTGCTGGCGAGTATGTCTGTGCTCAAGAGCGGATTGGAGGCTTCACCTGATGTGGCATGTTCAAGTGCTATAGGCAAGCTGATGAGTCAAGGGCAGAGGAGTGCATGTACTACTTACCTGTTTGGGCTTGCATCTGCTGGTATATTTTACGGATAGATGTGTATCGATTCGATCTACTGTTGCACGCATTATCCAAGCATATCTTGCCCACGATAAACTCATCCTTGGTGAAGGGTGGTCTTGCCAACGCACTGCCCAACTGCTGATTCACTTGCTCGGCCAACACATCAACCTGAAGCTCCTGAAGCATGCGAATCATCGTAATCACTGCATCTTCTGCTAGTTTGCCATTGCTGTAAGCAGCCTCTACCTTGACTAAATACAGTTCCTCGGCGTCTGATGTGGTGTTGACATCCTGATTCAGCATACAACAGCAATTCAGCCATAAATGCAGCATGACAATGGGCGAATTCGAGTGCACAAACTGCAAGATGCCTTTCATCCACTCTTCTCGGTGTCGTATCAGCTCAGGCTTATTCCAAATAGCCAATACAAGCCCATACAGATATACAAGAATGGTGATGTTGGCGCGCAAGACAACCCAGGTTTTGGTCGAAAAGTAGCTAGGAAACTCAATCAGCCATTCGATGCCATTTTGTCGCAAAAGCCCATTGATACAGCTTCGAAGTGAATCAATGACAATCGATTTAGACAGTTGTGCGCTGTAAGGATCGTCGTCGTGAATAATGGAGAGAATCACTTGAATAAAGGTATCAAAGAACACAAAAGTGTCTGCTCTGTTGATAGGCAAATCGTACGCGGTGCTGTTTTGGATCTTTTCAAATATGACGACACTGTCTCCTTGTGCCAGCAGTTGCTGCAGATCATTTAGCGAGAGTCGAGTGTCTTTCTGGTTATTGAGCAAGCTATTCAGATCCATGGTGAGCTGTGCTGTGCTGGGAGAAGGAATATAGACGAAAGAACTACCATTTCATGTCTACGCCTGGCTTTCAAATGACAGGCAAATGAGGTCTGAATTCCAAGCAAAAATTTTGAGAGTTACACGCTTTTATCCTTGTCAACACAATGTCGTATCCTTCACTTTGCTATGGAGAAGAGGGCGCTAGGTAGACCAACCCTTTGAATGCTCGTATTTGTACTAAACCCATTTAATTGCTATAGATTGACTCAAGCATTTCAGCTGGCATTTGAAGACAATGCACCTCCCTCCACCATACTACTTAGAGGAGACTCAGGCACAGGCAAATCATACATTATTCATCACCTCGCTCAAACATATCATGCAACAGTCTACACCGCCCTGCTTGGCGAACTAGCTGCTACCCAGCGTGGTCAGCTCAGCAAAGGGTTCAAACGACTCTTGTGGAAAGCCTCAACGACAACCAAAAGTCTTTTGTTAATCGAAGATTTAGACTTGTTCTTTCCTCGCCATGGTCAGAGCACACAGGATCCATCGTTAGCAGCTATTCTACAGTCATTGATGCAAGAAAACAAGGTGATGCTTGTCGCCACAACACGAAAACCAGATCACATTGCCATGGATGTCAGAACATTGTTCCAAGACGAGATAAGCTTGCAGATACCAACGCCTATAGAAAGGAAGCATATGATGTATCATACATTCACTGCCTATTTCCCTACAAGCACAGCTATTACAGAGCATGATATCGAGCAGCTGTCATCCAGAGCACACGCATTTGTCGCTGCCGATCTTGCATTATGGGTCAAGCTAGCAGAGCAAGAGGCCATCAAGAGCAAGAGTGCACAGGGTAAGTTGACATTGAAGCTAATGTCAGTCAACATGGCCTACTCAACACTTTTGATAGTCCACATGGATCACTTTGACAAGATATTCGATCACATTCGAGTCAGTGGCTTCCAGAGTTCAGCAATGGCAGAAAAACCAGATCCAGTCTATTGGCATGACATTGGTGGTCTCGTAGCAGCTAAAAATGCACTAGAGGAATCTGCTGTCTGGGTGTATAAGCATGCCGATGCCTATAAACGATTGGGCATTCGACCCTCCAAAGGTGTGCTGCTGTTTGGCCCACCAGGTACAGGCAAAACGCTTCTGGCCAAGGCAGTGGCTACTGAATCATCAGCCAATTTCTTGCCTGTGAGTATACCTGATTTGATCAAGGGCGAAGTAGGTGAATCAGAAAAGGCTGTTTCCAGGATATTCCAAACAGCCATTCGTTGCAGTCCATGTGTCATCTTTTTGGATGAATTGGAAGCTATTTTTGCTTCTCGAGAAAGCTCTGGAGATGTCGGTAGAAAGGTGAGTGCCTATCTCCTGTTACCAGCCTGATATTCTGAACATATTTTTGTAGCTGATATCTCAATTTCTGATTGAAATTGATCATTTAGACAAGATTGATCAAAGTGTCATTCTGCTGGGAGCTACGAATCACCCCGAATCCATCGATAGTTCCATTCTACGACCAGGAAGGCTCGATCGACTTGTGTATGTGGGCGCACCGAATCAAGATGAGCGCTTTCAAATTTTACAGGTATTGAAGCACAAAACAAAACTGGACGCCAGTGTTGATTTGCAGGTGATTGCATCCAAAACGGAAGGTTACACTGGTGCAGATCTCCAGGCTGTCATCCGAAAAGCAGGCCTTTTATCGCTCAAGAAACAGTTGCTCGAGATTGATCAAGCCAACATTGAACTTGCATTGACCTTTGTCAGTCCATCCATTATACCAGACCAAGAAGCTATGCAAGAGTGATTGATTTGTAATATATATATATGTGTATTTATTAAATGAATAAAAAACAAAGTTGATTTTTTATATGAAAAAAGAAAAAGGTGGGAAATATCTAAAGGGAAGGGAAGAAAAAAGTGTTCTAGTACATGTGAAGGGCTTTTTTTTTTGCAAGGAAAAGGGATGAAAGGGTGTATCTCTAAAGCATTATTATTTACAAGGAAGCATCGAGCTCACCAACGGCGGCCAAAATGAGACCCTTGAAAAGAGGACATGGGTTCAAAGGACGAGTGAGGTATTCAGGATGGTATTGGCAACCAACAAAGTAGGGATGTTCTTCCATTTCAACAATCTCCATACGCTGGCCAGTCTCATCCTTACCAACAAACTTGAGGCCCTTGGACTCAAACTTGTCAACGTGTTCAGGGTTGACTTCATAACGATGACGATGACGCTCATCCACAGAGGGCTTACCACCATACAACTTGCGAACACGAGACTCTTCAGTACCATCTTGGAAGACAGTAGCACGAAGACCAAGACGCATAGTACCACCCATATGAGTCTTGGAGATTTCAGGCATGTAAACAACGACAGGAGAAGGAGTATCAGGGTTCATTTCAGCGGAATCAGCATCTGCCATACCACAGACGTTACGAGCAAACTCAATGACAGCAATTTGCATACCGAGACAGATACCCAAGTAAGGAATCTTGTTTTCACGAGCCCATTTGGCAGCCATAATCATACCTTCAATACCACGACCACCAAAGCCACCAGGCACCAAAATACCGTCAGCGGCACACAAGTTTTGCCAGGATTCATGGAACTTGATAGGATCCGCCTTGAGTGCTTCAGACTCCAAGTCAGTAGCTTCAATCCACTTGATTTCGAGCTTGCGCTTACAAGCAAGAGCAGCGTGCTCAAGAGCCTTGTAGACAGAGATGTAAGAATCGTGGAGGTTGGTATACTTGCCGACAAGAGCAATAGTAACAGTTTCGTGAATGTGTTCGTAACTACCAGCCAAAGTAGTCCACTTGGTCCATAATTCCTCACCAGCCAAACGGCTTTCATCGCTGATCTTGAGGGCATCGAGGTTGAGACGACGACGGAAGAAATCAATGACACCGTGTTCACGCATCAAGATGGGGACGTGGTATACAGAAGAGACATCATGCACAGCCAAAACTTGCTCGGGAGCAACGTGACAGAACATGGAGATCTTGGAAGCGACAGAGGGATCCAAGATCTTGGAGGAACGGCAAGCAATGAGATCGGGAGTGAGACCAGCACCACGGAGATCACGCACACTCATTTGAGTAGGCTTGGTCTTTTGCTCACCCACAGAGCCAACGACAGGCACAAGAGAGACATGGATCAAACAGAAGTTGTCATGGCCCACACGGAATTGGAATTGACGCATGGCTTCAACAAAGGGAGCAGATTCAATATCACCCACAGTACCACCCAATTCAATGATACACACATCAGGCTTCTCACCAGAATCATCGATAGGTAAATCAGCGACACGCTCAACCCAGCTTTGGATGGCATCAGTGACATGAGGAACGACTTGAACAGTCTTACCGAGGTAATCACCCTTACGCTCCTTTTCAATCACTTCACTGTAGATTTTACCAGTTGTAATGTTATTGATACGGCTCAATTCGACATCGAGGAAACGCTCATAGTTGCCCAAATCCAAATCAACTTCACCACCGTCGTTCAATACAAAGACCTCGCCTAGTCATTTGATATCAGTCGTCTGTCTGGGCAATTCGCTTTTCCTACAAGGACTTACCGTGATCCAAAGGACTCATCAGACCAGCATCTATGTTGAGATAGGGATCGATTTTGATGGCTGTCACACGAAGACCCAAACTCTTCAAAAGAGTACCGGTACTGGAGGCAATGACACCCTTACCAATACCAGAAATGACACCACCAGAGACAACAATATACTTGGTCATTTTTTAACAATACAAAAAGATTTGTTGTAATAGAAAAAAGAAAAAAAAAAAAAAAACCCTTGGTTTGACATTTGAGCTTTTTTTTTTTTTTTTTTTTTTTTTTTTTATTAGCAATGCTACCAACCAATTTGGTCTCTGTGACATCTTGTGTATAAGCCACGCACGAATCTTTTATGCTCTCCATGGAAACTTGTTGTATTGAAATAAGGTGCACCACTACAAGCCACTGTGGTCAGCTCCGTTCAGCGAAATGGTGTGGACATTTGAAGGCTATAGCATAAGACTAATACAAATGTCAAGAAACGATAGATGTTGCAGTCTTTTGATTTGTCTGGATCAGAACGTGTTAGGTCCAAACTGAATGGCTGTATGACAAACAAAGATCATGTCATGCATACAAAATAAAGTTTCCATTTCAAGCACTATTCACCTGATAAAAAGAGTGCTGTGAGCGATGACTCTTGACAGATTGGCTTCATCGCATTTTTTCTATCAATTTCTGTTTGGCATTGCTTAATGCCTGTCTCTGATTAATAGTCTGTATATTGTAAATCCTAAAAATTCGATGATTTTGATTCAAAAATCATGGAATACAGACAACTCTTATCGAATTAACAGAGCAGCTGTTTATACTGTTCCATCATGAAAACCATTTCAATAATTTCGTATGCAATGAAGGCATTCATTTGTTTCTAGAAGGTCATGAGTTTGATCTCTCTATTGCAGGTTCTCTACTTTATCCCTTTTTATTTGCGAAATTTTATATCAATCAGTATTCAATCACTCTTGATATCCTGTATCTATTTTTTACAACGGCTTTTGGAGTATTCTGGAGGCAAGAGCAAACAAGCATCCATCGAAGAGATGTAGAAAAGCTGGCCTCAATTGAGAAAGACACGTGTGTATATGATTGTTATAAGGATACCATGCACTGACCCAGTCATGTTCATTTCAGGGCTAGTGAACGCCTCACCCACACCAGCAACATGCATACATAGTATAGCTTAACGGTCAAGAGGCGATAGTGATCACTAAAGAATACCTTTATGCAAGCCCTCGCGTCAACAGGCCGTGATTTTGTCAATATATATCTCTTTGAATGCCCATGCTGTTTTGGGTCGCATCAGCCAAACGAAATGGAAGTATTTGGCAATCAAGAATTGGAAAGGGCCCTTGCTGATACAGCAGAAACATTAACACTTCAATTCAAAGAAGCAAACAGCTAAGATGCAAAGCTCATCAAAGACAAGACTCAATAGAAAAGGGTATTGTTTGGACAGAAATATTTATGCTTCGGATGGCACTCTACCTTCGCTTCGCTTCGGTGAGAACAAACCTGCGCAGGGGCAGCTCGCGCTACCGATTGCCCTTGCGTACCTTGTCAAAATACTGCTACTTTCATGTTGACCCTCCACTTACACATGCAAATCTTTCATATTATCTGTGGATCTAATTCTTATGTGATGCTCTACATCCATATACACGTAGCTATTTCATATACGGGCAAGTATCATACAGATATGATCCCTTTTTAGTCAAAAGTGTGCCTAAAACAGCAAAATCTGGGCATATTTGAGCTGTGTTTTCTCGCGTTCAAAGCCGTTTTAGATCATCAAAAGAGTACCAAAAAATTGCCTTCGTCTGGCAGTTACTTCCTGACGCCTTTGCTCAATTTTTTAGGGACCCAAAAAACAGGGCCAAAAATCGACCAAAAAGCATGAGGTACCCTTCATGGTTTTCATCAAAAATCAAACGATCGCGTTTTTCACCTTGAAAAAGAAGACTTTTACTATGATAAATATTAAACCAAAATTTTTGTCTCGATCTAACGTAACCCCTGAAATCAATTTTGTAAGATCTTGATATATGAAATTTCGATATTTTGGCCAGAAACATCTTTTTATATTTTCTAAAATTGCTCAATAAGTTCAATCAAAATACCTATTATGATTAGCGCCATTGGAAGCGCCTCGAAGAGTACTTCAAAAATGCAATAGGAATTATAATGTGTTTATAACAATTTGCATAGTCGAATCTGGAAAATAGGTCGAGCCATGTTCGAAAAGTTCAAGATCTAACAAATCAGAAGAGAAACTAGAGCGGAGATGTAACTGTTTTTTTGGCTGGCAAAATTGATGCCATCCCTACTTCCAAGCTCAAAATTACATTTCTCCAAGCTTAGAGAGCTCCAAATTATATCCTACTACCAAGCTTGGAGCGCCTGAAGTTATATCCTATCAAGCTTGCTGTGCCTACTATTGAAGTATGCTAATCACCACTACCTTATAATGTCAGGATGCTTTAGGAAATCAGCACCATACAAAACAAATGATTGGATTACAACATAGAGCATGGCCTCAATGAGCAATGGTGAGGACAGGCACCCAATCATTTGTGCTCTGTCTATCACCCAAGCCTTGATGGCGCATTGTTTTGTGTAGTCTCTGAAATGGTCTTTGTAGTGTCCACCATATGTTGATTTCCATGTGATTCATTATTTGTGTCGCTGCTGCTTGTATCCCTCCAATAAATTGAACATGCGCGAGCATTGGTTTGAAATTCCTTTGCTTTCTTTTCGAAAATCATGACAAAAATGGCCTCAATAACACCCACAGTGCAAGAATTTTGGAGCAACCTATGTATGAATGCTTTCAACAACCATACACTTGCCAACGATTTCATTCTGTTCTTTGATGGCTGCAAGACAGTTATGCCTGATGGCTGTTTCTCTTGGAAGACATCCAATCCAGATTATCAGTACAACCTTCAGCAACTGAACTGCATTCAGCTCGACAAGGACACATTCAGCTTACCCATGGAGACAGTCAACATCTTTATAAATGAGAAAAGAAAGACACGCTCAGAGTGGCATGTGAAACGTCAAATGGAGCTGAAGAAGCATCTACAACAGACATTAAAAAATGTGAGCACTTCCCCTCTTGACTTGAATGACGATCAAAAGAAGGCTCTGGTGAAAGAGTTTGTGAGTATCCATGAAACTGACTTGGGATCTGTGCCATTCTTGAGCCGATTAGCAGGCTTTCTTCGGTATCAAATACAGCACAGGCACAATGTAGTGGAATGGCGAATGAGTGAATACATTCTGACCCAAAACGATGAAGAGGCTATGGAGTCTTACATCAGATTACTTCGAGGTGTTCTAGGCATGCAATTAGTATACCAGGACGACGACAATAAACACAGCCATGACACTGTCGCCATTGACATGCATAGCAACAACACCAACAAGACAGCAACAGACCCCGAGTTGATTTGGCGAATGAGTCCTGACATTGATGTTCATTTGTTGCAAGACATTTTGAAATACATGCCCAAACAAGCTCAGACATTTGCAGACTACACTGTAACAGATATACCCAGAGCTGAATCCTATGAACATAGAAATATACTTCAATGGATATTGGATATCCTGGGCCATTGTCTATCCTTTTTACACAAATAAACCAAACACATTCCCATCCACCTTAATTAAATGTAAAATCAAAATTTTATTTTCTCATTTTTTCATATAGAAAAAAAAGTTGGAAAAAGCAATTTAGTAACCGAGAGCGGCAATGGAAGCGTTAACATCCTTGATGGCATCAGCCTTGGACTCAACAGCCTTCTTTTGGATGGCAGCGAGAGCGGTCTTACGTTGATAGTAAGCAGCAGACTTGGCCTTACGCTTCTCTTCGAGCTTGGCAACAACGTCTTGGTACTTCCAACCGACCTCGTGAGAGATACGACCGATGGTGGTGTACTTACGTCCGGGCTTGAGACGGAGAACACGGAGAGCAGCAGGGATAACCATGCGCTTCATACGGTCATAAGGAGCAGGGACACCTTCGAAGAGCTTGATACGGTCCAAAGCAGCGGCACCACGAGCAGTCTTGTGGGGGATCATACCACGGATGGCCTTGTACAAGATACGAGAAGGAGCACGGAAATGGAAAGGACCACGGGTAGGGTTGACGAGACAACGCTTGTTGAGGTAAGCGTGGTACTTCACTATAAGAGATCACATAGCGTTAGTTTTTTGAAACAAGTAAGATGTTGAAAACACACAAAATGACACACACACACACACACGAACAACGCACACACAATATTCGTACATGATCGAATGTCATATCTACTCCTACCAACAGAATGAAGATGCGATATCGTCGTTTAGCGTTGCAAATGTCTCGAACCCAGGTAATGACAAAAATAAATTTTCTCGTGTCTCTCCTTTGCATGTGTCCATTGTATATGCGCTTGTGTGTTTGTGCTTGTATGTATATGCTTTTGCGTGATTTCACATTTCAAATGATAAAAAAAAAAATAGATTACATACACTTGTTACGGAAGAATTCACCAGAAACGTTCAAGGCTTCACATCTGACGACAACAACCTTTTGACCGTTAAGGGCTTGCTTAGCGATGATGGAAGCAAGACGACCAAGCAAATGACCCTTAGAATCAATGACCAATGTCTATGATTCGAGTAGTATGTTAATAAAATTGTTGTGGCTGATGATTCCTGTCATCTTTTTATTTTTATTTTTATTACCTTTTCGAAGGTACTCATAGTTGAAGTTGTATGAAATAAAGAGAGGGAGCAAAAATTTTACAGAATTGGAGTTTGTTTTTGATTATTTGGCCAAGCCACTAAAATAAAAAATTATATCGTTTACAATAGTCACTTGAATTGCGCTCCCGATGTCCATCCTATCAATGGGATGGTCATCTCCTTGACAGATCAGATCAAGCACAGAGAGTACATCACGCCCTTCAATCATCAAATTTTGCTCAGTCATTGACCACAGTCTATACTACATGTATACGTATGATTTATTCCGATGAATGTTAGGAGATCATTGAGCAATCACATGTGCCTTAATCAGTCCTGAGGTATCAGCATGTACTCGATCTGATATCAGATTTGCAGATGCATAGACGCTGGACAGATCAGCGAGTTTCCGTGTTTGGTATAAAGCTATCCTATCAACTAAAATATGTTAGGCTATAATTGGAGATGCAATTTCTCATAGATTCATCATTTTAAAGCTACATTTGTATAGTTGAAATGTTTAAAGCTATACATGAAAGCAATCAGTTTTAGAATATGGCATTAAACGCCAAATAACTAGAACGCACTGTATGTAATTGGGCCATAATTTCCTCGGGTCCGGTCAACAGATTCATTTGTTAGGCCTGTATATGTAGCAAGCAACAAGATGCGCCAATGCACCACTTCATCTCGATACTGTAGTTATAAGGGGGAGGGCAACATTGTGATTCAGAACCAGCGTTGTGGGAGACGTATCCCAACACATACATTATGTGTGTGCTTGTGAATCGATGCAGCTCCTTAGGCAGCTTTTCAGGATATAAGTTGGGCTAACCAAAGGTTTAATTAGATAATAAAAAAAAAGGTATATTGTATATATATATCATATGTAGATGAATGTAGAAATTTTTTTTTTCTGTGTGCTTAAATAAAGATATGAAATGAGGCGAGTAGATGGAAAGGAGCGACCGAGGAGCAGAAAATAATGAACAAGCAAGGAGAGTGAGGGGGGGGGGGGGTTCGTTTCGACAACGAGGAGAGAGAGATACAGTGATGTGGCTGCTTCAATATTAAAGCACATCGACATTTACGACCTTCTAATCTTTTGCTTCACTTTACTGAGCTGAGAGTCGACATGATCCAACATGGCTTCCAATTCTTCTTTGCGACGGCGAGATTGTGGTCCACCGCCAGTCAATGGAATTTTCGAGTAGTGAGATTGAAGCTATTGAAAATGATAAATACATATAAAACATGCTCGCCCCTTTTTATATATATTTCATACCGTTTCCTTTTCTTTCGTAAGTCTCATCAACTGATCATCGAGATCAACATCATCCATGTATTCAATAGACTCTTTCGGTGTTCTATAGCGATCTGAAGAATCCATTCTAGACATTGATTGTGGAGTGCTGTCATATACGCTTGGGTTATCGTACACATGTTGCTCTTCTTGCTGAGAGTCAGGCTGTATACGTGGAGATCCGTTGGGAGTTTGCAACGACCAAGAATTACTACATGTTGTAATACATAAATATTAGACATTGGACAAATAAATGACCTGTTTGCTCACATTACTTTTGGTTTTCCTTGTCCTGCTGCTGTTGCTGCTGCTGTTGTTGTTGCTGTTGGAGCTGAGCTGTTGTACGACTCAACTCGAGAGCATGGGCTTTTACAAGCTGGTCTATCGTCTCTTTCAATGTTTCTGATTGCTCTTGTGATTTACTTAATTTGAACTAAATAGCATGTTTTAGTTTGCGGTACCTTTCTATACAAAAATGATGTACCTTTAATTCACGGATGGCATTCTCTTTTTCGTCGATTTCTGACATCAATGATCTCTTTTCTTGTTCAGCTTGAGCTTGATATGCCTAAGCAAGTAGTATAAGTCTCTATGCTTACCAAACATAGACAGTGCCATTATAGTACCTCAAACTCTGATTTCGTTTGATCAACTGCAAAAGACTGATCCCTCGCATTGTCTGCAGTTGACTTCATCTTCTCTAAGAGCAGGTTCAAATCATCCAAATGATGCTGACTCTTTATCTGAGAGAATGACGACAAAGTAAACATAAATACGAGCTATGCATTTAATATATGTACAATTCTTTACCTTTTCATCCTCTAGTTGTTGCAACAGATCCGTCTTTTCAGTGAATAGTTCGTCTACGGTCAACTCGAAATAGTCCAAATCTTTTGTTACAGCTAGAAAGTTGATTATCCATTTGTGTTCAGTGCATTTTACATTGAAATGAAACCCGACTTACCTTCTTTCTGCTTCTGTAGTGCGAGAACGGTTGCCTTTTCCTTTTCCAACTCTTGCTTCAAGTTTGAAATGACAGCCAATAGCTCTTGATGTGAACTTGTTTTATCCAATACAGCAAAAGACGAAAAGCTTTTATTTGTGTCTTCTTCCTCTTCTTGTTCAGGATTATTGTCATCTGATTCTTCATACTGTCTAGGTGTAACATTCGGCTGTTCGGTGGAAATCATAGTTGTTGTCATATCCTTTTGCTCAATATCTTTTGCTGGTGTATCTAATTTTCATTGTAGAGAGCTTTAGTTCATATCACCTCATAGACAAGAAAAGGTATATTTATAATACAATACCAGCTGCGGATTCCTCTTGCTTCTGATGCTCTTCATTGTGCAGATCTGCAGTCGGAGTAGTAATGGGTCCATAGGACATGTCAACTGCTTTCAGATCTGATTGTGTAGATGTTGGTATCTTCTTTGCTTTTTGCAATAGCATCGTCTTTTTGTTGTCTACTTGGTGCTGCATTAAAGGCATCGGTTTAGGAGTGGGCGGTGGAGAGTGCTGATTCGGAGGTGGTGAGGAGTAAATGGTACTAGATGCGATGTGTGAGGTTTCATGCCACAAATTCACATTTGCATTTACCTGGCTCTTTTGCTTTTGATAGAATGTGCATCATCTACCCTTACACCCATTAGCACAGGCTTCTTCCTGTGATACACCCTGCCATACCTTGTTGTTTTTGAATCTCTGATTTCAACGAGGTCACTGAGCTCTTGTTCTTTCCTAGACCTAGTTTCTTCCAAAACGAGGACTTTTCCTTGTGTTGATTTTTGGACATTTCGTACTATCTAGATATCACAAAAAGAGGACAGAAAAAATAGAAAAGAAATAGAAAAGAAAGAGATTATAGGAGAGAGATGAAAAAAAAGGTGAAAGGGGATATTTATACAATGTAGAGAAAGAGAGAAAAAAAAGGGACAACAAGGATACCACACTAAAATTAATAATAAATAAGGTACCCGTGGTGCTCGCTGTCTATTCTTGCCCAAAACAACATTGAGTTGGTCGGGTGCCAATTTCATCGTTTTCTCGACCCAGCAAACCCGCCAAGCATCTCTTTCCATGCACTAGAAACAAAACAGAACGTTACCCAACATTATTTATGACGTTTCAAAACGTATTTTCTTCCTTTTCTCTTTCTTTTTTTTTCCCTTCCATTTTTCATTCCAACTATCCATGTCCAAGAGAAGCCCAAAAGAATTACAAGGTAAGGACATGGACACTAAATAGATGACATGTTTATTAAAACTCCAAGCAATACTTGATTAGGTGATACTCAACGTGCTGTACAAATCCTTCAATTGTTCACAGGTATGAACATGCATCGTATACGCATTACACTCTGTTCAACTTGCATCTCACCGCACATCAACTCCAGATCCAAGCAAAGGCCGAGATGTGAAAATGCTGATTCCTCCAAGCATCCTCCGGGATGCGCATGGTATTGTTTTCATTCGTCTCTACAGAATTGGTTTCATGCTGTCTGCAAAAAGCGGAACAGGCATTATTATTGCAAGGTGAGTTTTCTTCATCTGATGTGGGGGGGATTGCTGATACAAGAATTGCTTATCCATCTTGCTTATTTTAGATTGCCTGATGGCAGTGAGTATATTTTTTTTTTGCATGAAATGGGGGGTTTTTTTTTCCTGAAATATGTGTCTTTTTATAGGTTGGTCTGCCCCATCTGGTGTTTCCATGTCCTCGGTGGTAAGTGTAACAGACCTTGGCAGATAACAGAAGGCACTAAACAAAGATATACAGGGCTTTGGTCATCAAGCTGGAGGAGAGATGATTGATTCCATCATTGTGATGAATTACAGAGCAGCTGTGAAAGCATTCTTTGATGGTGGAGGACAACTACAATTGGGTGTGGGTGCATCATTAGCTGCTGGCCCGTTTGGAAGAGCAGCTGATGTGTCCGCCTCTGCTTCGAATACAACTCATGTTGCTGCTACTTACGCCTACAGTTCTTCCAAAGGTTTGTACCTTGGATATTCATTTGAGGGTTCCAAAATTTCCGAGAGAGTCAATACAAATCAGGCATACTACGGCAGGCCCATTACAGCTCGAGAAATTCTGACAGGCGTTGTCCCACCAACTCAAGATGCAGCGAAATTATACGACATGCTGACTGCAATGGGTGCGGGCCCTCGACCTGGATTACCATTTGCGCCCAAGAATGCCAAAGGGCAACCACTGTCTCCTACTGCAACCTCAATGTCCTCTCCTCAATCCAGCTTCCAACGGCCATTACCACCACTGCAACAGCAAGGACCTCCTCGTACATCGAATAACCAACGTCCCAACAATAAAGAAGATTACGAAGATCCTCCACCCCCTTATCAGGCCTATGATTCATCAAAGCCTCTTCCTCCATCATCGTCATCAATGAACAATGGCAGCTCAAGCACTCCTTGTACATCTCCTCAACAAAAAAACGGTGCCGTTATGCCACCTCCCATTAATGATAGTAGACGGCCCGTCATGAACAACGGACAATCTACTTACAACAACAAGGCAGAATCAAGTCAGTTTAGTAGACAAAACATCAATCAAGCGGCTGTCAACATTCACAACACAGGCAATGCCCAAGGTTTAGGGCCTGCAAGCAGCAGCAGTTACAGCAACACAGGCCCTTGGAGCCCTACCCACAACAGCAGTTTTGCCGCTGCGGGGCCCAGTAACGGTTTTGCCGGGCCTTCTTCCTCATCAACACAACCACCACCTATGAATGCCAACGCCAATACAATGCCATTGTCTGGACCACCGCAATCTTCGACTGATGTCAAGAAGCCAATCATGGATGAGCCACGAACCAACAGCTTAACTGTCGTTGTAGCCAAGTATGATTACACAGGTGATCAACCTGCTGATTTATCCTTCCACGCAGGCGACCATATTATTGTGACAAAGAGATTGGACGATAGACAGAGCTGGTGGGAGGGAGAGATTGGTGATCGCCGGGGTTTCTTTCCAGCAAACTACACTGATGAATTGGAAGAATAAAATTTTATTTGATTTTTTTTTGCTTGGTAAATATATAGTATATAATAGAGATATGTTGTATGTTGTGGGCAGTTACAAAAGAAATAGTAGAAGAAGAAAAGAAGAGTTGCTAATAGAAGAAAAAGGAAGAATAATAAAATGGGCAGTTTTTGTGTATATAAAATGTGGGGTTTTGGCATTGAGAAAAGAGAATAAAGTGCAGGATGGGGGGGGGGTGTGTGTGTTTGAGTGTATTTGCAATAGAGAAGGATATACTGTGATTATGTTCAAAAAAGAGCTGGGATAGAGAGAAAGGGAGGTAGTTTTACAATGCATAACCAAATGATTGCTGATGATGATGAGTTTTTCTACCCATGCCAATTGGCTGTTGACCATGCTTGTTGAGCATAGTGGGCTGTTGATATGAGTAATATTGCTGCGACTGTACATTGTGGCGACGACTCCACGGCGATTGATCTGCCCATAGTGAGTTGGATGATGAAGTCAAATCATCCATCATGGCGCCCTTACGCCAGTCACCTGTCCAGCTGCGGACGAATGCCAAGAAACGTAATTTCTCTTCTTCTGTAACAATTTGGTGATCAGAGAGAACTGAAGAGACATCAGAGTCTGACGAGTGAGTTGTATCTGGCGAATTAGAGCGAGAGATAGTGGAAGCAGTGGATGTAGGGTTGTTTGTGGCGTTAGAGGCAGAGGTAGTAGTAGATGTAGGAGAGGCAATAGTGGAGGTCGTGTTGTTGGTATTAATAAATTCGTTGTTCAAGAAGTTATGGTTATTGTTGGTATGATTAGATGTGGTTGTGGTTGATGTAGCTGTATTAGATGTTGTATTTGTATTAGTATTGGTATTAAATTTCTTCTCTAATGATGGTCGCTTCTTGTGCTGACTATCAGCAGGCACCTTGGGCACAAGCTGTTTCAGTCTTTCTATCTCTTGCTCGTAATCAACACAGGATTTCATACCAGCAAATGGATCATCAACACCATGCTGCTGCTGCTGTTGTTGTTGTTGTTGTAGTTGTAGTTGCTGTTGAAGCTGCTGTTGCTGCTGCTGATATTGCTTCTTTTTAGAAACTACTTCGGTCCATTTATTGCTATCGTCCTCCTTCCATCTTGTGGTTGTTGCGTTGTTGAATACCATTGTTAAATATATAAATAATTAAACCTATTTTCAATGAGCCAGGGCCCAGCTTAAAGATTAAGTTGTATTAAGAGAAATGTGGAAGAAAAAGAAGAGGTAAAATTTGAAAAAAGAAAAGTAAAAAGAGAAAACGTGAAGTTTTTAATGAAAAAGGAGTTTTTTTTTTCCTAGATAAACATGGCAAGATGGGTTCACATTTATATCGAATTTGGCCCAGGACAAACAATTTTTTTCTGTGGTTTAACCATAAATCAGAGTGGCTTTTTTTTTTTTTTTTTTTTTTTTTTTTTTTTTTTTTTCGTTTATTCTGGAACGTTGTGGTTAAATCCTTCTGCGTTTATTATTATTAATGGGTGTTTGATTGGTAGATGGCCTTTGTTCTAATTGTCTGTTAGGTTGCTGAATAGGGCCAATATATAGTGTTTCTTGTTTGCGATGAGTAGATGCTGTTGTCGACTTTCTCTTTTTACCAGATGGAAAATGACTGGACGCTAATTTAGAGTGTATTGATTCGAGTCGATCTTGAAACTTGGCTCTTGTATCATCAAATGTTTCGTATTCAGGTGCATAACCCACACGTAATAAATTTGTGAAGAATGGTTTATCATCCAATTTGCGCTTTGCCATCCGAGATGCTTTGATTGTATCATATTTTATCCAGTGGACATCTGTATATTCCGAACTCGAAGCATGCTCATCCAATATGCGATGCTCCTCAACGACTCCAAACTGCTGAAATCTTTCCACTAACTCATTGCTTACACCCAAATTGGGGACATTCTCAATTATCAGATACCGCGACTCTTGTGCTATCGTATAAACGCAAACCGCTTTTGGTACTTTGGGATCACGGTATTCTAGCCTTGTGCTTGACATGTGTAAATCGATAGTTAGCAATGAGTATAAGTTATCAAGAGGATTCTTTTATGCAAAAGTCGATTAAAATTGACAACATGTGACTCTTCCTGTACAGCGGAGAGGAGCAGATCAAAATGGACGACTTCCAGGAGAGCTACATTTAACATGTGCCTATCTATCATCGCATATCATATGCCAAGTTAATTAGTACTGTAGCTTAGTTGAAGAATTGCAGGGCTTGTAGTAAAATTTAAGATTGATTGACAAGCGTCTGTCTCTTTTAGTAATGAAAAGTAATTTGTATATCATGGACGAAGATGGCCAGATGATGCATACGAACACCGATTCTACATTTGCTTGTGCTATAATGAGATTACAAGTAGTACATCAATATGACTCTAAAAACATCGCGCTTCTTATGCATAGTACCATAGCTTGATTGAGTTCGCACATTGCGGCTTATATCAACGGCTCCCTCAACTGAAAAAAAGATCAATAATACATCGAAAAGGCAAAATACATCTCAATTGCAAAGCACTCTGATAGATGTGCAGATATAATTTTATTGTAAACTGGACTATATAAAATTTGTGGCGAGCGTATTGTAGCTTACATGTCATGCTGCAAAAAATTCGAAAGCTCCTAATTTATTATATTATTGCAGATAACTTTACAACAGTTTAAGCTACGTATATCATGATTAAATCTGAGGCACCATAACGACTGATATATAATGTCCCTGCCTTGATAAAATTTGACTATTACTATTAGTGAGCAGTGAGTATATTTGTCATTAAAATTACACATGATGTAGTATTATTTGTAGATGATTTGCCATTAATCTGATTATGGATGCCACATTTCCACCTTCCTATGGTTTTTTTAGACGTATTTTTTTCGGTAATTAGCATTGTCGCCAGGTTTAGGAGGTTTAAACAGAATTGAAATGCGCATCGAATGGTATCAGTCTTGACAATGACCCCAAAGCTTGTACACAAATATGTCTGTTATTATTATTATTATTATTTTTATAGCTATTTTAAGGGTCTCGAAAGTAAACCATGCACCAATTTAACTGTAACATTAGCCATTGTATAGACGTAAAAAACACTTATCGTTTGAGGTCTAATCCGAAGTTGTAGCATCCGGTTTCATGGATCTACAGCGGCCAATAGGTCATCCTCAGCCAAATTGTTGAAAGACGATCAATCAAGGCTAACTTTCGCTGTAATGGCGCATATAAATCTTTATAAACTTGAGCACCATACAGACAATTCCATGGTGTTATTAAAAAAACATGTTTTTGCCACTATTATAAACTCCAATTTGAGGGTTAAAAAAGCGAGTTTAACACGGAAGCAGCATAGTAGATGACCAAACAAAGTGTCATTGTGTAAAGCAAGCAAAGGGGAGCAAAGCTTGATTAATGGAGGAGAAGCCAGGTTGAGTTGACAGTGGATCAAGAAATAGCGTCCAAACACTGTTCTGTTTTAAACTGGTTTTGTTACATTTTGCTCAATAATTTGTCAACCAATCTAGGTACCGAAAATCTGTTTATATGCTTAAAAACCCCTCCTCAAAATATGCATATGACAGTTCTGATATAAAGTCTCTAGCATCAACATAGAGCTTGGCATAACTGTTGTCCCTTTCTCGTAATAAAATGCGCAACGCAGCTTTAAACGTTTTGCCACACTATAAAAAAGCAAGCTATCACCAAGCGGTTTTAGATAAAAACGTTTCTCAACACCTCATCTATCGACCTATTACTCTTAGCTGCTTTTAACTCCCATGTTCTTATTACTATATGATGCTCATTCCTCACCAAACTTGCCTTATTCCAAACAGCAGCAACCTTCTTTTTTCTCAGCAACAACACCACCATCCACTAATCTAAAACCCAGTTACACCATCATTTTTCTCGCTAAAAATTTGTAAAGGAACATGTTAGCTTCAATTCGAATAAAATTTCTGTAATAACAACAACGTAAACAACACTATGCTAAAGTAGTCCCTGCAATGTATAATCTGCCCACATAATAGATTTAAATGACGTTTTTCACATCAACTGTGCAATGGATGCCAGATTCAACAACTGCACCTTATCTTACTTTAGTATAACAAAGAATTTAAATTGTATCTATTTGAACACTCTTTTATTACAAACACAAAGTAATACAGATCAATATGAAATCTATTAGTTGTAACCCTTCGCCGTCTGGGCTCCTCAGCCAATCAAATCGCTTGAAAACTCCGCTAACCTAAAAAAAATTTTGCGAGGGTTTCCCCCTGTTTGTATGTGAGGTAAAATTTTAAGCGCCGCTATAATAGCAATATAGCCTCTGCTATCATCAAATTTCCCCCAGGTGCTAGAGCATGCCTTACTTACACCACCTAGCTTTAAATTCAGGCATTGAGACTCTCAATCATCACTAAAGTAAGTAGCGATAACCAAGTGGAGGCGGCCTATCTACCTCCTAGCCTCGGATAAAGTCTTGTTGAGCTTCAGGGATAGGCACATCCACGCAACGTAAAAAAGATATGCTTCAAAGAAACATAATAATAAAAAAGAAGGAAGAACAGAACATACTACGGCACTATAGAAGTATAGTAGTATGTATGCAAAAAAGAAACACTCACACAAAAAAGTGAGTCAAAAGAAAAGCAAAACAACAAATACAACATCAAAGATGTTCAGAACAGCTCGCTGTTGTTGCAACAAAAATGCATACATGAGCAACGTGCATGATAATAGTCGGATGCAAAGCAACACAAACACGCACAGTTGCAGGAGCAACAGCAGTATTATAAGTGTGTAATGCAACATAATGACTAATGTTGTTTCATGTGAAGCGACAGAGGCAACACAAACAACAATCCACGACCATATAACAAAGTAGTATTACAACGGCAATACAGATACATAGTAGCACATCATGCTTGTTGTTCATACATAAGAAGCAACAACATTGCAAGCATCCGTTGTTGAACTGATCATATCACAGCCAATAAAAGAAAAAAAAGCGCAACAAAGCAAACATTACGAATGCATTATCACGAGAAAGGAAGCAATAATACAAACGTCCAGAGAAGTTTTATATCATTGCGACCACAAGAAAAAAAGGATACTTACCACTTACCACAGCCACGGATAGACCAGAAGAATATAAGCAATCATCAGAGATAGACCAGAAAACGAGCAGGCACCAGATACAGTAGACCAGAACAGACCATATTAGCAGCAGCAGCAGCAGCAACAACACCAGCACCATAGAAAAACTAAAGAATGAACGCCATCAGCAGAGAGTAGACAAAGACCAAAGAAGTTACTTACCACTTCTCACCACCACAGACAGACCAGGAGAGTACAGGCAATCACCAGAGATAGACCAGAGAACAAGTATACAGCAAACGCAGTAGACCAGGAAGGACCATATTAGCAGCAGCAGCAGCAACATCAGTAGCAATAACAGCAGTTTAGAAAAACCGAACAACGAGCGACATCAGAGACCAGACAAAGATTAAAGAAGCAGCTACCAGACATAATAAACCAAATATGCAGACAGCAGAGGTAGCAGAGAATTAATGACAGTAACACCACCCACGTCAAACAGGCAAAAAAAATTATCGAGACCTAATAAACAAATTCGATTAGTATTAATTCTACGTCTTCCAATGCTCGTTATCGAATGGTACCTACCATATTCCACTTTAAAGAAGCAGTATCAAGTCTTTCTAACAGTGCAAGACAGTATCAGAAGCTAGAGTGTTATTATCAACCAACAAACAACTTCCAAAACGACCATGGTTTGATGTTAAACGCGTTTTGCAAAAAGGGAAAAAAAGATGGGGGTATGGAAAGATGAGACGGCACCGTATCCGACGTCACCGCCTGTAGATTATTTAGTCTCAGTATTGTACCATAGCAGCGGTAATCGCGGCCATTTAATTTGAAATTGTGCAGTGGTATTTTCGTGTTCAAACTTGACTTGATTTGACATCCTTTGAACGTTTTTGCTAAATTTAACAATAAAAACTGTCGTTGTCACATCCAACTTCCTAATACGTTTTTGGAGATTTAAAAAAGCCTCTTCGAATGATGCTAATTTCATTCAGCTTTTAGACCGAAAATAATGAGCAATTTGCAAAAACATGAAAACAGATTTTCTGTGAACATGTCAAATTATAGCATATAAAAGTCTTATAGAAAGAGTTTTCAATGTTGCATTTCATCTTTACGGTCAGTTTGATATAATATGTGTCATAGAAAAAGTCTTCACTTTTGGGGTGAAAAACGCGATTGTTTGATTTTCAAGAATTTTCCCTTGCTAATATACATGAAAAAATGATGATTTTCATGCATTTGCAACGACCCAAAATTTTTTGAGATAAAGCATCAGTAAGTAAAGCGTGGCCAAGAGGAGACATTTGGCCCTATTCCGAGTGTCCACAACGCTTTGTAGCATGAGTTATTCGTGCTTCAAAATAGCTAAATTTGAATAGAATTTGGCCAAAAATAAAGCGTAGTAGGTTGTGTTGCCAAAGGAGTAAGTAAATCACGATTCTGTCTGATGACCCCTGTGGAATTTGAGGCTTGATAGACTAAAATTCACGGAAAACAAAAAGAATAAAAAAAAAACAGTAATGTCAACTTGATAAAAAAGGTATGTTTTATTATCAAACTGACAGGTGTAAAGTAAACTGAAGTATCTCTACTGGCCAGGTAGATGATCCTTCTTATATACTATAACAATGGATAAAAGTTCTATTAATTAGATTGACAAATAAGTCAACTCAGATCAACTAATGTCTAATCATGCTAAAAGACAACTCTAGCAAGCTAATCATGATTTAGCTTTGCCTGGATGAATAATTAGACTCTCATCCAAAGTGCCCTAATCTATCATCCTTTCCATAAGGATAACTAATAATATCGATCTATTAGCATGTATCCGATAGGTGCAGTCTACTTAGTCTATATTAATAGTACATATCTGAGTGTATATCGCTAAGCCTACATCTTTAGCATGTATCTAGATATATGGCATGTCTATAGCATATTGTATGCATGTCTATAGCATGTCTCATATATAGTGCAAGTCTGTAGTACATGAAGTACCTGTAGCTAGTATCACGGATATAAGCATGCGTCTTACAGCGTGGATCATAAAGTACACATCGGAAGCAACAAGCTCATATTGCGTTAATCCTGGTGCTTATCCAGATATGGTAAACATCCGTAGTTAATGTCGGAATACAAGTATAAGTTTATAGCGCCATCCACGTCCGTGATGCCATCTATAGCCTATATCTTATATAGTATGAATCTTATAGTACTAGCGTATCTAAAGTTCATATCTTCTTATACTGTCGTATAAATCGGTATTGTACATCTAATTCAGTGCACACATAGTTTATATCTAAATCTGGTAACTGGATGAACAGTCGGAATGCTGATCAGAGTGAATGTATTCCACAAAAACCATACCATCGTATAGAGAACTGAAAAAGAAACAGAAGCTACTAAACTTCAAGCTCTCGTTCACTTAGTAAAACTTAGCGGTATGGCCCTTTGAAAATCGGTCATTTGGAACATTTTCCGTCATTACTTATCCATATCACCCTCAATAGCCCCACTTTAAACATGCTCTATTCAATCAAAGTGCCCTCTACAGCTTTCACTACACATACATTCCACATTCATATAGTAATTTAAAAAGTTTTACTAGCAGCATCTGTTCAAAATTAACTATTTTCTAAAATTTCCCTTTTCTCAACAACATGCTACCTATGCAAATTTGATTTGTACCATCGTTGAAAGAACAAAAGCGGGATTCTAATTGGAACACAAAAACGGAAAATGGAGTTTGAAGTTTCAGTTGGCGATTTCTTTCTGGTGTATGTTGAGGTAGCCTTATGCGTTTGAAAATAGCGATTTCTCATCATCATTTCTGTAAATTGAGGTATCATGAATGGTAGTATTAGCAAATGATGGGGTTATAAAAGACCACAGTTTAAAAATCTTGAAGGAGAAACGCAATACTATGGCGCAAACTATACCATCTTAAAAGTACAAGGATATATTAATTAATAGTACTGAACGTAGTATCAAAAGGCTACGGGATGATGTTGTATATTTTGGTATCGTGAATTGAGAACTACAGCACAACGATAAGCTATAATACAACCAGAGTTAGTATGATCCAGGAAGTAATCTGTTACTCATGGTCAGCGGCATAACCTATGCGGAAACCCCTTAAAATACCGTGAGACATATAATGTAATGTAAATCTCTATTACGACAATTGATATGGCATATTTTACTGCACGCATACTAATAATGACTTTATTTCCTATGATGGCAGTTCATGAGCTTCTATACAAGAAAAAAGCGAAAGAAACCGGATAGAAAAGAGGGGGGGGGGGGAGAAATGAAAATCTCGAAAAGTCTAGCGAGACAAGTAACCCATCTCATCGTTATTATCTTTATTATCTCTACATTGGTTCATCACTACAATCCAAACAGATGTATTCCCCAAACAAACAAAACCCACATATGATCACATGAAGCCCAAGATGGAAAACATAGTATGTAAATTATATCAGTGTACATATATATATATATATTAAAAAAAAAGGTAAAAAAGATGACAAGAGATATATAGGAAATTTTTAAGCGTAAGGGTTAGCAGCAAAGACACGAATCAAGGGAGGTGTTCTGACCATTTCGATTGTAAGCATGACTCTGATCTTATCCAGAGCCTTGATTGTTTGAGATGATTGTTCTGAGCTATAGCCTGTGCTAGCAGATAAACGAGAGCTGATAATAGAAGCTCTCTTTGTTGCAGACTTTTTGCTGCCACCGTTAGGAGAAGACACGATACCAGCCTTGGCAGCTGCAAGAGCAATGGCTTCAAATTGCTTGTTGTTCTCTAAACTCAAATTACTGCTGCTGTTGGTGGAGCTAGTGGATGTGTTGGATTGAGATTGTTCAGGGTATGTCGATAATAATTCTTCTTCCTCGTATTCATCGTCTGAAAGACTCCATTGTTGTTGTAAGCCTGTGGAGGGGATGACACCTTGCTTCCAGAACATGGTTAAAGCACGATCCTGGGAATCGTATTGATGGCGCCACAAGGGTAAATTGGCTAAATGAATACGTCTTTCCATGCCGAACTCGGGCAAAGATACATCAAAGTAATCCTCCATGACAGCAATGACACGAGCCTCGCCGTAGACTGTAGTAGTAACTTGAGTGCCTGTAACGACAGCTTGGTGTTGGTTGACTTGAGGTAGCTGTGAGTCCTTGTGCACAAAATATAAAGCAAGTGATAGTAGTTTGCTTTGTTCACGGGCTGCTAAGCTGGCTTCTTTCTTTACATTGCAGTGTTGAGCAAGCTTTTGCACTGTATCACGGTCCAAGTAAAAGTGTTTGTCTACAAAAGGTGATATAATATAAGTTGGCTTAGAGGGGCTAAATTAAATCAAGGTACACCTACCACCAGTCAATGCAGATTCCAGTTGACGATGAACGACGATATCTGCATAGCGACGCAGAGGTGCAGTGAAATGAGTGAAGAGAGGAACTCCAGTAGCGAAATGAGAGTACTTGAGAATATCAAATGTACCCGTACAAAAGTATTTGGGTGGTTGCATTGTCTTGAGTACCAAAATAGACACTAGTTGGCGAAGTTCGTCATCTTGGATCTCTTGTACTGATTCTTGAATAGAGATGGCATTTGAAATGTTTAATTGAACACCTAAATAGCGCAAAGCATAATCCCTCAATTCATGCTATTAAGGAGGTTAGACCATAACCAGTGAAACTAAACCAACACCCTCTACTTACAATCTTTCTACTATTAGGTGGTGCTTGACGACGTAATAAAGCTTGTTCTGGGTATTGGCTTGAAATCTTTTGAGCAACGCATTTGTTGGCCATGAATAAGAACTCTTTTACGATTTTAACAATGTCAGGTCTTGAGTTTGAAATGGTCACTTGAGTAGGTTGATTGGGATCATCGAATGTAAGATTTTGTCTGGAGAGAGACATGGCATCTTTGGTATATCTTGCTTTGAAAAGACATTGGGCAATGCTGTACAACAGGCGAACGTCGTTGTCGATATCATTGTTCTCATCACCATCAATCATTCGTTGAGCATCTTCATATGTCAGTTGGGCGCTGGACCTGATTTTCCATAGTGGTTTAATTATAGATGTTAAACACGCTCTATATGGGCAACTTACTTGACAACCGTTTTTCCAAACCATGTATCCAACAACATACCGTCCGAGCTGAGCTTCCAGATGACAGAGAAAGCCGGTCTAGCAACATTGTATAAGCATACGCCTACCTCTTAGATCTGACAGATGGGTACTTACTTGAGTTCATTTAACGTGAAATTGGCAACATCTGATAATTCAGTGGGTAGCATGGGTACCTCCTTTTGGTCAAGAGTTACACGAACCGCTCTTGCTCTAGCCTCTTTGTCCAACGGTGAATGGGGTTTGATGAAATAAGAAATATCAGCTACATGGACACCCACTTCAAATGTGTCATCACCGAGACGAACAATAGATAAACCGTCTTCAAAGATTGTACTACCAGCAGGGTCAATCGTAATCATACGATGTTGGTCCACTGTCAAATCACGGCGACTGCCATCTTGAGGAGGCGTGAACTGGAACGGACTGGGAGGAACACACTCCATGACAGCATCAGTAAAAGGCACATCGGATACATTGTTGTCTGCAAGAATAGCCTTGATCTGCACATCCAAATCAGTGAGAATACCCAACTCTCTCTCCAAAGTACCAAAGGGATGCAATGAGGTGATGGGCCAACGCTTGATGGATCCAACAAAGAGACGATTCTTGTAACTCTCGTTATTCTCGATGAAATCTTGAGGTACTTGTTCGATAGGGATGGCGATCAAAGGCACACGCTTATCTGTAGCCTTGAACCAAACGATACGAGGCGCCTCCTTTTTACCACTCTCCTCTTCTTCTTGTTGTTGCAAGGCGGCTCTCTTGTTGTTGGGTCTCATTAACGTCAAGGTACCTGAAAAGACTTGATTTTGAGCTCTCTCCAAGATAGCGACGACTACACCGGCATATTTGGGCTTCACCGCATCGATCTCCTCGTCGCCACCAAATACAATTTCGTTCTCGTCCTCCTCATCGGGTAAACGAGTCTTGGCTTGACCATGATTTCTGGCAAGCTTGGCATCTTCCTTTTCCTGCTTCTCGCGGATCACTTTCTCAACATTGACCAGACGCACAGCCACCACATCGCCTTCCAATGCTCTGTTACGGTCGCGGGAGCCACAAATATAAATATCGCCGCCATCCAATTCATCGCAAGAAACGTATGCATCACTACGGTTTCGCTTGTTCACACGCAAGATACCACGTACCAATTGTCTCGCTCTGAACAGAGGTGTTAAAGCGGAGAAGGGCAAATGAGCAATGAACAGAGGTCGACGTTGGTGAGGATTAGCATCATCTCGGGAGAAATTGACACGAGTAGGTGTGAAGGGTACAAGAGAAAATGATGATCTGTTACTAGCATTTGCGTTGCTATTGATAGAAGCGTTGCCTAGTTGCAGATCAGTACACACGCTCATACATCATCCCTGAGCTATACATACTGTTTCTCCACTCATCAAAGTTGCGAGATGAGCGGCGATTCATGGATTTTCTGTTATCCGAATTACCACCTCCACTGCCACCGTTGAGCGATAAGCTCAAAGACTTACTGTTCATGGAAGTTCTCTTGTTGATGTTGCTGTGATCCATGACAAACGCTTCGCCATTTTCGTTCAGTACAGGCAGTTGCTGGAGCGAGGCACGCTTCTTGATGCTGTTGTTGGTATCGTCACGCCTGTTGAAGGTGCCCATCAGCTTAGCCTCGGCTTCGGCTAGAGCAGCTTCCCTTGACAAGAAAATATTTTCATCGCTGGTTCTTCTTTCCAATCTACTGCTGCTGGTAGTAGTAGCAGGCGTGGGCGAAATGATAGGAGGCAGTGTCTTGAGTGTGTTGATCATGTCTTGCAAATTGTCCACCGTCATTTCTTCCTTGAGGGTATGTAGCCCAACAAAACTTCTTCTGTTCTTGCTGCTGTTACTGTTGCTGTTGGCATTCAAGAGCGAGTTTGTGGATTTGGATGAGGATACTACGATCTCTGAATTCACAGTCGAGCGAGATCTCTGATGGCGGGGCGAGGGCATCATAGATACAGGCTGCCTGTTCCTATTGCTGTTATCCAGCTGATTGGCGCTCAAGCCGTGAAATGTACGGCGCTTGTCAGAGAAGCTTCTGGATGGCATCTAAAAACAGTGATCAGTTGGGTGCGTGCATTTTACATGTCTCTAAGCTGCCGTACCTCTGGCACATCAAACAAGCCTCTTGTGCTTTCAGGAGCAGATTGCTGTTCTAAAGTCTCATGATTCATTCTCTTCTTTGTTGTGGTTCAACGAGATGTTGGAAAGGAAAGAATGGAAAGGAGGGAAAAAAGGGTAAAGAGGATGAAAGAGAAAAAAGAAAAAAAAAAAAAAAAATAGCTGTTGTGCTATGTTGTAATTTTGGTGGTTTGTTGTTCATTTATTTGAGTTTGTGCTTGTTTTGTACACCAGATTCGTCTTTTTGGGTTTGCTCTACAACATCTCATTCGCCATGCAATAACAAGGGAGTCTTAATGTCGTGTTACACTTTATCAGTTTTGCCACCTTTTGGCCCTTTTTCATCGCCTTGCAACTGTGTTTTGAAACCATGTCTCCGATGCAAATCAACATGTATCAAATAGATGCGATTTCTGGAGCGACAGGATGCCAGGGAGAAGGAGCAGTGAGATGGAGCAGGTCATTTAAGGTTTAAACAAGGCTTGTACTGTATATCCATCTGTGTATATTCTACATCCAACAGGAAAAGTTTAAATCTGCACATCTCCGAACAAAGGGGGGTAGGGGGGGGGCTAAGATGTTGTTTGATTTGAGCGAAAACGATGGGTTTATGAGCTGGCCCTATATACAATCATTGGCTTTGTACAATAGATTACATGGTGCATCAAGTGCAACATCAAAGCGCTGCATGGTTGAGTGTGCTCATTTGCATCTTTGTAGAACAAAAGTGGATAGATAATTAGATGGTGATACAAAATGAAATTGGCATTGCTTTTAGTTCAAATTTGATTTTAGGTTTCCTGCCGACACTTTATACTTGGTGAGACAATACGTGGTAATGATCATTGTTCGATTGCACTAAAATCGCAATATGAGCCGAGCCATTTCCTTTTGTTGCTGTGAAAAAGATCAAATATAGAGTGCTTGATATTTGGGTGTGATGGGATGCGGATCATTGACACATTTTGCAGGCACAGGCTTACAGTGCCAAATGGAACCAGCCATCACGTTGAGCCAAGCTTAGCCTCTTTCTGTACTATATTCTTACTCGTTTGGCCAGGACTTTTATCGTTCAAACCATAAACGACCTTACTTGAAATCATGCCTTCTCAGTATTTTTGTGATTAAGGTTCATGTACCTGACTACAACCGTTCGGAATGAAGAAGTAAGCAATTTCACGTGCGTTCCTATTTGACATTTGACACTGCCCATTCGTCTGTTTGCTGATATATCGATCGATAACCTGCTGAGCCTTGCACATTGGATATGTCTTGTATTCATAATAGGCTCTTGGAAATGTTGTATATTCAAATCTTTAGTGATGAGCAAGCCGACTTGATGGAATGAACGCTCTACCACAACGTATATGTCATGCTTGAACATGAAAGAGGTGCTCAGATGAATAGTAGACGTATACCTATCCGCAATTCCAGGAGCATGCCTTCAGGAGCAATCGACATGCTGGTTTTGGCATGTCAATGTGTCAACTGCTGATACATTTGCAACTTGAATATCTGCGGCTGTATCTCAGGTCACTCTCCAGTCAATTCCTACGGTTTACTCGTGAGTGGAGGTACAGCAATGAAGCTTCCACTATATCTCGAGTCTCGACATGTGCGGCAGTTTACATGGACGTGATCCCATGTCGATTTGTGCCTCGGAATCTGTTAGGAAATCATGGAAACGCCTTCATAAAGGCCCCTTATTTGAACGCTTCTAGTCTACATTACACAGAGAATGTTGACATGGATCAAGCACACTACGAATTCGAATAGACCTTGATCGACAACACACCCATTGCTGATCCAATGTGACAGCCAGAAAACGCGTTGTGAATTTTTTTTGTGACCAAACTATCGATTGATAATTTTTTTTCTACAACTCGCGTTCTCCCCCCCTTCTTTCTCATTTTGTTTAGTAGCAGACAAGCAGCCAACCTTTTTTCAACAATGACAGACCTTGCTAGCGACCAAAACATGAGCGGCATTCTTGACTCTCAAGCCATCCCTTTGGCCTCTGACATCCCAACACCTGCACCTGCCACCCAAATGGACATTGACGACACTCAGGTATCTCGCCCTGCTCCTCGCAGACCTCCAGGGGGATATGACGTAGAAAACATCCCTCGAGTCGTCGATGAGGCTGCCATGGCAGTAATGGAAGCATTTGAAAAGTTTTTGGAAACGTAAGTCGGGTGGATCTATAACCAGATGTCAGATTGGATCAATCAGCTAACACACTAAGCAGATTTAAAGATGATCAATCTTCGTTTGTCGCAAACAGCACATCCAGCTGGTTTGGCTATCCTTACATGATGCAGTTGGAGAACTTCAAGTATTCAGAAATCGACACCATCTTTGTAGATTTCGCTCACATTCAAGTGACTGAAGAGAATTTGGCAAGTGCCATCAAGGAACAGTATTATCGGTGAGTAAAGCAGTGGCAGTGTAGATGTGATGGGTGAAACTCACGCACAATACGCATAGTTTCCTTCCCTATCTTCGCCGTGCAGTTCACAACACAGTGCGCACTCATTTCCCAGACAGTCTCTATGTCAACGAACCTACGTTGAGCCCTGTTCAAGGCGGCACCTTTAGAGATTTCACGGTAGCATTTTATGGTTTTGAAAAACCCGACAGAGTGCGCCAGTTAAAGACCGAGAAGATTGGCCATCTCTTGAGTGTTAGCGGTACCGTCACTCGCACGACTGAAGTGCGTCCCGAACTGGTGTATGCCTCCTTCACCTGTAACGAATGTGGCAAAGTGATCAACGATGTGGAACAAGAATTTAGATACACTGAACCCACCATGTGTCAAGCCACCACCTGTTACAACCGTAGTCATTGGACCCTCAACGTCGAACAATCCAAGTTTGTGGATTGGCAGCGTATTAGAATTCAAGAGAATGCCAACGAAATTCCGACTGGTAGTATGCCTAGAAGTATGGATGTCATTGTGCGTAACGAGATGGTGGAAAGAGCCAAGGCTGGCGACAAGTGTGTGTTTACGGGTACCTTGATTGTTGTGCCTGATGTCTCTGCTTTCAGAACCCCTGGTACCTCTGTTGAAACCCAAAGAGATACCACTGTGCGCTCAAGAGAAGGCATTGCCAACGAAGGTGTTACTGGTTTGAAATCATTGGGTGTGCGTGATTTGACTTACAAGCTCTCCTTCTTGGCTTGTATGGTTCAGCCTGCTACTCACAACAAGGCAACGGGTTCAAATCTTCACGGTGAAGACACTACAGACGAGGATCAACGAGATGTCTACTCTGACTTTTCTCAAAAGGAAATTGAAGATTTGCATGCCATGGTGAATCTGAGATCTGCCGTGTACGGTAAGCTAGTCAACAGTATTGCACCTACTGTGTTTGGCCATGATACGGTCAAGAAGGGCATTTTGTTGCAGTTGATGGGTGGTGTGCACAAGGTGACCCCTGAAGGCATGAATCTTCGTGGTGATATCAATGTGTGTATCGTCGGTGATCCATCCACCAGTAAATCTCAGTTCCTCAAATACGTCTGCAGTATTATGCCTAGAGCTGTCTATACATCTGGTAAAGCTTCCAGTGCTGCTGGTTTAACTGCCTCTGTGATCAAGGATGAAGAAACGGGTGAATTTTCCATTGAAGCTGGTGCTCTCATGTTGGCTGATAATGTAAGTGGCCTTGTGGGAGGGTACATGGCAAAGGTGATACTTATCAGTTGTTTTAGGGCATTTGTGCTATTGATGAATTTGATAAAATGGATGTCAAGGATCAAGTCGCTATTCACGAAGCCATGGAGCAGCAAACCATTTCTATTGCTAAAGCTGGTATTCAAGCCAGTTTGAATGCTCGTACCAGTATCCTCGCTGCTGCCAATCCCGTCAGTGGCCGTTACAACAAGAAGTTGACCCTGAAACAAAATATCAACATGTCAGCACCTATCATGTCTCGTTTTGATTTGTTCTTTGTCGTGTTGGATGAATGTAACGATGTAACAGATTATAACATTGGTCGCCACATTGTCAACACACATCGTCTCAGAGATGATTTCATGCAACCTGAATTCACCACAGAACAGATTCAAAACTACATTCGTTACGCAAGAACTTTCAAGCCAAAGGTGAATACGATGTTTTAAGGGGGGGAGGGGAAGGGGATAAAGAGCTGCAACTGGAGAAAGATATGTTGAATCTAATGAAACAAAATATGAGCGGCTGTACTAACTTGACAAAAATGCCTCATACAGATGACGCCCGCAGCAGCCTCTAAATTAGCAGATTGTTACAGAGAATTAAGACAAGGTGATTCACAAGGCATTGGCAGAAACTCATATCGTATCACAGTCAGACAACTGGAAAGTATGATCCGTTTATCTGAAGCCATTGCTAGAGTGAATTGTCGTGAAGAGGTACGTCAAGACATTTGCCCAGGACCATACACACGATCTAAGATGCATGGAATTTTTAATTTAGATTACGGAAGCCTATGTAGCCGAAGCGTTCAATTTACTCCAAAAGTCCATTATTCGTGTAGAAGAAGACGATGTGGACATTGATGATAATTTGGACGATGAAAACGATGAAGTAATGACCAGTGCAGAAGCATTAGGTGGCATGTCATTGGATGATTCTGCTGCTGCTGCTGCTGCTGCTACACAAGACGAAGAGGCTGGAAATAGCTCAAGTGCACCCAGTGGAAAGATCTCCATTACATATGAGAAGTTTGAACAAATTAAACTCATGTTAGCGCACAAACTTCGCTTGGTCCAACAATCATCAGAAGAAGGTATGCACGCATTTTTCAGGAGGTGTTTGAGGGCCTTGTTATACTCACTCATTGTTGCAATGTATATGTAGATCCTGGAATGCGTCGTAGTGAACTAATAATGTGGTATCTTGAACAACGTGAGGCTGATATCAGTGAAGAAGACCTTGACTATGAGAATTTGCTCATCACCAAGATTATCAAAAAGCTGCTCAAGACTGTAAGTTCACGTTGTAGTTGGTAGCATGGTAATATAACACTAACGCACTCTTTTTATGCAGGATGAAACGCTGATCGAAATTAGACAAGAAGATGGTGAAGATGACTCCAACGATCCCATCATCATGCTTCATCCCAACTGTGTCCTTGCTGATGAAGAATAATGTTGCCTTGTACTCATTTCTCCCCTCTCACTCCTACTCCTCTGCCTCCCTCCCCTTGCTTTTTTCCATCCCTCCAACAAGCCGCCCCTTCTTTATCTATCATTATTTTCTATTTTTTTGTTTCTACTATTACTATATTACCGCGAATCAGGTGTAAATATTATTAATTTCTGCATTTCCAAAGGGGGGGGGGAAGGATCAAGGGATGACAAAGAACATTGTCAGTTAGTTAGCAATAAACATTTTTATTATAATTTATACAATATCAACGTCAAATTCTTGTAGGGGATCATGGTATGAGAGAATCCCTTTGCAAAAAAAAAAAAAATACAAGACAAGCCATGTCCAAAAGGTATAAATACAAAGACATCTTTGACCAATTCCAGTTTTTTTTCATTATCCTCATCTAATAAGATATCTTCTTATCACAGCTCTTCTCTTCTCTCAATCTCTCAACTCTATTCTTTGAACACTTTACTCTACTAAAAATGGTCCGTGCTACTATCTTCGTTTCTGCTCTCTTCGCTTTGGCTGCCACTGTTTCTGCCATCCCTCGTCCTGACGGTACCTTGGTTGATATTGACTCTGGTGATCATATCGGTACTGGTGACCTCAACTTTGACAATGCCTTGCAAAACGTTGTCAATGCCAACAATCTCCGAGTCCAAGATGTCGGTTATGATATCAATGCCTTGTCTGATGACTATGATGGCGCCCACTCTGGTAACAGGGGCTCTGACTGCGGTCACCACCACCACCACCACCGCGGTGGTCTTCTCCACGGTCTCCTCAAGCGTGGAGAAGCTCCTGCTGGCACTGTCAGAATCGCTAGAAAGAACAAGGGCAAGAAGATGATGAACAACAAGTCCAAGAAGGCTGCTGCTGCTGCTGCTGCTGCTGTCAAGATGGCTTAAATATCTGTGCATTAAATTCATACTTTCTCAGAGCATTTATAATTCATAGTATATTTTTCATTCTTACACATATTCTTTTTATAATCGTCATATCTACATGATCATCTCCTACTATCAACATTTAAACATAAACAAATTTTTCTAATTATCATTAATAAAATCACTTTATATCAAAGCTATACATTTTATTTTGTTCAAGTGGATGCTATTTCAGGATTATAAGGGATGTATGCGATAGCTAGTAATGTCTAATGTTATTTTGGATAAATACTGGTAGATAGAGTGATCGTCCTATAACCGTTGATTGCAGTACAATTGATGTTTTGATGCATGTTGGAGTGATGCCAACAACTTGACATAGCTAGCAACTTGAGGGGGGGGGGGGTAATGTACTCTCTTTCTTAATGGTAGGCTGCATTATCTCTACCTTAATTTCCTTGAGTTCCAGTAACGGATGACCTCCACAGCATTCATTGTACGAGGGATCTTTAAGACGGCATTTTTCTTTTGAATGTGATTGATGGCGGCATATATGCGATCGATGTCAGTCTTGAAAGGCTTCATTGCAGTTGAGCCGCTAGAATCCCTCAAATCAATCTCTTCGATAGTGGAATATTTGAGTGTGAGGTGCTCCACAAGATCCACATTAGAAACATTGTAAAGAGTCAATTTTTTTTACACCTTTCAACATTTACTTCTATCCAAGCGTGTTGCTCTTCTATTGGTATAATATCATTCCACATTTTGATTCGCAACTGTTGAATCTGTTTACCGTCTCGCAATAGTCTTTCCAATTCTGACATGGTGTACTCGTTTCCCAAAAAGAAAAAAGAGCTACACTGTTCAACTGATCCGCAAATTGGAGGACATTCGTCTTTTCTGTTGTATTTAATGTACTAGCCGATCTATCTCGCTACATTCCATCTCATGGTCGTCCTGAGGGCTCTCGCCAAAGACATTTTAGATTAGATATTATATCATTTTGGTATATCAAGTAGGTTTTAAACAATTTATTATTAGTTAGTAAAAGAAAAGTTATACAGTATCAGAGCCAGGAGGAGGAGAGGAAGCATCTCCCTCAGCACCCCTTTTGCTTACGCTGATATCAAACGAAGCTTATTATTGAGAAGATGTGAAAGAGAATTCAAGATTTATACAGCATCTGTACACCACAATCTTTATTTTATCATAGCAGAATTGCAATATCATTTGCTGCTGCTGATGCTCTTAATAAGATGGCGACATAAAGCTGGCCATTAGTAAATACAAGACCTGTGCAAGATCTACAGCGATTTTTTTTTGAGATATTGCCATTGCAAAAAAAAAACACACTTTTATAGGGAAAGCTCCCAAAAAAGTATTCGGGCTAGTTAATTGTCCTTTCAACTCCATTGTCCCCGTTTTATCAGCATTACAATCATCATTGCCATCATCAGAAAGGCATTTAGGTCAGCCAACAGCAGCACCACCGCCAAAACGATTCAAACTCAGTTTTTTTTTTTCTGTTCAAGATTGGACAGATCTAGTCTTTTTTCGACTTCTTTAATCTATTTTGTGAGATCCGACTATATAAACTGTGATGATCACCCTACGCTTCCTAATACATTCTTGAAGTACTTTTCAAGGCACTTCCAATGGTGCTAACTGTAATAAGTGTTTTGACTGAAATTATTGAGCAATTTGGTAAAATATGAAATAAGGTTTTCAGCGAAAATATAGAAATTTTGCATATGAAAACCTCATAAAACTGGTTCCAGAAGTTGCTTTGGATCAAGAGAAACATTTTGGTTCAATACATACCATAGCAAAAGTCTTCATTTTCAAGGTCAAAAACGCGATCGTTTGATTTTCGATGAAAATCATGAGGGGTACCTCATGCTTTTTGATCGATTTTTGGCCATGTTTTTTTGGGTCTTCAAAAAGTTAAGCAAAGGTGTCAAGAAGTTACTACTACTCAAGTACAATTGTTTGGCGTTATTCCGGTGGCTCAGAAAGGTCTACATGTCAAGATATGAAGGCTTGAAAACTGTCCAATTTGGCTGTATTTTTGCTTTATGGCTTTTATTTGCACGGCATGAATCACATCTTTGGTAGCTAAAGTCTTCTGGAAGGGCAGTTCTGCAGCCCGCGCAACTTCTAATTCGAACAGGAGTCATATTGGTTTCGGTAAAGCTGATTCATGTAAATTTTGATGCGATATATTGCTGGTAAGCTTATTAACAATGGAAATGAAAACTCGAATTTGCTGCTTGAACACTATGGTTTTACATCTTTGCTTCGCTGCGATCAAGCCCTCATATAGATCAATGTTACCAAGTATTGGATTCAATACCTGATTACCATAACTTTGCACGTTTGATTCGATACGGTAAACCCTCTCTATAAACCAATGCTATCAAGTGTTGAATCAGATGCATTATTATGGTCTTGGAGATAATAAAGTCGCATTCTTCTTAGCTCTGATATGAAAGCGGCATGTGCTCTCAGTGATCTTGTATATATGCTATAGATATACAGTATAATGATGGTTTATAGTGAGATTGCACGCAAACTTGATTTAAAAGCGAGAAAAGCATTGGCGAACACATCAAAGAATCTTTGATGAAAACTAAGCGTGAGCAACTTGTATTCCGTTTCTAATGTATTGTCAATGTCTGTTATCCATTCGAAAAGGCCTCTTCCATTTTTCCAGCAACGCTTCTAATATTTGGGTTAAATATTAGACGCAGTAAACGTTACATGTTTGCTACTGATTTGATTCCAATGATGAATTGAAGTATAAATAAAGTATCAAGTTGCATTTATATATGTCTTTTGATAAACGTGCATAAAAAGCCTGTGCTCGTTCATTTAATGCCCAGCTGTTTTTTTTTTCTGGTAAGCATTTTAGGTCTGCCAGGTGATCCCAACGTTTGCAGACCAATCTACACTGAGCCAGATCAACTACTACATCTACGTTTTCAAGGATCTTACAAAGAACTTGGCTTGAAATCGAGCTTATGGTAGGCACTGCTAGAAAAACAGACGAATTGAGCTAACGCTTCGGTTGGATCATTGGAACCGATGATTCAGTGATAAATCAATCTATGGGTTAGTTGAGCGACCTGAATGGCTCAATCGAAAACACACTTCACTAATCTAGAAGCCCTTCTGATACATCCAGGGCAACCACCTAATTTTAGCGGATTCCAACATCCAAATGACCAAGCGCTCCTTTTGCCCTCCTTTTTGGGATGACCTATGTAATTTCAGTTAGTTTCCCTTTGCATAACATGATGGAACATCTACATGTACATATTTTTCAAAAAGTAAAAATGAAAACAACTAAGCAGACAAGGCATTGCACTTGCTTTTACTAAATATATCCTTGAATAAATGACTACATTGATGCAGTATCCTGCTTTTCAGTTTCTTGTTGCTAGAAAGTCATTTTAAAAACAGGGCTCAATCACACTGACTCTCCTTTCATGCTCTGTGGATTTCCCTGTTTTTTTATTGATCTATTTAATAATCTGTCTATAGAGTGTAATAAGAGAGAAATAGCAAAAGATACACACAAGCATGGCTACACATGGGAGGTTGCATGAAACGAAATCAATAGAGTTGGTGACTCGGCCTAAATGCATATATAGTAAAGCTCGCATTCCGCCATGGCATATTTCATATAAACACAACATGTCGTACCTTGTATTTATAGAAACTGGAGTAGCAGCACACCCCAAGAAAGAAAGACATAAAATTTCCATTTCCATGTGTTGAATTCTACTTTTGAAATAATGAAATCATGATTTCATTTGATTTGTTTCATGCTGATTTGAATAGCATCTCCCTTTTTGACCTCCCTTTTTTCCAGTCTTGTGCCTGTGCGTGTGTGTGTCTGTGTAAGTAGTGTGTGCTTATGAAGAGCCATTCTGTGTGTGCCTGTGGGCGTGTGAGAAGCGTTTAATGACTTTTTTCCCTTAGTAAACATCAGGTTGTTTTATTGTCCCTCCTCATTTTTTTATTTATTATAATTTGGCTTTCTTTTAATCTTCTCTTTCTCTTTCTCTCTCTCTCTCTTTCTCTCTCTCTCTCTCTCTCTCTCTCTCTCTCTCTCTCTCTCTCTCTCTCTCTCTCTCTCTCTCTCTCTCTCTCTCTCTCTCTCTCTCTCTCTCTCTCTCTTTTTCTTCTTTTTCGGTACATTCATTGCACATCAGATCAAGGCGTTCTCTTGCAGCGTCTCATTCAACACCTATCAGACAGCACAACCTCAGTCAATCCATTCTACAATCCATACCGCTACCAAAATGTCAAAAGGTACGTTTTCAATAGGACAGTCGCCATGTTAGCAGGCATGTTAAAGCATGTTTCAATTAGGCTATTATGTCTGCCAAAGAGCAGCTCAAGCCATTATAGCCGAGATTGGACCCCTTCGCGTATCCAGCGATGCCCTTCAAGCCATCAATGTCTTTTTGGATGAATTTCTCGCGCTTCTAGTGATCACAGCTGTTTCATTGGATCTTGTCTTGTTAAAAGCAGCCGTTGTGCAGTTACTGCCCTATTCGCTTGGAAAGAATGCATTAGTTGAAGCCGAAATTGAGCTGAAGAATCGAATTGCTGAATCAGAAGCGGATGAAGACGAGTACCAAAATCAACTGGATCTGTCTACCTATGAAAAGATGCGATTGCTCAACGCTGAATCTGTCAACCAAATTATACCCATCCTGCAAGCAGCTTGTGCTGATTTTTGTACCTTGGCAGCAGAGACACATCACACGCAAGAAAAGCATCAAGACACGATTGCACCCGTTGTTGTCATTTATGTCACTGCTATTGTAGAACATATTGCCGAGTATATTCTTAATTCGGTAGCTATGACTGCAGATCAGACGGATGCAGAACATATCAGAGTTAAGGAGGTGCTACTGTGTCTACTCGACGACCCTCAAGCAGGCAGTTTGTTTAGACGTATGAATTTAAAAGAAACATTAGAGGTAGGCAGTATGCTTAGCCAGGAGACATGTTTTGATATCGATCAATGTCATTGATAGAAACGAGCTTCTACATATCCAAATTACTTGCCTTCGCCTGTGCCTAGTCCTGTTTCTATCAAAAGGGATCAACTCATTCAACGCCATTCTAATTGTAAGTTTATCAACCAATTTACATGGCCCGTGTTGTGAATAATGAGTTAAATTGGTTAATATAGCAACGACACCAACAAGTGCAGATATCACAATGGACTATCATAATGACCCTCTTCAGGGTGAAGACAGTAATGACCTCGATCCTCGTGTTACGCCTTCCTCAACATGCTCCATGCGCTCCAGTGAAAGTATCAGTGATCGCCCTCTCTCCATTATGAGCAACGGCACTGTCAAGTCATCTGGCAGCAAGAGTCGATTCAACTTTTTTGGCAGCAGCAGTAGCAGCAACAACAAGAAGAAAAAGCGTACTTCCACCATTTCACTCAGTTTTTCGTCAAATAAGCGCTCTACATCTAACCCTCCTTCAATTGCTTCACCAACTACGCCCTCCTATACAACTGCAAGCATGGATTTTGAAGATTTGATGAGATCAGGCACAACTAAAAAAGTGACATTGACTCCCAACCGTTTAAGGTCTATCGAGGTCAAAGAAGATGACGTTACGCCATGGAAGAAGCTAAACGATACCAAGAACACCAAGAAGCAGCATAGATCAAAAAAGAGATCTTCTGAATCCTCTTCTTTTTCTTGCTCTTCGCCAACCTCGTCTCCTCCTCCTCCTCCTCCTCCAATTCCACCACTTCCCAAGCTTAACCGTGACCATCACACAACCACCCTCACCTCCAGTCCCAGTGCCACTGCAGCTGCTACTCTTGTGCTTGATAACAACACCAATAGTCCGCCATTGACACCAGCATCCAGTGTAGCTTCTCGTCCATCTCAAAGGTCAAGACACTCGATCATTTACGAAGAGAAATCCACTCGCTCCTCCATGAAATCCTCTTATTCAACCAGCGAAGATTTGCTTGTAGAAGAAACAACGCACTTGATGAGAAACCCCTCCAAAATGTCTACCTCTAGCAGCGTCTATAGTCGGCGTAGCGGTACATCAGGTATTGAAAGACCTTCTAGCATGGTCGTCAAGAGAGCCTCTATGGGATCAAGACCACCCTCATTTCACGAAAATGCTGCCCTGGAAATCATGGGTAATACGCTTGTAGCTGCTGCCAATGGCATTTCCCTGGAAGACAAAATATCGCAGGTCGATCATCCACCACATCATCAGGAGCCTAGCATGATTTATGTTCTGCCGTCTTCTAACAATACCAATGCCAAATCCTTATCAGGTCGCTTTGCACCAAGCGCATCACTCAAGGCACGCACTGTAGACCGCGGCTGTCAAACGGAGCCAGTCAGTTTTCGCATGTTGCATAAAAACTCGGAGGTGTCAGCGGATGTTGAGGGTGTGGAAGATGAGGACGAAGAATGGTTCCTTGATCAATCTGAAGACGAAGAGGATTGGAGCGCAACACAGCAACAGGAACAAGAAGAAAAGGTCATGGTTGAATTTCTGCTTGGAAGTGTCTAGTTGCAAGTTCATTTCACCTCATTTCCGTGTAAAAACATTCTTATGCATATATTGTTACAAATATAAGGATTCCCCTCCCCTTTCTTCTCTTCTAGTATTCCCCTCTCTCTCCCCTTTGATTTCAAATCACCTATCTATTCATCTACTTATTACCTCTTTTCTTATCCCCCCAATTCATAATATCATAATAGTAATAATACAATAAACTCCATTTATTTTCATACAGTGAAAGAAGCCTTGACTTGGTTAAGCAACAACTTGGCATCAGCTTCACCTACTTGATCCACCAATGTCTGTTCCAAAGCTGACCAAAACTCGGGGCTTGACAATTTTTGTTCGGCTTGTGCAGAAATGCCAAAGCGGCCTGTACTGGATGCTGTTGATGCGGCAATAGGAGAAGAGGCAGGAGATGTTGAGTTGGAAGCTGTGGAAGCTGCTGCTGCTGGTGCTGCTATGACCATAAGGTGAATGACAGCATCTGATTGAATAGAGAGTTCTGCCAAGGTCTTTTGATCAGCCAAAACCTTACCCTTTATCAACAAACGTTGGCGATTGACTGGAAGTGAGCTTTGTTGTTGATAGATACGTTGCTTTAATTGATGCACTGTATCGTTCAAAGATAATCCGCCAATGGTGAATTGAGATGAAGGCTTCAATACCTTGACGGTTACTTGAATCTTGTCGCTGTTGGTGTTGGTGTTGGTGTTGGCAGGAGTAGGTGCAACGGGAGCTAATAGGAACATGACTATGAATACACTGCATTGACACGCGTAATTTTTAGTAGAAATTACCCTTTTCTTCAATATCAACGGGTGCAACAGGTACTCTCTGTTCAAAAATAAACATGGCTTTAATAATCGACTATCCCAAGAGGTAATTACAACCACAAACCTTCATTCTCAAAGGAGAGGGAAGCGTACGCGACATGTAGTCCTCGCCATAACGAACAGATTTGGAAGAAAGTCTTTCTAAATAGAGGTTGATAAAGTCAAGTTCGGTTTGAGCAGATTGCATAGCGAGAAAATGGATACAGGAGAGAAGGAGAAAAAAGATGAAAGGAGGCGAGATAAGTCATACGAAATTCGCCCTTCTACACACTCTAGTGCACCCTCAGTGATGTGAGGATTGATTCGCCTATGGAAAAATTATGGGCAGAGTAAGTAAATGAGGACTAAATAAGGAGAAAACAAGTTGACAAAGGGAATAAAGCAAAGCTCTCGAGCATCATCTTTTCACGTCTTTGAGGAGAGAGAGAGAGAGAGAGAGAGAGTAGAGAGTAGATCAGGGAGCTTGTAGAGTCTAAGCATTGAATAGTAAGATTAGTATCCAGTATCTCATCTTTTTGATCTTCAAGGAGATTGAAATGAGTTCAGTGCCATGGTGGAGCACTTGAGGCATGGTTAGACACACTCTTTCTATCCATGCGATTGTGTATATATGAATGAGAACATTTTAGTTTTGTTTAAATAGCATAATTCGTTGTGTATAGCGAAATCTTGCTGTTTGCTCCTCTGCAAGTGGCGTTTTCCTGAGTCTCTTTCCTCCTGCAGCGGTTCTGTTGCTGCAGTTGTGGTCGTTAGTAGTAGCAGTCGTCGTCAATCTTTGATGTAGTGTTGCTCCTATTGTTCTCATGCTACTATATGAATTATGTGTATGTTAGCAGTACCAACGCACAAAAGAGCAATATTGCGTTATATGGATGACCTTCTCCTTAAAATCTGGCATGAGTGCAACAACAACAACAACAAGCCAGAAAAAGTTGATTTGGCGGCTACATCTTGCCATGTATGTGGGATCAATAGATTGAATCAGATGGTTCCAATGGTAATTTATGAAATCAACGCAAACCCCCAAGGGGAAGAGTACAATGACTCTGTCTCACACGGCATGATGTACACCCTTTGATCTTTGTTCAAGGAAAAAGAAAAAAAGTTGGTTGAAGAAATCAAGGGATTGGCAAATCACAACAATATGAATCGATACACATGAACTCCAAAAGTTGTTTATATACTAGATTCACTTTTTTTTTTTTTCACAAATCTATATAAACACTTATAAATCCATGTACACTGTACTTGACTAGCCCCCTTCTCTCTCTATCTCTCTTTTTATAACTTGTCTTTTTTCTCTCTTTCTTTAAACAAAAAAGGTGAAAATGAGCAATACTACCGTACCGTCAAATGATGCCAATGTGATGCTTGATCTGGGTCTAGTCAACCCAGACGGGCTTGAGGTTGCATCTGAAGTAACATCGTTGGCATGTATTACCGTACTGGCATTGGCGCTAGGTGCCAAGACCTATGGTGAAAAACTGAAATCTTTAAATTATGGCCGTGTATTGGTCATTATGCTGTATACGCTCTCCTGGGCGTTTGCAGCGACATCTGTCATTGTGGTGTCTACTAATAATAGTACGTACATTGTAATTCGCACGATGATCGTTTATGTTTGCGGCCTCTATTGACAACGTATTACTACAGATAATCTGGTGTCTTGTACACTTGGCATGTTGGCTTGCGATTTCTTTTATGCTGGCAGTAAGATTGCAATTTATGCATGGTTGGTTATAATTTAAAAGCCTGTCAATAGACTTGTCATCTCATTGTCGTTGTATAGGCTGATTGAACGTGTGCACCTGGTTACTGCTGTAAAGACAACACGACTCAAGACTGCACAGTACAAATTTCATATCATCCTGCTCTGCCCCTATATCATTATCTTTGTGCTCATGGTAGGCGATCCAGACGCATGGCAGAAATCAGATTTTACTCATCTATCATCCTAGCTGAGCTTTAGAAACATCTATTTGGAAGCAGATGGCACATGTACGATTGGATTGCAAGACGTTGCTAGTATTCCATTGTTGGTAAAGCTCTTGCTTGTTGCAGAGTGGTATAAAACTTAACTAACGCCATGTGTTTGTCTCATATATAGGTATATGACTTTGTATGTTTGCAACATAATAGCAATTTGGCGTATTCTTCCTTCTAACTTGTTTTCTTTGGTTAGATTTTCAACTTGTATTTAACATGGCTTTTCATGAAGCCGCTTACAAACATCGGGCGAAATACCCGTCAAGACTGGAAAGTAACCAGATTATACAAATTAGCAAGACGAACCCTGGTAGCATCCGTCGTGTGTCTGTCTGTCTCTTTCATCAATGTGCTGTTTGTGGTGATCAGCCATGGCCATCAAAGAGGCTTGGTGTGCCTGACAATGTGTACTGTGGATGTCACGGTAAGTAATGATTGACAATGCATTTCGATATCAAAACTAACTATACTCCTTGCATCCCCCCCCAAAAAGGTCAATGTTGTCACTGTTCATTGGGTAATTAGTCAATGTGGATGCTAATTAGCAGCCATCTCTTTTTTATTGACACTTTTATCATGTAAAAATAGGTTACAACAAGTGGTACATCCAGTTCAGGTAATAACCGAACCAAGACTCACAATGACGAGCATATGACAGCCGATATGACATTTGATGGTGATAATCATGAAAAATCCATGAAATTTGACATACAGATGGTTCAACCTCACATCGTGGATGATGATGATGACAGTATTACCTCCGTTCAAGCATCCAACACTAGCAAAAAACCAATTAGCCACTATTACAACTAATTACATACCACTATCATACTTGTCAATAAAAGCAAATTCTTTTTTTGTTTTTGTTTGTAAGATCATGTTGTCAATTAAATTTCAATCTGTGGCCTAGTAAGGCATTACACAGGAGAATCACGTTTAGACTTGCATAAATGCCATCGTTGTTAGTGTTACATCTCAAACAAGGCATAATTGCATATGTAAATGGCATAGAATTCCTTGGTTTTTATTTTTAATACAAGTGAGTAGTAGTAGCCATGGTACTGGCAGCCATGGAGGCAGTGGGAGGTGAATGGATACTGTTTTGGTATTGCATTAATCGTTCATATTTCGCCTTGATTTCAATCTCACTCTTTTTAGTGATTGCAAGCTCCTCACGAAGATTCATGACCTGTGTGGCAAGCTGCATAATTCTATTCTGCATTGCATGTGTCAAGGCTTGTTTCTTGGCTCGATATTTAGCTGAAGCAAGCTTGTTTCGGGCTCTTCTTGTCGCTAGTGCATCAGATTTGCTACCCAGTGATTTTGATCTGCCAACGCCAACATTACTAGTGCTGCTGCCAAATGTCGATTCGAAATTAGAGAATAACGAGTTTTGCCTGCTGTGCTGATGTAAGTGGTGATGGACTTCATCCTCATCGTCGTGATCGGATGTGTGGGACGAAGATGAAGAGAATGAGGGGGATGGCAGGGAAATGGAGGGGAATCTCGATCTGTTGGATAAAGAAAAAGATGATGGAGTGCGCATCATTGGGTATGTAGCGTATCGGTCGGATGGAGCATTGGCACTAGTGTTGTGTATCCAATGGCCCACATATGTTTGTCTTTCCCGAGATGAGTCAACAGCAGCAGCAGCGGTTGCTGCATTGTCAGTCATCTCACAAAGCGACGGTAAATGGTATTCAGTGTGTGCAGAGTCTGGAGATGTGATTGCACCAATTGACATGACGCTGGTAGACTGTGTAGAGATCATTTTTCAAGTATGGATGAATAAACTAAAGAAGAAACAGAGCACGCAAAAGAGATGCGATATTTATACAATTTTTTACCCTTATGATGTAATAATGTGATTTGACGGATTATCGCAATACCTTGTGTTTAAATGGTGAATGTATGCAACTCTCTAAATAGAGACAAGGGGATCTCCTGAGTATCGCGGTAAAAGCTACCCGCTTCTTCAACGCTGAGATGTACCTGACTTGGCGTCATGGGGGGGGGAGGGAGGGAGGGAAGGGATGGACCAAGTTTGATTGTTTGCTAGCAAGGCTTTTTTTTTTATCACGAACCGTAGCATGGGCCGATGCACTCGTTCTCCATGCAAGATACACAGAATTGGGCACTACCATGGACTTTATGCGTTTGCTATTTACAGAAAATATCAAGTCTGTGTTGTTTGCCAGTTACTTCAACACGACAGCATGGCTAATGTTTCTCTGTTTGCTGATGGACCGGTGTATAGTTTGGTGTGTTTTCATATTGGCTTCTGATCTAACAAGTTGAAGACTTTCAAGTAACGCATGGGTCATGTCAAAAAAGCAAGATGCACAATGCTTTTGTTTTTTTGGGTCACAGAGCAACATGCAAAGATAACTTTATCTGATTTAAAGTTGCACATGTTGTTTGATAACATGTGTACACAATGTTTAAAAAAGTCAAATTTTCTTTTTCTAGCCAATTCCGTGGTATATTTTGTATGAATTTCAACTAAAAACCCCAATTCACGGCTACTGTAGAGAGTACAATAGAATAATTCATATCAATTCCTTGATTTATAGGGCAACAAAAGAAAAAAAGAGAAAGGCGTATCGACCACTTCCATGTATACATTGAATGCAGACATTTGGAGGTAAACGCTCTGTCAAGCCATCATCGCTCGCATATCAAATATCTTTTGATCGAGATTCAAGTGGGAAACTCTGATCGCAGCTTATTTCAATACTGTTCAGACCCTGACATTCTCAATGGCACTCTTAAATTTATGCCAGATAACAACTGCATGGTATCACTCTTCTCATGTGTTACTTTGGTAAATCTACATACTCATCAAAGGAATTCCCTTTTCTTGAAGCTTTTATACATGGAGCTGCATTACATGATACACTACTCGTTCAGAGTGATACTGTATAAAAGTTTCACCTTGCCATTCATTATATGGATCGAGTCTAAATACACATATTCATGTGCTACGAAGCGAGCGCTTGTTTTGAAGGAACAATAAACCCCAGATTAATTGCATGCATACCCCTGCCTCCTATTTAATAGGCTTCCTACCATTTTACAGAGGCTAGCCAGGGCCTTCTTTACGTTATTTCAAAGATCTGATAATGGCCACTGTTTTCCTGATCTGTTACTACCGCTATCTACAGTTTAAATCCAGGACCCCCCCCCCCCACTGCTCCTAGAAAAAGATGATTTTGGTTTCCTCCTTTTTCATGTAGCTCGTACTTATTCAACTAAAATCGCATAATTAATATGCACTATATCACGGATGTATAGGCCCACTGTATCTGCTCGTTGTGTTTCCATGCACGGTAAAAGCATCCATGTCTAATGCATCACGACATCAAAAACTGCCATCATCATTTTGATCAAAAAATGAAACAGAGATGTTGATCGTAGCAATCGTTTTATTAAGACTCTCGTCGGCAGTTTGTAATATAATGTCATGTCCATGTGCGTTTGCGTGTGTATGTGTGTATTGATGTAAATTTTTGGTTTTTGTATGATCAAATGAACCCTTAGAAATCGGTCCATTCATACCCTTCACATTCCCTTGCGCGTGGTAGCTCCTGAACCATCTTTCTAATTGTTGCAGATGATAACCCGTAATATTCAGTTCCTGAAACAGTGTTTTTGTAGACCTTCTTTCTCAATATATTGGATCTTCTAAGGACCTCTGCCCATGCGTCCGTAGGAGTAAGTTTTCTAATTTCAATCTCGGGAGCATCTTCGCCTTGTATACAAAACTGCAATAGAGTTGAGCTTTTTTTTTTTTCTTCTTTCTTCCACGTTAGACTTACCAATGGCTTGTTTAGTTCTTCGTCTTTTTCAATAGTGCAAGTATACAGTGTGAATACATCCTGTTGTACCATGCTTCGAAAGGTTCTAAGAATGAATGTCAGTACCCAAGGAAGCGTCGCTTCTCAGCAACAGCAAACAAACCTCTGTATCGCATATCCAACGGGAAAGATGTGGGTTTGTGAATAAAACTCTGGCTCAGGTATAATTTCGCCTAATGACAGCAATTTGACTCGTCCCAGTTGCACTGGAAGAATGTAATTACCATGCTCATCCTTTTTCACGTCAATAGGTTTGTTGGATCTTTGTCTCTTTTGTGGCGGTGCCGATTTGTCCTGTGATGAAGGTGCGGATGATGCTGTCTTTTTGCGTTTTACAGCAGTGGGTGCCTCTTCGTCCTTTGCATGTCTCTTCTTGGCTACTGTTGTTGTGGTTACTGTGTCTTCGTCAGACGAAAAGATGTCAGAATGGATATCCCCAGCGGACAAATCACTGCCATCATCGTCATCGTCGTCTGCATAATCATTCTTGTTGGCCTTGACAATCACGTCCAGCAATACACTGCCATGAACACGCACGTTTAATCCTTTTGCTATTGTACTCACAATCTAGTGCATTTTTACCTCCTTTGTTTCCTTAATCTTGAGATTTTCAATAATGAACTTTCAAGCTGTTTTGTAAGATCAGAGTTTTTCTACAGGGCCACGTCAAGATGGGAACATGGGTGTTGGCATCCTCTCCAGAGCCAGCATGCAAAACATACCTCTAATAAGCGTTGCATAGTTGCTTCAAGTGCCTCTGCTGTAGCATCGCTGCCGCTGTTGAGTGCGCGTTTCACTAGTGGTTGCTGTTGCTGCTCTTTCAAATCAGTCAAGGGCTTTTTAGCAAGTTGCGCCAAAGAATGTTGTGAAATTGATTGATTTTCCATTAGAGTGTGCTATCAACCTTACGCTGTTAAACAATGTCTTTCAAAGAAAAAGGAGAGAAAAAAAAAAAGAAAAAGAGGACAGAAGATCCGATTTGTTATGCCTTCAACAAGTACACTCAAAGATCAGCATCAACACCACTCATCCACCATGATTGCGACGTCACATTACACAACAACACAACATTGGATAGCAAACATTGCCTGTCAAACATTTATTCAAGAATAGTAGAATGGAGATGGCGTATGTGCCGGAGATACGTAGGCTCCTGGGAGAGCATTGCTAGCATTAGGTGGTGGATACTGACGAGCAAGCATCGAGTAGCGATCCACTTGCAGCCTGCTCAAATCGTTGCTATTGCGATGATCGTAGCTTCCTGGTAGCTCCAATTTCTCTCTTTGCGGTGCTATCGGTGTGGCGTATTTCTTTGCTGTTGAGGCTCTTTTGTTGCTTGCTAATGAGATTTTCCATCTGCCCTTTTCATGCTCGTTTGACAGTATGGGAACAATAGGGTCAGACATTCTTCTACTGGATTTTATCATAGAGCTGCTTATCACTAGAACGATCCACATGAGAGATACAGCGATGGACACGACGTAGGTACTATCCACTAGCAAACACCTAAAACTGAGAGTTAGATCCATGTTTGTGTGGCCTTCAGTGACATTTGAACTACCTTTGCATAAGCAATGGGTAAGTCGCATCATGATCTTGATCCAACATGGCACAATATGTAATAAATCCTTTTGCCGGTTCCTTGAACTCCACAAGACCATGTGTCCACGGCTCTTGGCCTCCCCAGAATGTAATTGCTATAATGATAACAGCGGAAACTGCAATGTTTACTGATCCCAAGCATTTATCTCCTCGCAAGATGTGTCCTCGTTTACAACATGTCGCATGTACACAAACAGCCAACGCACTCATCACTGACAAACTGAACAGGATGTACCAAGCTAAATACTATCAAACTTCTCTTTAGTTGATGTATATTTCTCGGGTGGATTGATGATTGTTACCTGCCAGTGCCCTACTGATATCCAGCTTGGTATGTTTGTCTGTATACTCGCGATGTTTAGCTTACACTGACAGTTTCATAGATGCGTTCAAAAGACTAGGCTGCTGCTTACTTTGTTTTGGTACACATGCAATAATGTGCATTGAGCAAAATGGCATCCTAATCCAATCAAACTGAACAGTAATGTAAAGAATCGCAGTGCATTGATGAATTTTATAGATTGCTTCATTCTATATAACTATGTGCTGAGGAAAGAGAAAGCCCTTGAAATTCATCAAACTTCATTAGACCGAGATTATAATAACAAATTAAGGAGTTATATCTTTTAGAAATGAGACAGAGGGAGCCATTAAATATATTCTACATCAGTTATTAAATACAAAATCGTGAAAAAGAAAACTCTCCTTCATTCATTTGCGTGAATCGGATAATTGATCCAGCTTGGAGTTATCGCAGTGAGAGGAAAAATTAATTAGTAGATATATAGCAAATACAGCTGTCTCGCACGTTGATCGTTCGAGCTTAATGATGAATCTCTCATGTTGCCAATATACAAAGACCGTATCAATTTTATAGTCAACCATTCGAAGAATGTGAAGAAACGGATTATTAAGGGTTGCGAGAATCCAATGCCATGCATGATGCAGTTAAACGCTATGTGGTGAACGTCAAATGGCTTTGTAGCGTGGTGGCTTACTTAACAGTAAGGTTTCTAGCCATTTGACTGTAATTTGAATCACTTTTTGATTGAGCCATACCATTTTATTATTTAGAAACCAAAGCGACAATGTATTAAGCGTGTTGCAAAAGTCAACATGTCGTCAACGTAAGACGCTCCCAAGGATTTGAGGTGCACGCATTTAGAGGATATCTTTCTGTAGAGAAAATTTTGAAATGAGCTTGCTCTGAAAAAAAGGCTGATAGTTGCAATAATCAGTTTATTGATGTGATAGTGTTTCTCAAAAGTGCGCTATAAAAGAAGTGTAAAAATGTGAATGAATCAAAAATTCTAAAGTTCGACAAGACTTTTGGAGGCCTCATTAGAGTATTTGATTGATCCTACCAATACCTACTTTTCAGCTGTTCATCATACATGAAAACTCTCTCTATAACGACCCGTACCTGTGACTCTGGCTCTTTTAGGATGCTCCATATCTGCGCTAATGGAAACAGTTCTCATACGGACACAGGACGTACTGATATTGCCTCTTACTACGCGAAAATATGCAAATAATAGCGAAATAGCCATACATTTCAGTCGTGTTTTCTCGCGTTAGAAGCCGCTTTAGACCACCAGATTTGCACTAATGAATTCCTCTCGATTAGTACTTACTTTCTGACATGTTTGCTCAACTTTTTTTTTTTTTGGAATCGCCAAAAATCGACCAAAAACCATGAGGGATGCCTCATGATTTTCATTGAAAATCAAACGATCGTGATTTTGACCGCAAAATTGAAGACTTTTGCTATGGCATATATTAATTCAAAATGATTGTATTGATCCAAAGCAACCACAGAAACTACTTTTGTGGAACTTACACATGCAAAATTTCTACATTGTGGCCGAAAACCTCATTTCATATTTTCTGGCTTTGCTCAATAAGCTTATTCAAAACATCCATTTTACTTGGTACCATGGGATGCGCCTTGAAAAGTACTACAAGGAAGCTTAAGGAAGTACAGTATGATCAGCACATTTTATATAGTCGAGTCTAGCAAAACAAGTCGAATTGGATCCAAAATGATCCCAAATGATCAAATCAAAACAGAATATGAAGCGAAGAATCAAAAATTTCTGCCTGCCTAGCAACATTGATGCTGTGATATATGTCATAGGACCAATAACCGTATATCATTACTGCATTATGCATGTTGACCAATTCAGCAACATGCCCGTTTCCTATTTAATATTCATGTCCATAACGTATTCATATATCCGTAGCAATTTACAAGAGTATAAATACCCCAATATATTTTATTCAATAAACATTATCTATCTATTTATTAATTACCTCTCATACATATTACAGATGCCATGTTTATGTGAGAGTAATTGGTACTTTTAGAAGCTCCTAAAAAAACATCTGGGGAATGAAATGTACTATAACCTAGATTGTATGCTTTCATTGAAATCGAGCGATGGTACCTCGATAAACAAGGGACAGTATGCAGATAAAGACACACTGGTCGATAAATTTTGTTAGTTAAAGGGATTGGTTCAATAGGACACCAAAGTTCGAAGCTTGCCTACAATTAATCATTGATTGCTTCCAAATGCAGTTGATGCAATTTTTGACAGTAAGTTCTTAGATACTCAAGAATGCTTAGACTCTGACTCTCAGATCAGGGACATTGAGAATTATAAAACCAAAGCCCTGTCGGGGATACAACTTACCATAGCAATCAGGAACCGAAAGCTGTCAGACCAATAATTAGTCGCCATGGTACACATGATCTTTCTTTCAGATATAGGAAGTATAATTGTGCTGTATTTCTTACAGCATCTGGTTTGCTATGATAAAGACACGACTTATCTATCAACCAGCAAAAGCAACTGCTATCTTGTAATTGTCAATTCTTTTTGGATTGAAAATCAATTGGTCATGATTGGTTTAATTGCACACTTTTAGATGGATGATCCGCAGCCGTAGACATGTATTGGAGTAAAACACAAAAACAGAAGCAACGAAAGAGTCATTAATGAGTCACATCACAGCTAAAAAATTTTCAAAGCCATATAAAAGAAGTGTGTTCTTTTCAGCATTTACAAATTTTCGGTGGTTCTATATCACCCTTTCATTTTTTTAAAATAAAAAATCCCCATTTTTTCTTTTTCTAAACCAACATGTCTGTCGAACATATGAATGAAGCCTTTGATACTATCCTCATTTTGGATTTTGGATCTCAAACCTCTCACTTGATTGCTCGTCGTATCCGTGAGTTTGGCATCTACTGTGAGCTTTTGCCTTGTACTCAAAAGATGGCTGATCTCCACTTCAAGCCCAAGGGTATCATTCTGTCTGGTTCTCCCTACTCTGTCTATGACAAGGATGCTCCTCGCGTTGATCCTGCCGTCTTTGATAGTGGCGTTCCTGTCTTGGGTATCTGTTATGGTCTTCAAGAAATGACCAACCTTATGGGTGGTAAGGTCGAAGCCTGTGACCATCGTGAATACGGTTATGCCATGTTGGACATTCACAGATTCCCTGATCATCCTTTTGCTGATAAGCTCTTGGCAGGCATTGAATCTCCTGTTCAGGTATGTAGTTGTTGATTTGGTAGAGGGAGAGAGAAAAAATTTTATTGACATGAGAATCGACACATTAAGGTCTGGATGTCTCACGGTGATCAAGTTACAGGTGCTGCTGAAAATTTCAACGTTATCGGTACAACCAAGACTGCTCCTTTCGCTGCTGTTGCTCACAGAGAGAAGCCTTTCTTCGGTATTCAGCTTCACCCTGAGCTCACCCACACTGCCTGTGGTAAGGAGATCCTTCGCAACTTTGTCTTGACCATCTGTGAAGCCAAGGCTTCTTGGACCATGGAGGAATTTGTTGAAAAGGAAATTGCTCGTATTCGTAAGATTGTCGGTCCTACTGGTCGTGTCATTGGTGCTGTGTCTGGTGGTGTTGACTCTACTGTTGCTGCCAAGTTGATGCACGAAGCCATTGGTGATCGTTTCCATGCTATTTTGGTCGATAACGGTGTCATGCGTTTGGATGAATGTGCCAATGTCAAGAAGATGTTGGTTGATAAGATGGGTATCAACCTCAAGATTGCTGATGCCTCTGATCTCTTCTTGGACCGTCTCAAGGGTGTCACTGATCCCGAGAAGAAGCGTAAGATTATTGGTAACACTTTCATCGAGGTGTTTGAAGATGAAGCTGCTATTGTCGACAAGGAATGTGGTGGTCAAATTGAATACTTGTTGCAAGGTACTTTATACCCTGATGTCATTGAATCCATCTCTTTCAAGGGTCCTTCTGCCACTATCAAGACTCACCACAACGTCGGTGGTCTTTTGGAAGACATGAAGCTCAAGTTGATTGAACCTCTCCGTGAACTCTTCAAGGATGAAGTGCGTGAGCTCGGTAAGATTTTGGGTCTTGATGATGAATTGGTCTGGCGTCACCCCTTCCCTGGACCAGGTATCGCTATCCGTGTTTTGGGTGAAGTTACTCGTGAACAAGTTCAAATTGCTCGTTTAGCCGACCATATTTATATTGAGGAAATCAAGAAGGGTGGTTATTACCGTCAAATTTCTCAAGCTTATGCCGCTCTCTTGCCTATCAAGGCTGTTGGTGTTATGGGTGACAAGCGTACCTATGAGCAAGTCATTGCTTTAAGAGCTGTTGAAACCACTGATTTCATGTCTGCCGATGTCATGATTGGTGCTGAATGGTTCTTGACTTTGAAGCGTATCTCTTCAAGAATTATTAATGAGGTTAAGGGTGTTAACCGTGTTGTGTATGATATTAGTTCCAAGCCTCCTGCTACCATTGAATGGGAGTAAATTTATAAATTTTGTATAAAATAAACCAAGCATAGAGAATAAATAAAGAAACCCTGATTATTTTTCAAGGAAGCATTTCATAATAAGTAAGCAGTTTATTTAAACTTTTAAAATGATTGAATAGTCTCTCGAGACCCATCATTTTCAATTGTAAGCAGCTTCAATGCTTTGCATCTGATCCAAATCAAGCTCCATGCTGTCCTTTTTGCTACGTTTGTAATCACACGTTTCTTTATCAGTCTCAATCTCGAGGGTAAAATTTTCGCTGGATACAACTTCAATTAAATCGAGGTTCTCAGGCGAGCAATCATCAGTCGTGTCATCCTTATCCGTTACAAATGTTTACGCTTCGGATGGCTCTCTGCCTTCCCTTCGCTTTGGTGAGAACCAACCTGCGCAGCGGCAGCTCGCGCTAACGATTGCCCTTGCGTATCTTATCAAAATACTGCTACTTTCATTTAGGCCCTTCACTTATACATGAAACCCCTTCTTGTGTGATGCTCTACATCCATATACACGTAGCTACTGCATATACGGGCAAGCAGCATACTGGTATTTCTCCTTTTTATTCCCTAGTATCCCTAATACAGTAAAATTTGAGCGCGTTTGAGCAGTGTTTTCTCGCGTTAAAGGCCGTTTTGGACCATCGGAATAATACCAAACAACTGCTCTCATCCGGCAGTTACTTTCAGATACCTTTGCTCAACTTTTTTGGGGATCAAAAAAAACATAGCCAAAATCGACCAAAAAGCATGAGGTACCCCTCATACTTTTCTTCGACAATCAAACGATCGCGTTTTTCACCTTGAAAATGGAGACTTTTACTATGGTATATCTTGAATCAAATTGTTTCTATCGATCCAAAGCAACCTCTGAAATCATCTTTGTGGGACTTTGATATGTAAAATTTCGACATTTTGGCCAGAAACCTCTTTTCATATTTTCATGAATCATTTGATAAGTTTATTCAAATCATCTATTTTACTTGGTACCATTGGATGCACCTTAAAAAGTACTCCAGGAAAGCTTAAGGAAGCATTTTTTTTTTTTTTTTTTTTTTTTTTTTTGTAGGGGAGACGAGCTCCAGCTTAAGGAAGCATTGGGTGATCATCATAGTTTACTTAATCGAATCTGCAAAAATAGTTTAATCGAGTCCAGAATTATCAAAATTTGTCCAATCTGGAACAAACTATGGTTCTGGGTTTGAATTAATTTTAGCTTGTAGGGCCAGCTGGTAAACTCAATGCCCTTTTAATCATGAAGGCAATACAGTAATATTAGATGCTTTTAAAACGTATAGAAGGAAGGTGACAGACTATAGCGTTATTGTTAGCCACTCTTTCTTTTTTTTGCATTCAATATTTAATAACGCCATCTTATCAAAATACTTGTTGGATTATTTTCTTTCCTTTTTGAAGCTTTGAAAAGTGTTTATGGACTGCGTTATAATATTCGCGGCCCCGAGCAAAGGAACAACATTCAAGACCAAACTGTGTAGCTTTCGACATGGAGAGAAAGATCTGCAAGATATGACATTCTCCATCAAGAAGCATGTTGTATTAAACACAAGCACATCAATTGCTGGTAAACGACGAGAGATTTCAGATAACACATAAAATGGAAAATAGCCTCGTATATATTCAATGTTGGCAGAACATCACTTCTGCAATGAACAGGCAGGTACGCCAGAAGCAGGGAGTCAGGACGAAACCAACAAGATGACACTCGGAGACTTGAGTTATATGGGATAGCCACCACTGAGATCTGCTATTACGGTGTTTTGTAAATCTGAGTCAATGAAGAGACCTCATTAACAGTAATGCTTTTGAGAGCAATACGTTGAACAAATTAGGCATAGCGCTGTTGATTTGCCAGATGACAAGCAATTCTGTCTTGAAACGAGAAGTGCTTGATGGAGGTGCCTAGTTGGCTGGGTCTTTGATCGTCGACCAAAGCATTCAAATGAATGGTAGCTCTTCCTTGATGCATTTAAACTTTGACATCAATGGCATACATCTTCTTAATCAAGCTGGTAATTCAACGGCTCCCAATCCCACACCCACTTTAAGATTGACAAACATTAAAACGTGGTGTATTACATGCTTCCAATAGTCGTCTTCAAATTCTTCTGGTTCGTTGATGTAACTGACACGTTTGATATGCAAGCTCTTGAGACGGAAATTTATGCCGAATACGTGGATGTTGCTAGGCAGGCAGAAATTTTTGATTCTTCGCTTCATATTCTGTTTTGATTTGATCATTTGGGATCATTTTGGATCCAATTCGACTTGTTTTGCTAGACTCGACTATATAAAATGTGCTGATCATACTGTACTTCCTTAAGCTTCCTTGTAGTACTTTTCAAGGCGCATCCCATGGTACCAAGTAAAATGGATGTTTTGAATAAGCTTAGTGAGCAAAGCCAGAAAATATGAAATGAGGTTTTCGGCCACAATGTAGAAATTTTGCATGTGTAAGTTCCGCAAAAGTAGTTTCTGTGGTTGCTTTGGATCAATACAATCATTTTGAATTAATATATGCCATAGCAAAAGTCTTCAATTTTGCGGTCAAAATCACGATCGTTTGATTTTCAATGAAAATCATGAGGCATCCCTCATGGTTTTTGGTCGATTTTTGGCGATTCCAAAAAAAAAAAGTTGAGCAAACATGTCAGAAAGTAAGTACTAATCAAGAGGAATTCATTAGTGCAAATCTGGTGGTCTAAAGCGGCTTCTAACGCGAGAAAACACGACTGAAATGTATGGCTATTTCGCTATTATTTGCATATTCTCGCGTAGTAAGAGGCAATATCAGTACGTCCTGTGTCCGTATGAGAACTGTTTCCATTAGCGCAAATATGGAGCATCCTAAAAGAGTCAAATCCGTAGTTGCGGATGGCTCTCACTGGAAAGAGAAACGTTAACAAACTACAGTAGCAGGATATTTGACAAAGCTCATGGTACCTCAATTTGATGGGCAAAGAGGATCGACCGGCATCGGCTTTAAGTAAGTCCTCAATGAAACGAAGGTAGAAAGTCATTTGAATCATAAAGATTCTCAAAATGATAATAATCTTACTGGTAATCGATGTCTGTATACATCTTATTGTCTTTAATTACAGAGTGTAGCTAGTATGTGTGTATCAAATGGCCGTCGCAACAGAAATGTGATCCCGAGTTCATGAGTGCTCCCTGAGGTTTGCACTATGAACAATTTGAGCATGAAACATCTAGATACAGGCTGGATCTATGTCATGTGCATCGTTGTAGTCAGCACTTGCTAGTATGTGGCCACCGTCATTCCTTGCCAATCGTTGCTTACTTTTCCAAACAGCTTGCATACAGCTAGAGTTTAGCTATCGGAACAAGGCTCAAAGAGAGTCATCATCTGACATGATACAGTTACAAAGGATTATGTGTTGCGTATCAGTAAGCATTGTGTATGTAGACAATACATGGTACCACTAACAAAAAAAAAAAAAAAAAAAAAAAACAGGAAAGCACAGCACACTAGCAGCAATTGTATCGGTTTCAGAGAGACCCTCATTTTTTTTATTGCATGCTACATTACATTGCGTTACATGTACAGTATGAAACGTGGTGAATACACAATGTGATGCAATGATGGTATATTGTTGTATAAATCTCTCGGATGCGAAGGGAGCAGTTTTGTGCTGATTTCAAAGCATACGCTGTGCACATGTGTTTCAAAAGCCTGCCCATTCTATCGAGTAACATACCATTTGGTTGGTGTCCTGCTCCTCCTGCTCCTCCTGCTCACCCTCTGCTTCTTTCTGATCTGCTGCCGCCACAAGCACGAATGTCTTTTTCACATTCGTTGCCGCTCTTCCCATCTCAATGATTTCTAAAGGCAATACCTCTTGATCTTTTGTCTGCTTGACGGAAACAATGTACTCACTGTGCACACACATGGGATCATGGGGGTACAGCAGGAACTGGCCGCCGAATTTGACACCACTGGTAATGTAAAAGCCTTGCGACCAAAAGAAATCAAAGACATCTGCACTCAGTTTCCTCTGTTTGTGCACTATTGCTGTAACGTGCGGTCCCTTGTTTTGCATCATTGTTGTGCTGGTAGTAGTTTTGGGTGGTTTTTGAATAATATGGGCCCAACCTGTCATAAGGAATTAAGTTTCTGATTTATTTGTTTATCAATGACTACCAGTCTAGAGCCTGATTGGTAAACGGCTAACTTACCTCTGTTTACTAATAATTCAACTTCTTCAGGTAACAGCATAAGCGGGAGGCCGTAAAATGTGTTTTGCAGAGGAAGCTGTGGAAGAGTGCCATTCAATGCTCCCACAATACGGTATTTGGTCCTGAGCTGTTCGACATCTTGCCTAGCCTTAGCCGTGCTGATACTACCAACGCATCTACACATGCTTACCTTTTGCGTCAAACACAAAGTATGTGTCGCCCATCTTTTTGATGGCTATCTTATCTGTCATGGTCAGTTGAAAACTGAAAAAGAGGAAAAAATATCCTAAACAAGACGATGATGGTCTAATCAACTTCCGAATGATGAGCCAAACAACAACAATTCCACGTGAGGAGGTACATTTGCATCTTTGTTGCATACAGAAAACGCTCAAAGTTCTTTTTCACCATGTGGCGCATCGATTGAAACATTTTCTACGGATTCTTATATTTTCTCTGGCCCTCTAGAGTCAGGATGATGATGAAAAATGTTGCTAAAAAACTAAAACATGGCGGGATTTTAAGCATTTTGGCATAAATCATCATAACATCACTTCATGGTGGCAACGTACATCTCTCTCTCTCTCTTTTTTTTTTTTTCCTCCTCATTACTTACAAATTACGATGCCAGCAAGAATTCCTGATATGAAGCTCGTTAGACAGCTTATTCCACCTTTATCTCATGAGATGCACAAGGGGCAAGCAGGTAAATATAAGAGTATATATGGATATAAGGACCACGAATTAAATGAAACACGAAATTCAGGAAGAGTGGGTGTAGTTGGTGGCTCAGAAGAGTAAGAAGCGTTATTTATTTATTTTAGAACCTGCATATCTATTATTCCAAACATTCTCATCCGAATATAGGTATACAGGTGCACCATACTACAGTGGAATCACTTCGTTGAAAGTAGCAAGTATCAGTGCTCAGATTTTTGCATGAATAAACATGTGTATTAACAGACTCTATAGGGCGTGGATTTATGCCACATCTTTTGCTCTCCTGGAGCCAGCACAGCTATCAAGGTAAACTATGGCATAGAAACCCATCAAATGAAGGATGTATACCAACTATTTTACATAGAGTTATTCACCAGGTATACAAACAAACAAGAGTATTAGAAAAAGGAGAATATATACAAATATATACAAATAGATTTGATTGTACATCCATATCTCAGAACACAAGACGCTGCTCAATCCACTTCTATCAAAGAAATTGTGGATAATGTTTCAAGTATCTTCTCAAGATTGCATGTGCTAGTTGTTGGACCTGGTCTATCTAGAGACAAGATCATGCAAGATACAGCCAAAGAGCTTATCAAGAAAGCTCGTGAAAACGACATGGCCATAGTCATTGATGCAGATGGTTTGTACCTTGTTCAACAACATCCTGAAACTGTGCAAGGCTACAAAAAAGCGGTATTAACCCCTAATGTCGTGGAATTTAAGCGCTTATGCGAGAAGATGGTAAGATCGCCGTAACTGATTTGAAAATGTGGATTTGCCTCATCTCCTTTTTTCTGTGTGTAGAATGTCCAAGCAGACAAGGAGCAATCCGATCAAGCAGCTAAAGACCTCAGTCAGTCTCTTGGCGGTGTCACGGTTGTTCAGAAGGGTTCTGTTGATATTATCACTAATGGAGACCAAGGTAATATATTATAAATGCTGTCTTTGTTTGTTTGGAGCTAATAAATATCAACAATTATAGTTTTGCAATGTGATGCTGAGGGCGGTTTAAAACGTATGGGTGGTCAGGGGGATGTCCTCTCGGGCGCTATTGCGGCATTTTTAGCTTGGGGAAAAGCTTACCAAGATGGTGTTTGGAGGTAATCAAAAACTGCTTGGGCATTTTCATTTAAACTAAAGCAATATCCGTCTAGTCATTCGAATGAAATCCCTGCCAAGGATATTGCCATGTACGCTACATGGGGAGCTTGTCAGATTACTAGAACAAGTTCAAATTTAGCCTTTAAAAAGTATGGCAGATCCGTTTTAACCACACACATGTTGGAGGAAATCGGTGCAAGTTATGATCAATTTATGAAACACTAACCATGACAAATAAATAAAATATTTGACTATAAATACAAGGCATTCAGTCTTGATGTTTTCCACTTTTTTTCTTCAACTACACTTCTCTCTCTCTCTCTCTCTCTCTCTTCAAACACACACACATATATACACACAAAATGAAAGTATCCGCTCTTAGACAAGAAACAACTATTGAAGAAGTCAAAGGTATTCCTGATTCCTTTTTGGAGATTGAAGTGAGAGCACCCCAAACCCATGGTAAGTTGATGCCAGACACACATCAGCATCAGATCACTAAATCAAAATACCAATCAGGTACCGGATTTGGCATGTACACGGATTACGAAATTGTTTGCAGAACAAATATGCCCATGTTCAACTTTAAACAATCCACAGTGAGAAGAAGATACAGCAAATTTGAATCACTGAAATTCAAGCTGGAGGAGAATGACTATGAGATCAAGGTCCCTAACCTACCTGGCAAGGTTTTTACAAGCAGATTTTCTGACAAGGTGATTGAGGAGAGAAGACAAAAGTTGGAGCGATTTTTACAGATCCTCTGCAGCAACATCACTTTAATACAAGAATATGAAGAGTCAAAAGCAAATCTAATCGTCAAATTCATTCAAGGCAAATACTAGTTGTCTCTTATCCTGTCAATATCATCTTTTGTCGCCTGAATTCTGTCCAGCAATCCCTCATATGCCACTGCTAGCGTTCTGAATTCGGGTCCAATCTCTCTGTATTCTTCTATTTTCCGTGTGGTGTCCTCTAACATTGTCTCTGCATCATTATATCTTTTATCCAAAAGGTTTCTATTATTATTATTATTACCATTTCTTATTAGTCATACATTTTTTATCTTATACAAGTGAAATAAAGAATTTGTTGTAAATCAAAATACCTTAGTGTTTCTAACGCTATAACGAAATCCGGGTCATCGTAAGTGCCGATAAGGATGGTTAATTGAAGGATTCTACATGGGGTCGATATAAATATGCATGCGTTGAGCAGAGATAGCAATGCCTCTTACTTGGTTTTTAGCAGCATGGTGTCCACAAGAGCGGCATAGTGATCATCCAATGCAATATTCTTGTCCCTCTGTGCCTTATATTTAAACTGCTCTATCACTGTCCATGTCACATCAAGCATCTCCAGTACCGTCTTTACATAGCCGGCCACTCTTTTACCAAGATTTGCTTGCTTGTCCCGTAGTTCGGATTTCATTTCGTTCATATGAATCATGGTCTGATGAATCGTGGTTAGACTGAGTGATGATGCGGTGATATATTCGGAAACTTGGTTATATTTTAATTTGATGGCTTCATCCAAGTTACGTGATAATGATCCTTGCTGTAGGATGGATCATCATTAATATGAATTATCTCGGAACTGTTTGAATATCAACTTGCCTGATTCTATGGAAGATGCTCAATACTCGCTTCTCTGATTTCCAAGCGTGTACACTCACCTCAACTTTCTGTATTTCTTTCAATAAGAGTTCATTTCGAAAACGAATGATATTGTTCTTCTTGGCCTACGTGTGTATCTATGCTGGTTAGTCAGAAGGCCGTAAAGTCAAGCCTTTATTTTCTATTACTTGGCTCAGTTGCTGCTCGATTTCCGATGCTTGCTCTTGGCTGCTAGACATTTTTTTTTTCTGTGATCAGGGAAGACAAAACGCGGAACATTCAGTCATTCCTCATCCTTATATGTCTGGTGCTTAAAATGAGACTCCTGTCAATCACTCCTCAGTTACCGAAATGTCAAACTTTCATTACCGTGTGCCAAGAGATCCAGGATCATTTGTTCTTTTGGAAATAGGAGAAGTTACTAGTATTTAATTTCGACATTTCAATTCCTTGCCGACCTATGGTATAAGCAGGCTACTGTACTTGTTGGTGCGGAATGCAGCAGATGCTCAGGGACCACTATGACACACAGCAATTGCCTGACTATAAGCGTGTGCGTCCGAAAAGAAGCATTTTGATACCACCTATGCACCGATGCTCTTGAATAAGATATGATGCTCTCATACTGAATCCGATCAGACCACATATATCCTCAACTTTTGACAACGGCGCCATGGATTATATGAAAATGACGAAATACAAAATACGGAGAGGAGAAATGCCATTCGAGTGTTGTATTTGTTTGGCTGCATCAATAAAGATACGCTTAGCAGAAGAGTATAAACGATGACAATATTCCGGCGACTAAATGATGCTCGGAAAAGTGCCATCAGAAGCAGTTGAAAAGTGAACATTGCTACCAACAAATAACCATAGCAAATGCATATAAAGAACCCGCTTATATTTTTGCAATGTGAGTTCAATCTGTGCCTCTATTGCGATTGCCATTCACTATGGACGATGTATTTATGGAAGAACCATGGGGCGAGTTTGGAGCAGAGGAAACAATAGAGATGGAAGAAGGGCCCAACGCACCATATTGGGGGGAGGAATACGAGGAAGGGCCAGTGATGGAAGGACCCAACGCACCATATTGGGAGGAGGAATACGAGGAAGAGCCAGTGATGGATCATCAACACTACCAACACGAAGATGACGAGTGGATCGAAATTGTTGAAACGGACGAAGGATTCGACACAGAGCCTCGCAAAGTGTCGCCTTCACCAGAACCACCATATGATGACTTGGAAGAGCCGTTTTGGGATTACAAAGAGGAAGATCAAAAAAGAGTGGATGATGCCCAAAAGGTTGTGGATGAACATTTAAATGGGCCTGAAGAGTATGAAGAGGATGAAGAGCCATGGCCTCAACAATCTGATGTACAAGCAGCAAAGAAGAAGAAGAAGGGAAAAGAATATGCTGATAAACATAGAAAGAAGAAACTCAAAGCACCCATGCCTCATACTTCAGTACATTCTCCTACCGCAACCGCTGCTACCCCAGTGCCTGTGTCCTCTGCTCCAGTTGCAACGGTTACTGTTACTTCGTCTCCACCACCACATCCACCTCCTCCACGGCAACAACCTCCTCCAACGCAGCCTCCTCAACAACCAGCACCAGCACCAGCACCAGCGCCAGGCCAAGCAGCTCGATCGACTGCTACAGGTTCAGCCTCCATGCCCACAGTTGGTGTTGAAAAACCCCCTCTTGCTGGCCAACCTGGAATTCCCGTACCTCCACCTGATATGGCAGCCAACATGCCTGCTCTGGGTTATTCACAAGATTTAGGCGGTTTGGGTCAAATTGGCGTCTTTTCCAGCGATGGCGTTGGATTCTCGCACCTAAACCATGGCATGGACTCATTTACTATTCTACTGACATTTTTATTTGTAGTGTTTTATACTCGTATTTCATAGTTCATTAAATAGAATTGCATAAAAAAAAAAAATAAAGATCATCATCTCGGTTCTACTGTTTTGGTTGTATACACCTTGCGCATTTTTTTTTGTACATTTCTTTTTATTGTTTCAAAACGATTGCAACTACATGCTTACAAGCATCTAGTTCTTACAATCTATCAATGACAACTTGTAATTCTTCCTCTGAATAGACTCTAAAGTTTTGCTCTGGTGTAACAGCTGCGATTTGGACATTGGTTTTGTTCAACTTTTCCTCCATGACAGACTTCAAGACAGTCAAGGCGAGAGTCTCTGCTTCCTTTAAAGTCATTGATTTGTGATATTCTTTTTGTAATTCAGTTTGGGCACCTTCAGAACCTGATCCAATAGCCTTTGCTTGATACTTCATAAATGTACCTGAAGGATCAGCATGGAAACTGTACGGAAAATGAATACAAAAAATAGATCAAGTAGGCACTTTACTATACAACTTACAGTTGAGGTCCATTTTCATCAACACCTGCAATGAGTAATGCAACACCAAATGGACGACTCTGAGTAGACATGTTAATACACATTGATTTTCATTCGCCCATCACACACACACACACACACACTCTCTCTCTCTCTCTCTCTCTCTCTCTTCTTCTCTTGTTTGTATCTATGCACCCTGATTCACTCACCATGATAGATTCTTCACCTTCGGCACCCTCACCAAATCTCAATGCCAAATCGCATACACTTTGAGTAGCACTTTCAACTTTGAGTTTCTCGTCGTATGTAAATCTGTGGTTCTATTATGCATTTAGATTAGTTTTCTTGACCATTCATCTCATTCAATCCGCACTTACTTGAGCAGCAACTCGTGCATGTTCAATCATGGTTCTGGCATCGGCAGTCATACCACTGACTGCACAGCCTAAATGTTCATCAATTTCCATAATCTTTTCAATAGAGCTAGGTTCCAATAAAGTGGAAGACACACGCTTCTCAACAGCCAAGACAACACCTTCAGATGTTTGAACACCAATAGCAGTTGTGCCAAGCTAGATGTATATATATATATATATATTTTAGCTGACATTTATCAAGATACATTGGAATGACAGTAGACTTTACCTTGATGGCTTCAATGGCGTATTCAACTTGGAAAAGACGACCTTCGGGAGAAAAGGTATTTACACCACGGTCATACTCGGAACGTGTTAAAAACATGGCTTATAATCGAAATGTGTGAGATAGAATGGATAAAGAGAAAAAGAAATGAAAATGAAAACGTAACTGCAATCCATTCAAGTGATATTGTCTAATTCACTTTGGAAGAGAAGGCGACGCGTACCTGCACTGCTCGACAATGACGGCATCCAAGTAGTCACGAACATTTGTTATAGTAACTATCAATCAACATGAATGCGAAACCTCCAATGTTGGTTTTTTTTTTTCTTGCAGGAATCGCAAATCACACTAGTAAAGCCTCATGTCATTTGTGCTTGGCACTCATTTCTCTTTATTCTGTACAAATCTATGGATGAAAACAAGGCTCTACTTCTTGTAAACTGTATGACATCTATCGACGAATGCATGCAGCATCATCTTTGATACCTGATCAAAGAAAACAGTGGAGGCTTGAGCATGTAATGGTGAGGCAAAGTCAAACGAAATGTCGAAATCCACCCAGCATGTAGGATGATCAGCAGCAGAAGGCATGCTCAGCTTGGCTCTAGGTACATTGGGCGTGAATTTCCATGTGGTTGTCATGTCGTTGAACAATTTGGCATCTGCAGCAACAGCCTACTCATCAAAGAAGATACAAATCAATCTTGACTGCAGTGGCAATGGATCCGTTTCAGTCGATTACCTGCACGAGTGATGGCTTTTGACATGTTACTTTTGACATGTACTTTTCTTGAAACAACTTGAACCCTACACCGAGCTCAGCTTCCATGACATTGGTGCCATTGCTCATGGGTGTGTTGGTATAGACTCGAGAATGGTTACAGAAAGGTATGAATTGGTAGTAATCATCGACATTGGATACGACGGCGTACAATTGGTTTTGAGAAAAGCTGTATTGGTTTGTTTTGATCAACACACTTTGCAGAAATCGATGCAGAAAGACAAAGACTCACCTGAGCAACTTTCGTTCAGAATACTGCTTTTTGGAGCTTAGTATATTTGGTATAGTGAAGAAATGACGACGTTGTGGTCTAAGGATCGTTGCCATGTTAAGTTACTGAAATTGAGAAAATATTCAGGGAAGGTGGCGAAACGGATGCCAACCCATAACATCGCAGCATATCTACTCAGCCAAACGACACACGACGCACACACACACGAGTCACCTCCTGGGGAAGCATCAAGTAGAACATGGCTGGATTGGAGAGTGTAACATGCTCAGGTCCAAATATAGAATGCAAGCAGTTTGTATTTAATCAGGTTCCTTTGAGTTTTTTTTTTTTTTTTTTTTGCTTTTCTTTTTCTCTCCTTCTTCTCTATCACTTTAGCCATTGGATTGAAGGATGACTGATTTATTCAAAAGTAAAGAAAATGAATTCTACATTGAGCTCTCCCAAGAGAGATACTACTTTCCTGGAGAGGACATATCGGGTAAATGGCATTGCGAAATGGCAATATAAACAAAGCGCTAACATAGAGATACACAGGCGATGTCATCCTCGATTTGAAAAAGGCTACCAAAACAAACAACATTCGAGTGACATTAGAGGGCATGGTTGAGATTGGAGGCAGAAGCATGCTCCTATTCACCAAGTCTGCTCTTATAGCCGAATCGCCAGAAGGAGATCAGAAATCGCATTATCTCGAGCCACATACACATCGATTCCCATTTCGAATGACAATTCCTAGCTCAAAGGACTGCAAAGTGCCCAGCACATTGGAAGTAAGTTTTAGGACATCATTCAGATGTATCCAGCATGACATGGCACACCTCAGGATCTAACACGTGAGGAATCTACTGTTAGATTACTAAACTGTTAAAAGTGAGTTATCGCCTGGTAGCCATTTACAACAAAGCATACACATTGGAGAAGTTTTGTCCAACAGCGAGTGTATCTATCAACATTTTGGAGGACATCAATGTGGATAAAGCAGAATTTGCAGGAGAACAACGAATTGAGAAGGAATTGCTTTTAAGTGGAGAAACGACTAGAAAAGTACGAGTTTCTACTGTGGTCGCTAAACGTGCTGCTGTGAAAGGTGAAAAATGACGCTATCGTGAGCATGGCAACAGAGACTGACAGACAGTGTAGGTGATGTGATTCCCATTTCTGTGACAATAGAGCACATTGGTGTCATGGTGAGGGACAAGGCACTGTCAATTCAATTATTAAGATCAGTCTATTACGGCAGAAACAAGTAAGTCGAGCTACAACATGTGGTGTATAAATAGTAACACTTGGTGCGACGCTTGTTAGATCTGAATTATTTGGTCCAAAAGTCATTCGTCAAATCACTTCGAATATTGAGATACCAGGCCCTATCAGTTTCACAAAGACATTTGATATGCAGTTGCCAATTCCATCCAGCATCTGCCCTACTGTTGATAAATCAGGTTCGACATTTAAGATTGAGTACAGTTTGCGAGTGACCATCAACCTAAATGAGGAAAACCCACACCGTCCCGAAACAGCGGGCGATATTGTCATCTTCAACGTGCCGTTTGTCATTGGAACATATCCTAAGCTTGCGTTCAACATTGACGACGATGATGATGAAGAGGAACAGAGAGTGGAGGAGGAGGCGGAGGAGGGCGCATCACAGCAAGATGACAGCAGCAACTCTTTGGAGTATGAGCAAGTAGCCGAGAAAATGAAGGATCTGGATTTGGGCTCGGATGTCAATTTACCTGCACTGTTGCAGCAATCGCCATCCATCAAGCATACCAATTCCATCACTCGCATTGATCCCACTATTGCATCTCCTCAGCCGTCTTTTGAGTCAATCCAGAAACCTGTCCCTGAACCTGCTGTGAACAAGCCAAATGAGATCTCACATCAAGCTCAAGCTATTCCACCGCCATTAGATAGAATGCCAAGTATGAGCACCGCCACCACTACACACCTTCCTACGCCTAAATTAGAAAACGCCTCAAAATCAGGAGAGCAAGTTGAGCCATCCTCACCAAAACCACTTTATTTACATGACCAGCCCACCAACAAATCGCCTCCACTCTACTGCAAACAAAATTTGGCCACCAGTGGTAACACACCTCCTCCTGAACACTCCACATTGGTACCATCATCTCCTTCCTACAAAGCTAAACTCAAGATTGCTCCATCAGAAATCTACAACGACTACCAGCCAATGGTATCTCCTACAGCGGGTAACCCTACTTCACCATTGGTATCGAGACATGATAGTGTTGCTTCGTTGCATCCCTCCCCCAGTACAACAACGAGCAGTACTGTGGGTATTGGAAGACAGGAATCTGTTCGTTGGATTGTCAGAAATCAAGATGCCCCCACACCCGCTGTTGTATCGCCTCAGGTTCCACCTCGACCAACGCCTTCGGTAAGCAATCAAGACAGTGCATTCATGATGCCTACGCCTTGCTTCAGCGAGTCAACATCGACACAGACAACGCATCATTCGCCATCTTATCATCATAATCATAATAACACTTATGGTGCCTCTCCTCTACCTCCATCCTTGTTACAGCAATTCTACAATCATGGTAACAATGCAATGCCAATGCCGCAACAACCACAGCCACAACACCATCAATTTCCTCCCTATACGAATAATCACTATCATTACCCAGATGCCAATTCATATAATCATCACACTTCTCCCCCACCGCCACCATCATACCCACCATCATATCCTGGCGCCACCGGATTTCCTGAACCGCAACCACAACCATTTTCAGGTGGTTTTATGGGTATGCCGTCTCATCAAAATTATCAACCTCAACCTCAATATCCGTTCTATAACAATTAGCCCGTACCAATAAACATGTATTTCATAGAGTGTTTTTGCTGCATTAAGAACAAGCCGACCAACCTCGCTACACTCGATGATGGCGTTGCCCTGGGGGTTCTCGCCAAAGACATTTTAAATAATCGATTAATAGTAATAGTAAAAAAAAAAAAAAAAAAATAGGCTATATCAGAGTCAGGAGGGGGAAGGGGGTTATCCATTCGCTAATGTTGCTCTTGAGATGGTGGCATAAAGCTGGCCATGTGTAACTACAGAACTTGCGTAAGATCTATAGCGGCTTTTTCGAGATATTGTCATTGAAAAAGGCACGTTTATGAGGAAGGACCCCCAAGAAAAAAAAAAGGTATTTGGGCTAAGCTGTTATTCTTTCAACTCCATGATCTCCATTTGATCAGCACTACAAGCATCATTGTTATCATCAGAGAAAGGCATTTGGGTCATCCAGCAGCAGCGCCGCTGTCAAAATTGATTCAAACTCAGTTTATGTTTTCTGCTCAATATTGGCCCATTTCGTCCTTTGGCGACATCTTTAATCTATTTTAGTACATTCGACTATATAAATTGTGGTAATCATCCGATGCTTCCTAATACACTCTTGGAGTACTTTCCAAGGCACTTCCAATGATGCCAAATAAAATACATGTTTTGACTGAACTTAATGATCAATTCCAGAAAATATGAACTAAGCATGTTGGCCAAAATGTCAAAATTCTGCATATGAAAACCTCATAAAAGTGGTTTCAAAAGTTGCTTTGGATTGAGAGAAACATTTTGATTTGATATATACCATAGTAAAAGTCTTCATTTTCGACATGAAAAACGCGATCGCTTGATTTTCGATGAAAACCATGAGGTACCCCTCATCCTTTTTGGTCGATTTTTGGCCACAATTTTTTTTTTTTTTTTTTTTTTTTTTGACACAAAAAGTTGAGCAAAGGTGTCAGGAAATTACTACTACTCAAGTACAAATGTTTGGTGTCATTCCAGCGGCCCAGAAAAGTGTACATGTTAAGATATGAAGGCTTGAAAGCTGTCCAATTTGGTTAGGTATTGCTTTATGGAGCTTATTTACACGGCATAAATCACATCTATGGTAGCTGCAATTTACTGGAAAGGTAGATCTGTAGCCTGTGCACTTTCTATTTTGAATAGAAAGCATATTGATTTTGGTAAAGCTAATTCATGCAAATTTTGAGGCGTTATGTTGTTGGTAAGCTTTTTAATAATGGAAATGAAAAGCTGGATTTGCTGCCTGAATACTATGGTTTTGCACTTTCGCTTCGCTACAGTAAAACCCTCATTAAGATTAACATTACCAAATGTTAGGTTAGATGCTTACTTGCTATGGTTTTTCACCTTCACTTCGCTACCGTAAAACCGCCTCATAGGCCGATATCACCAAATGTTAAATCAGATGCGTTATGTTCTTGGTGGGTGGGCTTAGCGCCTCCTCCAACCCCCTCCCCAATGCCGGCTTTGCTGTTGGTTTATTCACCTTGTACGGTATTCAATTCTTTAAACTTTTGAAAGGATATAATGTTATTTCGTCGTTCGTTTGAAAAGGGGGGGGGGGACGACAACTTTGCACTTTGTACATTAATATTCGTAGTTGTAGCTCTTTGATATATGAAATATCCTCAACATGGCACTACTGACTAACCTCCATGGTGCCTTGATTTATCCATGAATGCATGCCAATCTCTTTTAGATGTCTCGTAAAATACTTTGAATGATTGTTGTATACGGGCCAAGATATTTGGATCATAGCTAGAGGTGGTTATAATTGCGAACAATGAGATTTCTATTGACTCGTAAGATACAAGACGCACATGTATGGCAGTGTTTTATTATCAAAGCCAACACAATGGACTATAATACCACATTTGAGTACGTCGTAACTCGAATTGCTTTTTAATGCCCCCCGTTCATTTCATGTCTATTCTTCCATTCCTTTTTTTTTCCTGGACAAGATCAATATACTACGACATGGAAACAGCATCATCATCAATACCTCACATATCACAACATGATCAATTAGTATCCCTAATCAGCAACATTACATGTGCAAAGAGTAGTTCACTCTCATTTATAAAAGGCTTTATTCTCGGGCAACTCAGTGTCATTGTGGTGGTCGTCTTGGTATTGCGGTATTTGTTTACAGAGGACGTCAAGCGCGTGAACAAGGTAATTACAAATGGACACTGCATACATATCAGCCAACACTTAATTGTAGCGCTACATTCCATCGAGATTATCAACAACACCACCCTCACGAGCAGCCATTCCGTTACCGAATGACCACATTACATCGAAAACGTATTACGATATGATGCACCATCCACCAGAAAGCACAGATTGGCTCAATGTCCTGTTGGCACAAGCCATCTTACAGTACAGAGAGGATGCCAAGATCAATGGTCGTTTGATTTTAGCTGTGGATGATATCTTGAATGGTGGAGTCAAGCCAAATTTCTTGGGCCCTATTCATGTCACAGAGCTCAATTTGGGCGAAGAGTTTCCGATATTCAGTAATGCCAGAATTAGACGATCGGACGACGTGGGGTCTATGGTATGTAGTTTAGTATTTGTAGAATGAATAGTATGCTTACCATGTTGGGTTCTGGCAGAGAGCTGAAATAGATTTCGAGTACAATGATCAGGTAACATTGGGTATCGAGACACAGCTTATTCTCAACTGGCCCAAGCAAGCATTTGCAGCACTTCCCATCTCGCTGGTGCTGTCAGTGGTGCGATTTTCTGGCACGGTAAAATATATCCTCTTTGCACTGAAATTTGCATGCCATTCTCACAACTTTCGCTCTGTAGTTGACGATCGAGCTCATCAGTCCTCCAGCAACAACAACTCAACCCGAGATACCCCTTGAACGATACATTGCCATCTCATCCCACTCAGACTTTGTACTTGATCTCAAGGTGCAATCGCTGATAGGATCTCGCACAAAGCTTGAAGATATCCCAAAATTAAGAGATTTAATCCAGACGAAACTTAGAAATGTATATATTGATAAACTCGTGTATCCAACATTTGTAAAGATCAAGGTCCCCAACATGTGGAAGGATAAAATGGATACAGACAACGCAGCGACGTCGATTGACAATAGCAACATTACTGCTACCAATGCTACTTCCAAATCGGCAGGTGCTACTGAATTAGAGCCTACTGCTGCCGAGAAACTAGAGGAATTTGTAGAGGACATCAAAGAAGCTTAATCGACAGAGAGGGTGTATATAGACAAAATTGACCCGTTTAAATAAAGAATTTTCATCCTGAACTTTGATTACTTGTTTCTTACTTTTGCTTGTTCTTTTATTTATATAAATCATGTATAGACCACCACCCGGAAGCTATCCACCTGCTGCAGTAAGTAATACCAACGGAACATGGCATGGAGATGTTGCGTCTAACAGTGCAATAGTATGGCGGCTCACCCATACCACCACCACCACAAGCCATGGCGCCTAATGGACAATGGCAATCACCAGGCGGTATGCCACCTATGCCTCCTGCTGTAAGCTATACAACAACATTCATGTCAGATACAAAGCATCTCACTGTTTCGAATAGGCAATTTGGAAAGAACACACGACGCCTGAAGGAAGAAAATACTGGTACAATAACGCTACGAGACAAAGTACCTGGGAGAAGCCTGATGATCTTCTCACACCCGAAGAAAAAGTATTCAAGGGCTCCAACTGGAAACAATACACAACGCCTGAAGGCAAAAAGTATTACAGCAATTCTGTCACCAAGCAAACGGTATGGGAAGTGCCTGAAGAATTGAGAGGTAAGTAAGGTGATGATATCTTGATGTCTTGGTACCCAACGTGATGTATTGCAGAGCAACTCGAACAAGCAAGAAGAGCAGCATCCATGACGAATCAAATGTAGGTGTGGTTTCTATCAAAAAGTGAATAAAGAACTTACAATCTACTGGATAGGCCTCACCCTCCACCTTCACATACAATGCAAGCAGCTTTATCAACACCCTTATCCGCCCAGTTCATTCAAGCTGCACCAGAATATGCCACCAAAGAAGAAGCCGAAAAGGCATTTTTTGGATTACTAAAAGAGACCGGCGTCAAATCAGACTGGACATGGGATCAAGCTATGCGAGCCATCATCACGAAACCATTATACCGCGCATTGAAAACCATTGGTGAACGTAAAGCAGCATTCCATCAATGGGCGGATGCCGAAGCGAAGAGAGAGCGCGAAGAAAGAGAGCAAAAGGAGGCACGTCAAAAGAACAATTTTTTCAACATGCTGAAACAGAAAGATTTAAAGCCTTACACTCGATTCAGAACTGTGGTCAAGCTGTGTGGCCATCTATCCGCCTTCAATGCAGTGCCTGAAAGACAACGTGAGATTTACTTTGAAGAGTATATTCAAAACATGCAGCGCGAGGAAAAGGATAGAATGCGAGATTTGCGAAAAGAGAGCATGGACAAGTTTAGCCGACTGTTGCGATCAATTCCTGAAATCACCTACAAGACATCGTGGAAGGAAGCACAAGATTTGTACAAGCAATACCAACACAACACAGAGACATTTGAGGGCATGGATATGCTGGATTTCTTGTCTGTGTTTGAAGAGTACAATCGCCAGTTATGGGAGGAGCCTTTGCATGAGTTGAATAGCAAGATTCATGCCAGAAGAAGACGGGACAGAAAGGCAAGAGAAGGGTTCAGAGAACTGATGCATGAATTGGTGGCTCAACGTAAAATCAATGTGCGCACCTTATGGAAAGAGATATTCCCTGTCATCAAAGACGATCCTCGCTATCTAGCTGCTGTGGGATCTCCCGACTCTACGCCTCTGGACATGTTCTGGGATGTGATTGATGATTTGGACGAACAGCTGTACCACCAGAAAAAGACAGTATACAATGCCCTCAAAAAGGCTGATTTGGAAGTTGAACTCGACACGCCCTTTGAGGCGTATTCACAGGCTGTGCAAGCGGATGCGCGTGCGAGGGAAGAAGTCAATCAAGACAATCTGCGATTTATTTACGAGCACTTGCTGATCAAGGCAGAACAGAGAATCAAGGATGAAAAGCGTCGTCAAGAAAAGAAGCTGCGAAAAAAGCTGGACATCTTTAGACATGCCCTCAAACACGCGTTACAGCCACCTATTCAGTTGGAGGATACTTGGGAAATGGTCAAGCCTCGCGTAGAACATATGCCAGAATACCAAGATGTAGAGGAAGAAGCATTGAAACAAGAAGTCTTTGATAAATACTTGAAACGCCTTGCCGTAAGTTGTGTCTGTGTGTGTGTGTTTGTATTGAATGGGGTTGCTGATGCTCGTTGTTTGCTAGGAAAAAATGGAAAACGGTGATGAAGAGGAAGAAGAAGGCATGATCAGAGAAGACGAAGAAGGTATGATTAGAGACGATGAGGACATGAGGGGTGGTAGTAGTAGTCGACGACACCGTAGAAAAGATCATGACAGCGAGAGCGAAGAATACAGAAACAGAAAGAGAAGAAAGGTAGGTGCTTGTGTTTTTGCATTGCAAATGAGATGACTGATGCCCTGTCTTTTTTTTTCTGCAGCGACATTCATCTAAAGGCTTTTCGAGTGCTGAAGAAGGTGAGGCTCTTGATGACTATCAAAACGATCCTCGAAGAATGAAGTAAATTAGAGCCTTTAGATTAGTAGCAATAAAAGTGTAGTTTGTCTATAGTTTATTTTCATGCCATTGTACATAGCATCGGGTTTTGTTGATTGGATATTCAAGTATGAAGCTTGGCTGGCCACACACGGGGGGTGCATAAGCTAAACATTTTAAAAACGTCTCCAAATTTTGTGCCAGTGCAGCTTCCTCTTTCACCTCGAACATTTTACGGCCTCAACTCTCTCCCTATGGACATTGTATAAATCAACATGATTCCCTATTCAACTCAACAGCAAAGCCTGGACCGTGATATGCCTTCGTCCTTAAACGGAACTATCAACAGCGATAACAACAAAGCAGGGCCAAATGCCACCAGCTTGACTTATGATACCCCGAGTCCACAACAACAACACACCAATACAAGCTTCACTACCACATCAATTTCGAGTTCTGACTATGCCCTCAAAGTGATATTCAGTCAATTTGAACACATGGCAGACGCTAAAATGTCCATCATCTTGAATATGGGTGTCGTAAAGTGTATACTCTCAAAGCCAAGACGCTGCAGGTTGATGATAGTTAACGATTCATAATTGTTGTAGGATGCAGATGTAGATTTAAAGAGGATATTGGGCCAAGGCAGTGATCCAAACTTTGACAAACTGATTTATTCGCTCTCTTCGTTAGCAGCGACACAACAAAGTGGAGTGATTGACGCTGTCATGCGTTGGAGAAAGGTCAAGGTCGAACCTTTGGATCCCTTATTGATCAAACGAGTCAGTGATTCGGCTCCACTGTCCCGAAGTCGTGAGATCCAATCTGTGCTAAAGGAAAGACAATCAGTAAGTGCTGGCGAGAGGGAGACTGTATGAGTTGTTTGACTGAATGGCATACTAGCTTGCGTCTGTCTTTATTCTCTGCAGAGCCTTGATTGAAATCATCAAACGACTGACACCAGGATCATTGCCAGACGATCTCGGTGAGAATTTGGAGGAAATTGTGTTTAATCAGCTCAAAAAGGCCGATCCGTAAGTGTGTGCATATCTCAACAAAACGAGTGGGCCATCTCAATCCATGATTTGTATAGAGATGCCATCAAACGATCCAAAAACCGGACAGCCAGCATGGATCTATTTGCTGAATTGATTGGCGAGCTTTCCAATATTCGATTTGCCTCTGTCAGTGATCGATTTATAGCTGAATTAGAGAAATACAATAACCAAACCATCATGAAGGAGCGACAGGGACATATGGAGATGCTGATCAAGGGCATGCGCTATCTGAAGATCAAGATTTACCCAGTGGATGCACTGGAGGAAACAGCTGATTTCCTGTCCAGTTGTGCCAGCTTTTTCAAAAACGCACATGGCGCCAAAGTCAAGCACGCCTATGCCAAGCTGTTTATTCAATTATTGCTGCCCATTGCTCAAGTCGCTGTAGCCGAAGTCAATTTTCCATCATGGGCCAAAGCCGTGGATCTGATGTACCCACGTGCCATCAAGATGACGCTTAAACCAAGACACATTTTAGCCGGCTATCCGCTAGTAACAACACTGCTATGTGTGAGTCGAAAAGAGTTCTTTGCAGCCAATTGGTCTCATGTGCTGGAGAGTTGCTATCAAAAGTTCAACAAGGACAAATATACCCGTCTAGTGACACTCGGCTGTGTGTCTCGACTGACATGGACCTACCTATTTCGATGCACTGAAAGCACGGCCATCACCTTTAAAAAGATGGATCTTATTATCAAGACGCTGTTTCCGCCCTTTCGACGTGCAGTGAATCCAGCAGATGCACCATTGGAGCATCTCATTTTGATTGTCTATTTTTCGCTGATGCGCGATGTGGATTCAGGCACCAAAAAGATACTGTTTTACCTACTCAACACAGAAGCTTCTTCAGCAAGCAATTCTCACAATTGGGATCTGATCAATCCAGAGCGCATGATTGTAGCACTGACCGCCTTTCGCCTGATGCTGGCTGATCTGGAGAACAGTGTGCAGCAGCCACCGTTCCCTGTCGACGTGGACATGGCCGGATGCGATATTCCCATTATGTGCACCGCAGATGTGTTTTCAGGGCCTATTCGTGCTGTCAAACCTGAAGTGACGGAAAAGGTAGAAGAGATCATCTCCAAGACACTGTCCAGCTTGGATCAGACGTTTGGTCGATTGCTGGTGTTGGATGAAAAGAACATCATAATGCGTGCTGCCCAAATGGCAAGCAGTGTCAACAACAGCACCATCACCACCAATTACTCGGTGCCCATCTTTGCCAACACAGTAGGCTCCTCAGAAGGACCTCAAATCCACCACCAATATGCCAGTTTCAGTGTGTCTTACACCAAGGACAAACAAGCCTACTTTGATGTCATCAAGACCATCATTGACGGCATGCCTCGTATCATGCCAGCAGGGATCCAACTGCGTACCTTGGTAGACATTCTGTCCAGATACACGGTTCACACAGATCCTGAAATCATCAAATCAGCCTCCAAGGCACTACTCCGAATCGCTGCACAGATCGATAGTCAGACGGTAGTAGTGGGGTTCTCGCACTTTATATGCAAAATTGAAGACAAGTTTTCAGATGTGATACAGTCGCTAGCAAGTGGGCCACTGACCATGACATCGTCGGGTGGAAGTAGCTCCAGCCAAATGAATGGTGGTGTCATTAAGCTGTACGTGGACTTGCTGTCCATCTGGATCGACCAAGTGGACGAGACATGTCTGGATGACCAGAAGACCAGGTTGGCTGATTTAGTCAGAGAGACTGAGGCAAACGGTCTCTTGTTTCTATGCAACCAGTCTCCTTCCATTCGCAAATTTGCAGTACAAATCATCAAGATGGCAGCCAAGTTGGCCGGCAAGCTTAGCAAGGAAGAAGCACATCTCAGCCAACTACTGGAAACAGCAGGCCAGGGACTGATTCAATTCGACAAGGACACCAATGCATTGCGAGGCCATAAACTGACATCCGATGTGCGTAATCGTGTGCTTCAACATCAACGTCGTGGAATGGACCATGTGCTTGGCGTGATTGCAGAGAGCGACCATGTCGCCGATATCGCTATTTGGAACATGTGCCTACCGCAGGTATTCAAGCTGTGTTTTGAGAGGTTCCCCAAGGTGACAGCCGAATGTCGTCAAGGCATCTGTACTCGATTACTGCAAATTCAGCCTTCCATTTTGGCCTGGGTGGAGACCATGAAAGCGGGTGCCACGGGCACACTGAGCATGGCAAAGAGCAGCACGAATCACAACAAGACAGCGAGTCCTGAGACCATTGAACAGTGGCGCATCTACCTTGTGTTTGCCTGTGCTACTGCTGTGCGTGTCGACAGTCCAACCATCTCCATGCCCATATGGTCGCATGTGGGTCGCAAAGGATCTGCTAGCATTGAAAGGATCTCCAGTCCTCGCGACTTGTTTCGTTTGGTATCGCCCTATTTAACGTGTGAGCACCGTCCTATCCGCGAAAGTGCGATTGAAGGTCTAGGCAACATCAATCACAATGTCTACAAATCACTGATGTCTGAATTGGAGGGCTATGTCAAGATGATACTGGATGACGGCAAACAGCGCAACAATCAAAAGCCATATCAGAACAAGCGAAGCAAAAAGAATGACCGTCTGCGTATCTCTGTCATGCACGTGCTGGAACTGACTGCTGGCTGTTTAGCAGATGGTGAGGCTGTCAAGGACAAGGAGCTAATGAACATCATCATGAGCTATATCAAGGAAACCAAGGCGTTCTTGGGCGACACGGAAGTACAAATGGAGTGGGAGTATCAGCGTCTCAGGATTTATCTGTGTGGTTTGGTAGAGAAACTGTATCAGAGTTTGATGCAATTAGAGGATGCAACAGCATGGATGTCGTTTGAAACGAGGTTAAGCTTGTACAAGATGTTTGAGGAGTGGTGTGGTTACGGTGCTACAGCCAAGACGTCGCGGCAGCGCGAAGCTACCATGATGCGCGATGTATTAGAGCAGTGCAAAGATCCCAAGGAGAGAGCGAGTATGACGCAGTTGATGGAGGAAGAGCGAAAGGCTTTGGAAGCAGCGTCGCTCAGTGCCATGTCCACTTTGCTGGTAAGTGGTGATAGTCTGGCATGTACTATTGAAATAGTCTAGTAATGTATCCTTGTAGCGCGGTCCGTTGTATGCTTATCTAGGGCAAAAGAAGGCGAGACAGGCCATTATTCAATTTGATACATTGAATGTGCTACGCTGGATTGATGCCATCTTTGAGAGCCGTGATCCAAATTACCACACTATTGCTCGGTAAGTGTTGCAGCATGATTCTCTAACTGGCCAATGCTGTTAATGCTTCCAACACTCTAGTCGCTCACTGGAAGCTGTCATGATCTACAATCAAGACCAAACTGTCCTTTTAGACGACATCATTGAGCAATGCTATGCTGGCAATCCCAAACTGGAATTCACGCAAGGCTATTTTCAAGCACTAGCAGAGATTGTTACTCAAGTTGAAGATTACCCTTGCCACATTCATCAAATCATGAGTTTAGCACTGTTTAAATCAGGCGATGCGAAAAAGGCCATTCGAAAGACGGCCATCAACCTCCTGCGTGTCATTGAAGAGCGTGTGTTTGCCGATTCGTGTGCTAAAGAGTACGAGATTGGTATCACAAGCAGCCTACCTGCCATCTACAAACACACGCAAACACTGCTGTCTGCACGCTTAGCACTGGACCATCCTGAACAAACGTACTCGATGCTGTCTGAAATCACACAGCGCTTTGAACACATCAGCCCCAACTCACAACGCGAAGTACTGACCTACATGCTGCCCTGGCATCGTAAAGTGGATCTCAGTGTGGGCCCTCATGATACCGAATTGAGTGCCTCTGCTTACATGGTGCTGACCAACTTGTATTACATTACGGTCAAGTTTGGCGATATTTACGTCAAGGAAACAGCCGCTCTGTGGAGCCAACTGGTGGACTACGGTCGCAATGTCAGAGCCATCATCATGTACTTGCTAGATATGGGCCAGGAAACGCGCAATCCTTGGTTTTTGATTCATGCTAAACGCGTGTTTGTCTGTCTGGGCCGTACGCACGCTTTTGCCACAGTGACAGAGGAGGTCATTGCTGAAATCACACCGAGGTCTATGGTCCCTCAGCTCAAAGAAACAAGCAGTCGTCATGCGCACGCGTTTCCCATGCTGTTTGTAGCAGACACAGAGAAGGTGCTTCCAAGCTATCCCAAGCGCCCTGTGTTCTCAAGAGGCCAACTGGCCATGGTGTTTTTGGTGGATCTAGCCATTGAAGCAGGCGCTGATCTAGCACCCCATTTACCGTTGCTGTTGCATAGCATCTTTGTGCAACTAGATCATCTTACCAGCATCGTGTGCGATCAGTCTCGCTGTTTCTTGATCAACTTGATTCACTCAATTGTAGTGCGACAATCCATCGACTCGGAAGCGTCTCAAAAGGCATCTGAAATCATTCAATGGCTAGTCAGTAAAGAAGGCAAACGTCTGTGGGCTTACGAGAACATTACACCTGTGAATCGACGCATCACCAGCGCGGATGAGATCAAGGCATTACTGCAACAAGTCGTCAGTGTGTTTTCGTACGAGGATAAAGATTTACGTCAAAAGTGGGGAGAGACAGCACTCAAGTGGGCCACCTGCTGCTCGGTAAGACACATTGCCTGTCGCTCATTCCAGTGTTTCCGTGCCTTGATGCCTGCCTTTAATCAGCACATGCTGGCGGACATGCTCGCTCGTCTCTCCAACACCATTGCCGATAAATCAGAGGAAATTCGCGGGTTTGCACTGGAGATTATACTGACATTGACAGAGGTGGCTAAAGCAATGGACAAGACGCAAATGGAGCAGTTTCCACAGCTGTTCTGGGCTGCCGTGGCCTGTTTGTACAGTCCCTACGAATCGGAGCATTGTGAGGCATTGCTGTTGCTGGATGTGGTGCTGCAAAAGAACGACTTTAACCCCAAGCTGGCAGAAAGCTTTCCCAAGAACTGGTCAAGTGAATTTGATGGATTACAGCCGCTGTTACTCAAGGGTCTACAATTCTCGTCAGCTGAAAAGGAGACCTTCCATATCCTGGACTACATCTCCCTGCAAGACAATTTACCGCTTATTGATCCCACAGAGACCAGACTCATGTATTTGTTATTAGGCAGTATTCCGCGTTTGCTGCATGGATTAGATGAGCAGGTAGTGGATCCAGATGCTGTGGCGTGGTGCAACAAGCTGGTCAAACTGTTTGAAGATTACGGCTTGCCAGGTATTCAGCGTATCCTGGCTACATATCCCATCCAAAAATCCAAATTCCAAGAAGATTTCCTCAACCAAATCTTGGGCAGCATGCGTGATGTCTTTTTCACGCAGTATTGTCAGCAGGCTTTCATGTTTGCTTTGCTGATGGTCAAGAACAAGGATCCTCATTACCGAGACAAGACGCTGCTGTTGATAGAGAATTTGGTGCCCTATGTCACTGGTAAAATGGTGAGAACAAGTACCGTGGTCTCCATTGATATCGCTGTATTGGAGCCACTGCTACAACTCGTGCCCACAGAATACGCAGATCGTGCTCTGTTTGTGCTCAACTCGGGCATTCATGCCTTTATCACATCCAACGACGATAACAGCAGCAGCCTGACAAACGACGCTGAATTGATCTGGGGATTCAACAATTTTGCAGCAGCCGCTAAAATCACACGACACAACATTCACGCGGTTGTATTCGAGTGCTCATCTATTACCAATGAGGCGCCCATAGAACACAATATCCAATTCTCGGTGGAAGACTTTTCCATGATGACGGGCGAAGCAGCTTCTGTAGCTGCTGCTGCTGCAAATATGGGCTCGGAGCGTAGAGAAGAGATGCGCATGTCGACCATGGCTGACGGCATTCCCATCCTGAGTGGTACATCTCCTGCTACTGCTGCTGTTGTTTATGGCGATGATTTGATGAACGCTCTCAAGGATCTGGATGACTTTTTCAATGAAGATGGTGAACCTATCTCGCCTTCCAGTTCTAGTCAGTTGTATATGGGTGTGCCTCAGGGTGATCTTAGTGGATCATCAGGTCCTACTACACCAAATAACCTGAATGAATAAACGTGTTGTACGCAGTTGATCCAAATGCGAATAGAGAGGGAATACATGACATTTCTTTATTATTGTTGCTGTTCTGGGCAGAGTGTGCTTGTGTGTTGTGCGCTATTAGATCTTTCTACCTTGCTGTGATTGAGTAGAAACTACTTTTCGATGGTTGAATGTGACAAACGAAGGTCGAGTGTCAATCTTATCAATGGTCCTATTGAATGCATTGTGTCAATGAGCTGCATTTTTCCTATCAAACCAACCACCTACATCTTGGCTACTTCTGTTTCTACTGCAATAAGCTTGAACGCGTCTACTGAAAAGACAACACCCACAAGAGCTACAAGCGCAGATGCTAAGCATTCTGTCATAATCTATAAGAGCTAGTTAGCATCTAACAATTGACATGGAGTGCCCGATCGTCATTTACTTCTATAGGAAGGGTAGTGTTGACTTGGTCTACAGCTTTGATATATGCAAGATCTGGAATCCATAAGTTAGCTGTGAGTTCTTAGAGGCTTCATACGCTACATACGTTCATAGGTTGAATAAGCAGAATGAGCGAGGAATAGAGCACCTATTAAGGCTACCAACTTTCCTATCTGTTGAGAGTTCATGGAAGTATTTGATGTAATGAAAGAGAGAGAGAGAGAGAGAGAGAGTAAAAAAGAGAAAGGTAAATTTTATTGTGAATTGTGTGAGTGTTGATTACTGTTGTGATTGCATTTAGCTTCCGTTCAATTTAAGCTGAGGCCTCGACAGCAGACGAAGATCCCTGTTGCTCTCTCAAAAGACGTCTTTGCTTGACATCCCAGTTATATACACGAGCCGTGTTGACTTCCATGGTTGTGATTTGGCTTCTCAAAAACTCGAGATCCTCTAATGTGTTCTTGAGTGAATTCTTGGCTGTATCCAGCTTAGAGGTCAATAAATCCTTTGCCTCTTCACAAGTATATTCAAGCATGACATTAGCACCCAACCAAAGGTACACTGAGCCAGTGGCTTCGATCTTTGCCTTTGCATAGAGTGTGTCATTCAACTCAAAATCTGTGTATAAGGGTTCTTGGCTATCTTGTTTCTCGGTCAATAAGTCTACCATGGCAATCGTCTTTTCAATCTCGGGGATCTTTTCTTCCAACACCTTTCTACGTTGCAATAAATTGACTTCCATGAATTTATACTTGCTACATGAGTGTGTATGTGTGCGATGAGTGCCTTTTGCTTCTCAGAGTGCCGCATCACTTGGTTTTACCTGATGGCTTCTTGGAATTTCTTTAATACAACTTCAACGGGTTCTGCTTCAGAGACATAATCCTCAACGCGTTCCTGATCATGTTGACATTAGCTCGTTTAAATGCTCTGATGTCCATCTGTAATTTGAAAGACTTACCACAAAAGGAGAGCTTGGAATACCACGGGGATTAGACATTAACTTTTGGTCGCTCATCTTTGTATTTATGTTGGTGTAAAGTCGAGTTGAAATTAGATTTGCTTCAAACCATCAAATGAATGTGAAATTTTTTAAAGCCTTCTCTGCTGGGATTTAATGGGACAGGTGTGAAGAACGAGATGTTGAAGCATTGGAAAGGTTCAGAAGCTCGTTCATACGATGTACCAAGTGTAGGGCTTGAGAATAAGTGAGGGTAAGATGCTTGTGGATACACTTGGATAAGCAAGCAACAATATACTGAATTCAGCATTTGCATTCTATACAAGTATTGCTATTAGATGATTCTGATACATATGATGACCTTACTGTAGGCACACACTTGACACTCTACTCAATGCAACTAAATCAAGTATGCAAGAGAATTTAGAATTTACCAATTGCTGATAAATTTTTCCAGATTTCTCCTGGACAAGAGTAAGGAGACCATCGATGACTATACATCATAATGCAGCATTTACCACCGCCATCCATTTCCATCTACAGCAAGATAAGTCCAAAGGGTTAAAGATAAACGATAAAGTTTAGGGCTCATTACAAAAAGTGATCATCATCGCATAATTGCGTTTGAGAAGCGACGCTTTGACATGTCAAACACTGCAAACAAGCAGCTCATGATACGGTGAAACCAATGCCGTAATCCATATACTCATCGATTTACATCGCTTTGGTCCGAGGAGATTTGGCTTGGGAAAACGTATAAAACAGTGGAATTCAACGCACAGGCATTCATTGCATCATCTTTTATATCAAATGAGTCAAGATTTTAGTGAGATTATTGGCAGACACATTGTCTACAAATACGGTGAACTAGGTGTCTATGAAGCCTACTTTCAATCTGACCAACTGCTTGTATACTCCATCCATGGTGGCCCTATGAAAGGTAGATCCAACTACCAAAAAGCTTACTATCAAAAGGTGCGCAATCACATTTATAACGTCTCTTGGATTGAAGAAACTGGCACAATCGTTACTATTACAGTGGATCTAGAGCTGAGGAAGGTGCATTGCTTTATCGCTTTTAGTCAAGGACATTGGGAAAAAAACGAAGAAGCACACGGTGATAAGAGAAACCCTGCAGATCTGGAGAGATGGAGAGCGCTGGCCAGGATTGGCGATCACACTACAAGAGTCGTTCATCTGGATGAGGCACCTATCATCGATATCTATGATGGACCAGGAGAACTGAAACCAGTGACGATGGATATGCCATTTTTCTAGTTGAATAGCGTTCATTGGAATAATTAATAAAGGCTTTTTAGAGCAGTAAATATGACATTGACTTGTAAACTAGCATGAGGAGGCGGTTGTTTAGTTGTAAAATAACAACATCGGTTTTTAATGATATACTACAGCTGTTGTGTACGATGATAGTAGTAACAATTTACGTGTATCTATCAGATAAGTCGCTCCAATACCTTTCTCTGCTTCGCTGTGCAGTTGAAGAAATCTTTATTCGGGGTTGCTGCCTCAATCCAACTGAAAGTTCACTTTCAATTCTTCTATATCTCTTGAGAACCTTCCATAAACAATCTTTAACTGTGGATCCGGGTTTTCCAAGATGCCCCATATCTGTATCAACTAGCAAAATTCATGGACACGTAGACAACATTCTTGCACTGCCTCCCATTGCTCCAATGTATGCAAAACAAAGCCAAATTTGGGCACGTTTGAGTCGTGTTTTCTCGTGCCATTAGCCTTTTTGGGCCACCAGAATAGCGCCAAACAATTGCTCTCATCCAGCACTTACTTCCTGACACCTTTGCTCAACTTTTTGAGGACCTAAAAAACATGGTGAAAAATCAACCAAAAAGCATGAGGCACCCCTCATGGTTTTCACCGAAAATTAAACGATCGTATTTTTGACCAAGAAAAAACGACTTTTACTATAGCATATATTAAATCAAAATGCTGCTCTCGATTCAAAGCAACTCCTGAAACTCTTTTGTGCGATCTTTCGTATGTAAAATCTTGACATTTTGGCCAAAAACCTTATTTCATATTTTCCAAATGTTCTCAATAATTTTTTTCAAAACACCTATTGTAATTGATACTATTAGATGCGTCTTGAAAAGTACTCCAAGAAAGCTTAAGAAAGTTATTTTTTTTTTTTTTTTTTTTTTTTTTGTAGGGGAGTCGAGCTCCAGGTTTTATTTAAAGTCCTTTAAATGTCATACTGAGGGATAGAAAAGACTGTTGGTGGACCCAATGTCTGCAAAGAAGGGGAATAAGAAATTTTGAACTAAGTTGGGAAAGAAATCTACTACTAATAAGGTGCGACTCCTAGAGCCAGTACAGTCTTGCGGAAATCGTCAAAATATAGGTCATGGATAAGAGTACAAAACACCAAACGAGGACATCAGTACTACGTCAAAAAAATCAAACAACTTGCGTTCACCAGGATTTGAACCGGGGATCCTCCCGTTGGCATACGGGAGTTCTACCACTTCGCCCTACCACCAGGGACAAGCTTAAGAAAGTTAGGGTGGTCGACACAACTTATATAGTCGAAATTTGCAAAATAGTTCAAACAAGTCCAAATTCGAAGAGAATCTTTCTATTTTAGGTGAAAAAAATCTCGGAGATATAATTGATTTTGGCTGACCAAAGCAATGCCATGCTTATTGTAGGGCTATTTGATGCTGCTATGCTCATAAACAGAGAATTACGGATTGAAGCATACCATCACTTATCTTGAATACTTTTAACATTTTTATGTTTGGAGTGTACAGCCTATTTTATCAGACACAAATCGACAGCTTGTATCTAAGCAACGATTTAGAGCTCTTTTGTATTTAATATCGTCGTCGACATTCGAACCATTCTTGTTTGATGTATTTCGGATGCATAACCTTGTAAAAGATGTGGATTAGTTTTGGCACTGGCTTCTTTCAAGTGAGCCGCTTTAGAATGCCAGGATGAAATAACAGTTAACTTTATATTGCCGAGGAAAAAGCGATGAAAAGATATCATCATCTTCGCCACTAAAAGGGCTACCAAACCATTTATAATAAGAGCAGAGCAGGGTAACTGAAGCTAATTTGAACATCGGTCTTTGCGAATAAATGGTAGGATTGCAACAGCAATAGCTGTAAAAATTCTTAAACCCAATCAGTAATTTGTAAGCTGCAGACGACAAATTGCGATCTATAACGCACCAAAGCGTAGTTTTACTTATGCAGAAAGCCTTCGCAAGCTACATTATATTCTAAACTCGTTGATATATTTTTGCAGTCTATTATGGTCAGTCAATAACTACACTCTACTTGTGAAATTCATTCATCCTCTTGATAAGCAGGCAGCCGAGTATTTGATATCTCGAGACCTTTCCGGAAAAACCTCTAGTTCCAACGCTAACGTTTACTTAAAGCTTCCATAAAATGGCAAGTTACACCATGCAATACATAACACAGGCGCACAAGATGCTATTAATACCCGAGATGCGTTAAAAATAGGAATCGACGGGAAACTTGCTGAAAATGACAATTTTTGTCAAATCCACCATCACTGTAACATTGCCATTTTAATCGAGCATGGTATAGCAGTAATATGAACATTTGGAATGTAGCATGAATATAGGATCAATTTAACATACAAATTGTGTTCAAGATTGATGCAACACTAAAGATCCTGTACCTGCTCATACAAGTGCTACGACACAGACGCATCTTGCCATGTATATTTTCTTTTTTTAATTGTAAAACGAGTATGCAAACGTCTAAGGGGTTATGTGTACTCATTTCATTTCGATGGATACATGGTTGGCAATGGAACATGAGTTAAGAAAGTTTTTTTTTTTTTTTGTTAATTTTTGTTTTGACAAATAGTGAATACATAAGAGAGTATCAGGAAGAGGAGGGAGTAGAGGACAAGTAATGATTGCGTGCGATATATAATGATGATTTCAGATGAGAACAGTAATAACTATAAGAGATATTCATGTAAATAAAAGTGGCAATGATAGTAAAAGGACAGCGGTTTCTTCTTTTCAAGAATAAATAAATATTATTATTATTTTCACAGGTTGCATATTATATAATAAAGAGTGGAGGTTGTTGACAGAGAGCAAAAAGAAACTGGATGAATCTAATGAGACTTCTTGTAAACTCTGAGACCATCATCAGCTTGACCCTTCTTGATAGCGAAACCAACGGCCTCAGTGTCAGGATCAAAGGTGGTATAGAAAGCATTTGTCAAAGAAGTACCAAGGACCCAATCGCGATCAGAGTTACCACGGCTAATCTTGGTCTCACAACAATCACGGTTAGCATCAACAACGGCTGTCCAGTATTTAGCAGGCAATTCAACAATGTGGTCTTCGAGAGTCATCTTGAGCATAGGCAAGTTCTTGATTTCAGAGCACTTGATTTGATAACTCTTGGAGCTAGATTTGTATTCACCACCAAACTTCTCATGGAATTGATCAGCTTGATCAGGAGGCATAACAATCAAACTAGTAGAGGTACTGATGGAGGCAAGAGCATTGGCTTGTTGCTTCAATCTCAAACCACCAAAGCTAGCATGACGGATACAGACATCCCAGTTCTTGGCCTTGGCTCCAGGATCATCAGCGAGACGAATGTACTCAACCTCGCCCTTGATGATGGACTTGTCAATACCACCGAGAACCAAGTAACCAGCAGGCTCTTCTTCCTTGGGCTTAGTGTTGGAACGCTTGACGACACCGAAACCGCCACCAGTAACTGAACCAGAGGTATCACCACCAGTAGTAGGAGGAGTGGTACCGACGGAAGGAAGAGCAGTAGAACCAGCAGGCAAAGCGCTGGAGGCAGTGCTGTTGGTGACAGTGTTGGCGGTGGTGCTGCCAGATTGATCGAAACCAGGGCTGCTGGTGGTAGTGTACATACCAAATTGAGCACTAGCAAGACCAGAGCCAGATTGGAAAGCGTTGGGAACAAAAGCAGAGTCGGGAAGTGCAACATCACGCTTGCTCAAACCTAAAATGTTCACGTTTTGTGGTTAATGATACAGATGAATAATGATGATATATAATCTTTTTAGTTACCTGAGGCGGTAGAGCCGATCTTTGTGTTGTTGAAATCGACACTGCGACCGAGACCGAGGTAACCATCAAAGCCTTCGCCAAAACCAGACATACGGTAGGCACCACCAAATGGCATGTCCTTGACTTTGAGACCAGCAAATTCAAAAGTATCCATGTAGACGTGAGTATCAACGCAAGAATTACCGTACTCTACAGAGAACTTTCTGCCAACAGAGACGGCATCTGAAGACTTGCGAGCGTAGTAAGTACAACGGCCACGGCAGTTGTCAGTCTTACACTACAGAATGAAGGACATGTTAGTAGATGTTTTAACATTCTATTTAGCTACATGAATGAACTCACTCTAGAGCCACGAACCCAAGAATAACCGATCGCTAATTGAAAAGTAATGAAATTAAGTACAACCTGAGAAAAATAGATAAATAAGGGGGAGCAGAGTGCTACATACTGGTATCAAAGGCAAATGTGAACTCTTGAGGGGGATTACCGATCTTGACTTTACCGGCAAGCTATTGCTATAGGGTTAGTAAGTTGGCAAAAAAAAAAGAGCGAGCATGAAGAAGCAAGGGAACATGGTATTTTGATAGAAACAAATTTTTACATCTGAGTGGTACAGTAGTAATTAAAGATGTTTCTGTAATCAAATGTATAATAATAGTTTCCTCTTTCTCCATTTTCTAGGTACTTACGACACCGTTATCAAGTGCTTTTCCAGCAGCTTTGTAGATGCCTCCATCATCTGAACGTTTGTAGAGAGGGATGGTGATGGGTTCTGCTGCAGCATTGAGAGCAAGTTGGACGACAGCTGCTAAACAAAGAAAGGCGGCACGCATTGTTGTATAGGTTTATATGAGTGAGAAAAAAAGATTGGAAAGGGTTTTTCTGTTTCGATTCTAGAAAGATGTATGGCTGTTGATAATTCGAAATAAATTCCAAATGTTGAATAGAGTAGATCTAAATGTGGTTCTTTCTTTTTTTTTGTGATTCTTTAATGTTGATCTAGATGTGGTTTAAAGATATCTGTAGAATATTGAAAAAAAAAAGAAAAGAAGAAATGAAAAAGAAAAAGAGAGAAAAAAAGAGAGAAAGGGATGCAATAATGTTATAAATGAAATCAAAAGGAAGCTCAAATATATATAAATATAGGTTTGGCAAGCGAAAAGGGCAATCGAGAGCGAGCGAGTTCCAAACCAATATATTATTGTGGTGACAAATAGCTGTGCGTGCGTGGTTCTTTCAAGGTGCCTGGAACTATACAAGAGTAGCACTCTCCTAATTTCTGTGTAATGTCAGATTTGAAAATGCATTAGCTTCAATTAACTCAAGCTATTATTGTGATTTGTCTCCGCGCCAGTGGTCTATGGGCTCAAAAAGACCATACAGTCCTGACTGATTGGATAGCACCAGAGTATCTATTATTAAATGGCTCTCTGCTTGTCTCCAAGGTAATGACACCAAGTAAATATTAATAATTCAATTGAATTGCATATTACAAAAGAGCTGTAACATTACTTTTCCGTGGTATTTAGGCCCAAAAAACCAAAAATAGATCATTTTCTCATTTCAAAAGGCAACTTTTATATACACAAAAGGCGAGTTCGGGTAACTTGTATCTCCTTCTCCTCCCCCTCCCCCCCTCAATGTCTAAAACAGTGTCTATCCCCCCTCAAATCTCCTGGAGATTATCCCTGATCATATCGATATGATGGTGGTGATGATGCTGATTTCATCTCCTACTGAATCAAATGTCTGTTACAAATGTCATTGATCATGGAAAATATATAATGCCATGGCACCTAATAAACACAAAATTATGTAGATCTTTGTTTTGCATCATCTGATTGAAAATGTGATCAAATGTAGAATAAGGGTAAGCTACACACCCTTCCAGACGAAAATACCATCATTTCGTAATAGCCATCTGTCATTCCTATCTCTTATTTATTCGCGGATTCTAGAAGACTTTTAAAAATGACACTAAAAAAGAAGAGATAGTACTTCATCTTGTCTAGACACTAAAAATACCTGGGTTACCTTGAGGCAAATCACAGATGCCACTGATATCATGTTGGTTTTATATGAATTTTCGCCAAGAAAACAAGAATACAAAGAGGTTTGCTCATTCGATTTATGCGTAGGTGGTGGGGAAAATCAATCTTTGATTTAATCAGGGGCAGTTTCTCAGTGAGCTTTCTTTTTTTCATATAAGCTCTTGTATTATGTGCTTCATTATTTATTGGTGATTACCTATTGTACTTGATGTAATGATAATGAGATGGCCCAACACTTGGTGTTACCTTGCTTAATTGCTCGAAATAATTGCCTTTTATGTGATTTATCATTAGGATTGGGAGGCGGGGGGGGGGGGAGGAGTCTGAGGCGAGGTAAAATGAAGGGCACTTTAGAGTGTGCTTCAGCCTTTCTGAAAAGTAAAATGCATCAAGGCCGTATTTCCGTATGCTCAATTAATGAATTCCTGACATTCTATTTTGCTGCAGAGAATTATACATCTAACAAGTTTATTTCTCAAACTCGAGGTGTAACCATAAACTAGGTCACCATTTTTCATAAAGAACCAAATTTCCTTCTGCAAACATCACTGCCATATTCTAGGTATTCTTTGCGCTGTACAAATGTTTTCTGCAGCTCCTTTTCTGTACTCAAAGAAATCAGTCGATTTCCTCCTTCCCAGGCAAATGTTACTGGGCTATTCAGATGTGTCAGAGTGTGTTTCATTCAATGCAATTCAGCAGCTTACTCTTCCGGTTTGGCAATGCGAATTTCATAATCAATAGGCACAAATTGTCGAAGATCTTGTTGGCTAGTCAAAGTATGAATAAAGAGTGCATCAGGGTCAAGATAGTTTACTTACATTCTTTCCAAATAGCCTGGGATGTTGGTATTTCCGCCTACAAGCACGATGTTTGCATACAAAAGTCCATGAATAGCTTAAAATCGCAAGAATGTTAGGGCTGTCTTTTCGAACATCAACGGATCAGCGATTACCTGGATCGCATGCATTGACACTCTGCACAATGGCCTCTGGAATACCTGCTTGTTCCAAGCCGATGTCTGAAGGATGCATCAATATCTCGGGTATCATGAATCGCTCGTTATTCATTGCTAATATTTGCTGATCTGCTGTTGTGGTGGCTGTTCCCTTGGTTCGAATGTGTCCAGTTTTATTGTTGATGAAATCAGGCAGTACATACTCTTGTATGATTGTGTTTTTAGCAAGTGGTTTCCTAGGGATGTTCATCTAAGTACGTTGACTTGACATAGGCATCTGCCAACTTACTTGCAAATGTCTAAATCTTGATACACATCCTTGGAAACAAAGCAGCACTTTTCTTTCACATCGTTGATAATGAATGTTTCTTCCATCATATCATACGATCGAAATGATACCACTTCTTTCAATTGATTCGTCAATAACTTTCCACCCACGTTGATGCGTCGAACCCCTTCTGGTATCGCCTTGCCCTTTAAGAAGGGGACAATATGCGTAAATGAATACCCTGAGTCCACTATCAATGCGCAATCAGGGACTGAAGCCGCTACTGATCCTGACTGACTATCACCAAATAGTCCTCCTAGGTCATTCAACAAACAAAGTTCTGGCCCTATCGCACGGAAGCAGGCTCCAAATTCGAATTCCTCAAATACAATCTGATCATAGTTGTCTTGTATCGCTGGTAAATTAAAGCATGGCTCTGTGATCAATAATCGACTGTCTTTTGGCTCTATCTTGGAAACATTTTTGAATAGACTATCCCATATCGTGCGCTCAATACCCCAGTTGACGAGAAGCCCCTAATTTTGCAGTTAAACAAAAAGAGTTCAGTGGCAAACTATGTCGTATTTAATATATGTATAAACCTTTTCAAAGGGTAGTCGATAGTACAATGATGAGAAATCAGTGCAACTATCCATCTGATCGCCTACGTAGTGTCGTTTATCTGTTTTTCCACGGACAATGGCGTTGGGCACTAGTCTACAGAGGGAGGTTATTGGGTGATTCTCTTGCGGCATTGTCTATTATATACCGAGGAGATGCACCAGCAGAGGCAATTCCAACCTTCATACTGTGGGCGCCATTATCTAGAATAACGGTAGGTGGTGCCATAATATACAAATGCAAAGCTAAGAAAAGTGCAAGCCATTTGTCAAATTCTTTTTTTAATATTCAACCTGACACTGAAGTTTAGATTTAAATTCAGGCACTCGAGCCAACACGCTTTTCTATGTGTTGGCTTCAAGGTAACATATAACAGCTTGTCTTCAATGCTGATTAAGAGGTGACACTGTTTATACAAGACTATTGCTGATGAATAGCTTGATATCAAGCCGGTTTCTCATGGGAGAAAGCATATAAAGGATGGGTAAATAATTTATTGTTTCCAAGTATGCTGTGCTCTATGTGAATTAATGCATTTTTTTGTAGGATTCTGTATCACTCGCAGATGCTGAGGTGTTGGCAGCTGTAGTCTTATCTAGAAAGTACAATTGTTCGTCTGAATCCGACTCTTCTTCTTGCTTTGTCCAATTGAAAATAGTGCTGTCATTTAGAATGACATTTGCTGTATCTGTCAAAAATCCAGCAGCAATCTGTGAGAATGTGCGTCCACCTTCAGCCAGTTCATTGACGGATTCTCGGCTTGTGCTATCGTTTCTGAATACATTGTTCGAATCGAAATCGCTGAATACATCAGGCCCAATCTCGTTGATTACTTCCGTAATGTCTTGCGATAATTTCTCTCGGAGCTGACGCAGATTAGCTGTACTATCAGGATCCACCAATGCAACATATAGAGGTCGAAGCGATCTATAGCCCTTGTCAGTATGAGAAATAGTGTTATTCGGTGAAAGCACTCACTTGAATACATCCACCCCATTTTCTGCAAACCGCATGGACGCATAGCTGACAAAAGGAAGCATCGTCCACGTCAAGAGAGGGTACAGCATTGTTTGGAACCAGTCCAAATCCGATTTCATGCAAATCCACAGCACAATAAGAGTATATAATCCGTATAATGTTGGAATCAGTACCATACCAACAAGAAACTTCCATGTTGCTAGGACATCTCTACCGGCGACTTTGACGGATGAGCTTGCCAACGCATCTTTTGCTTTTTTGGTACTAATAGCCTTTGCTGTTACCACAATTGGTAAATTCAGAATGGATCTACCAAATTATACACATGAGCATGTCTTTTACTGCTATTCTTTGGCAGAACTTACCCAGGGAACGATAACAGACCCCACACAATCAAGACGCCCACACGATACCACAACAAGAAGAATGTTCTCCATCCTCTCAGGTTAATTTCCGGCACTTGATGATCTCTCAATCCATGATACTTGAGCAGCTGGTTGTACGCCAGCACTTTTTGTTTTAGATTGATCACTCGAGGATCGTTCTTGTACAAGTTGTATCCAATAACAAATCGTCTGTTCAAATCTACCACTTGAGCAATATGCAAACGTCGATGAGCAGGTTTATAAAGTCTTCTTGCTGCCTGAATCACCATTAATGTCTGATCATTGGGCACATTGACAGTGACTGATTTGAGTGCGTAGAAAATGGTATCCAACAAGTTCGAGCACGCTTCCCGCTTTTGCTGTCCTCCCTGCTTGAATTGCTCGACCAGATCTGCGGATATAGTAATGGGGTTGCCAAACTCGATAACTGCTCTTGAACGGAACCGATGTGCATGAAAGTAGTTCAAACCGCAAGGTACAATCTTGACATCAAGGCCAGGATACTTGGCCATTGCACCCAGAGCCATGATAGTAACACCTGCTTTGAAAGGCAACATCTCTGCACGGTCATGGCTACCGCCTTCAGGAAAGATGGTGATACAGCGACCATTGTTCAACTCCTCGTATACACGTTCGTATACAGAATCCTGATCAATATGGGGCAAGCATTTATAGGCTGTGCCAGATGATTTCGTCAAAAGTTCCAGTGCTTTCTTGTCGGTGACGGGGTTAGCGATCAAAAGTTCAGTGTCTGATATCACCCGAGTGATTTTGAAAATGCCAGCATTACGAGGGAGAATGATGGAGTCATGAGGTTGCAATTGAGTGGTAAATTTTGTATCCATGCCTTGAATCTTGAGCGGATCAGTCTTCGGATTGAGAAGGTAAATACGACCATGACCAGCCTCAGCTAAATCCTGAGGCCTCTTGACTGGAACTAAACATAGTAGACTGGTTAATACTGTTCTGTGTGGTGTGTGCAATGCATTTTACTTGGATGGAAAAAGCTAGCCAAGAACCCAATGGCCCACTGCTGCATTGATTTAGCCGCAATCAAGAAAGAGACTCGGCGGTTGCATTCCCGCATCACAATCAATGGATCTACAAACTACTTTAGTGTGTTAGAGATCAAGTCTGTCTGCCTGTTGGCTGAATTGCGATACTTTACTTGGTTAGCGTGAGGAGCAGCCACAAAAATTAGTGGACCTTCTAATGGGATTTTATGCGATCCTCTAGGTCTTATCTCTCGAAAGAAGACATCAAGCATAATGTTGAATAGCCAGAGAGCACCATCATAGAATATGTCGACCTTCTGTCTAGACATTTGAAATGATTATTAAATGATGTAAAAGAAAAGAAAAAAAAATGACATGTTGTGGAGAGCGAAAATTTTGTGCTTGTTGTTTGTAGATCACAACATTTCAGAAATGCAGATTTTGGTAGGCATTACGCGGCAGTCACTGGATGTGATCAAAGTGGCATGTAATGATACCAATATCCTCGGCTAAAGAGATGAAAGGCTGTTTCAACGGCTCTGAACTATACAGCAGTAAATTGTAGTTAGTCTGATGCTTAGCGTAGAGAAAGATATCGAATATTATTTTCCATCAATAAAGTTGCTGGATTCCATCCCCAGCAGTATACTTCTGATTGAACAGACCTACCCTTCAAAAGTATATTATAGGTACATCTTATTGCCCGATATCTTCTGTAACAGAATTTGCCTTACGACAGCAAAGTATAATACGAATATTGCTCGATCCGAAAACTGACTTGCAGCCATCAATGAGCTAATGCCGCAATGCCTGTAAATACTTTATTTGAACATCAATACCAATAAAAGAATTCTTGGAATCACTATGTAATAGGGAAAATTATTCTACCAGCCAGCACGCTCTAGCTATTTGAGAGAAATACCATCCTGCAACAAAGTGGGCCATATGGTTTCGTTGAGAAGTCTCAATGAATCTGCATTGATGATTGTGATTATTTGATATTTTGTAAATAAACGCTTCACATTGTCTTCGGCATGTTCCGCTGTGAGGAAAAGAAGAGTTGAGTAAAATGTTGCCTTCTTCAGTCCTTTGGCGATATAAGGAGAAATTGTTCCAAGATAATACCCAGTTGTAAGTGATTTTTATAAAATATTTTTGGTTGTTTTGCCAAAATGCCAAGTGTCTGTCATCAAAACTCTATTTGTAGTACTTTTTAAATTGTAGATCGAACAAAATCCTATAGAATGAGCCCTACCTCGAAGCTGTGGCATTAGTTCTTATGGATCTACAGTGCACAATAGGTCAGCTCCAGCCAAAATTGTCCAAAATCGATCGATTAAGGCTAGCCTTTGCTACCGTGGAGCATATAAAAACCTTGTTGTGCGTTCCTATCAATCATTCCACTTCCTAAATTTATTTTATAGACCTGAGTACCACATAGACGTCTCCATGGTGTGATTTTAGAAAATTGTATTTTTGCCACTGTAAATTACAATGTGGGAGTCGAAACCTCATTTTCGCAAGGAAGCATTGTAACAGCTAAAATGGGGTCTCATTTTGTGAAGCAAACAGAGGGAACAATGTTTAATAAGTAATGGAGAAAGAAGCTGGAGTTGACGGCTGAACAAGGAAGAGTATGCAAATACCATTCTTTATATATTGGCTTTTTTGTTACGTTTTCCAGGCCTAATTATGTAATAACAACCAATGTAGCGACTGGAAATCCCTTTATATATTTAGCAACCATCTCTCACACTTGTTGTAAATCTGAAAGTACGTGAGAATGGATATAAGCTTATTTTCGTAAAATCAGATGAAGAGGAGAGGGAAGAGTGAATGTCTACTGCTATTTATATGTATGATTTATGGATTGCTTACACGCCCGTCTAGAATGGTGTTCTCATGCTAAGTTTTAGTGTCAATTCTCACTTATGCTAAATGGTAATTATTTCAGATATAGATGATCAGTCTAAATATCTTTAGTTGCTCTTGGTAACGTTAATTACTTACATTCCTTATCTGCTATCTTTTGACATATAGAGAATAGCTTACTGAAACTTAGCTTATGTAAATATCATGGTTATCGTTTACATGTTGATACAGTTTATTTACATATGCTCCATATGTGCATAGTTTATTACTGAATTCAATCTACGATATTGTGATTCAGGAACAGTTAGATGTGTGAATACAACAACACTGGGTATACAAAGGTCCTAAAGTAAGTCTCCATCATTGACATAGGGCTTGGAATAGCTGTTCCCCTCCTTTGTCGAATACTCAGTACAGTTTTAAATTCTTGTCGCATCACAGCGACGTATCAAGTTATCACCAAGCGGTTTTAGATACAACGTTTCGCAACGCCTCATCTATCGATCTATTACTCTTAGCTTCTTTTAAAGCTCTTTGTCTTATTATACGAAGTCCATTCCCCATCAAAATTGCCTTATTCCCATTTATAACAAAGAATTTAAACTGTCTCTATTCGAAACCACTTTTATTACAAACACAAAGCCATACAGATCAACATTAGATCAACTAGTTGTAGACCTTCGCCGTTTAGACTCCTCAGCCAATCAAATCGCTTGAAAACTCCGCTGACCTAGAAAAAAATTTGCGAGGGTTTCCCCCTGTTTTGATGTGAGGCAAAATTTTAAGCGCCGCTATAATAGCAATATAGCCGCTGCTATCATCAAATTTCCCTCAGGTGCTAGAGCATGCCTTACTTACACCACCTAGCTTTAAATTCAGGCATTGAGACCCTCAATCATCACTAAAGTAAGTAGCGATAACCAAGTGGAGGCGGCCTATCTACCTCCTAGCCTCGGATAAAGTCTTGTTGAGCTTCAGGGATAGGCACATCCACACAACGTAAAAAAAAAGAGGTATGCTTCAAAGAAACATAATGATAATAGAAAAGAAAAGTAAATCACATGCTACGATACTATAGAAGTATAGTAGTATGTAAGCAAAAAAGGAACACTCACGCTAAGCGAGTCAAAGAAAAGTATAACATACACAACATTGAAGATGTTCAGAACAGCTCGTTGTTGTTGTAACAAAAATGCATACATGAACAACGTGCATGGTGGTAATAGTCGGATGTAAAGCAACACAAACACGCACAATTGCAGGAGCAACAGCAGTACTATAAGTATGCAATACAACATAATGACTAATGTTGTTTCATGTAAAGCCACAGAGGAAACACCGCCAGTAAAAGAAAATAAAGAAGAAAGCGCAACAAGGCAAACGTCATGAATGCGTTATCACAAGAAAGGAAGCAATTATATAAGCGTTCAAAGAAGTTTTATATCATTGCGACCAGAAGAAATAAGATACTTACTGCAGTAAAAAGGGGGTTAAAAAAGCAGGTAGAATACTGTTAAAATCCTTCTTTATTTGAAATTAGGATAATGTGCAATAAAATGTATATTCTACGTCTCTATTTATATTATTTGGTTTATATCTCTTATCTGGCAGCAGTTTAGTAGTTGCCAGTGATTCCATTACTTTATATATTTTTGTTGGGTCATTTAGTTGTTGATCTGATGGATCAAGAACGGTATTTCAATATATGGTTTTTGAATCATGCGTAAAGAATAGCTCTTTATTGTTGAGCCTGTATCCTTTTTAGGTATATTTATGTTACAACACATTACAATACCCTTGACATTTACTTTAGTATCTGTCATCTCTTATTTTAGAGCATTTAACCCTTGCTATCATCATGCTAATACTATTATTATGCATGCCTATCTGCTGATGGTAGCATGGTTTGATTGAGATGACATTTATTTTGGGTTTTGTTTATGATGGGAATCTAGTCTAGTTCACTTCATGCCTCCCCGCTAAACGCAAACAAGATTTGCGTTGACCCGGTATGCAGCAAATTTAGAAGACTTAAATTCGAAATGAAATCAGAGATATTGGAAAGGAAAAAATTATGTATTATGTATATATATATATATATATATATTTAAAGAGATATTTTAGGTAGGATATTATTTAGATTTCGTATTTCTTGCACGTTTTTGGCGGCGAGTATTTGTTTGAGGCAATTTTGTTTGGCGTTTCTTAGATTTGTTGATAGTATTCTTAATTGAAGTATCATTGATTTCTTTTCTAGATGCCTCTCGTCTTTCAAGTTCTTTCATTTTCTTCCAGTAATTGGTAATAGGAGTAGGTGTGGAGAATAGATCAGGGGTAAGCCAGTCATTCTCTCTTTCACCGTAACCACACCATTTGGTCAGATATTCGTATGTGCCATCGGGGAGCACTCGATGATCACGAATTTCTTCTACCTCATATACTTGCGCTTCCAATGCTGTTTCGTCTAATGAGACAACTTTTAATTCAGAGGGCGTATATTCACGATGTAGCAATTCGCTAGTATCATCTTTTAGTACATACGTTCCTGCTTGAGTACGTCGCACCACAATATATGGTCCTGAATATAGCGGGGCTAGTTTATTCGATCGACCTTCTGCGTAACGTACCATTACAGGTGTACCAGCTGGAATATCTTCGATTATGTAGTGTTTCTTGTTGAATTTCTCGCGATATATTTTAGCCAATTCATCAGTTCGTTGTTGTATAGCAGGAAAGACAATGTCATTCATGGTTTCAGCTCTTTTTTGTAGCTCTTCCAGTGTCAATGCTTTCCTGTTATTTCTATTAATTTTCTTAGGGTCCAATGTTACTTGTCTTGCAAACATCAAGCTGAAAGGGGTGCTTGCTGTGCGATCACGGACTTTCATGTTTATAGCTAGTTGTACAATAGGCAAACGGTTATCCCAGTTTCTGGTGCCATTCCCACACATTTTCCTTAGTGTTGCAGTTACAGTTTTCACAGAATTTTCACTATGACCATTTCCCTGTGCGTAGTAAGGAGTGCTTTGTATCATGCCAATGTTTAATGATTTATAGATGTATTCTGATAGTTGAGATTTGAATTCTCTTCCATTATCAGATAAGGTAACATTCACTGCTAAACCATAATCTCCATAGATTGAGACCAAGGTGTTAGCGATTGTGTCACTTTGTTTGTTTGGTGTAGGACGAGCAATGATGTATTTGGTACAGATGTCTACAACCACAAGAATATAACAATTGCCTTTTTCCGTTACTGGTAAGGGTCCAATCATATCCATGCTAATGAAATCAAATGGTTCATACGACACTACACTTCTTGCTGGGTTGAATCCTTTCTTTGCAATATTATGCAATTGACATTCCTTACAAGACAGCAAAAGTTCTTTGGCGTCCTTATAGATGGAGTTCCAATGAAGACCATGATAAGTGTGAATGTGCTTAACCACAGCCGCAA